GTACAGTCACAAGGTGTACCATTTTGCTGAATCTGTCAACAAATACAAGAATACCCGTATTTCCGCGTGCGTCTTTGGGTAACCCGAAGACGAAATCCATTGAGATGGATTCTCAGCACTCAGCCGGAACCGGTAGAGGCTGTAAAGGTGCACGCAGTGAAGGACTTGACTTCACTCGTTGGCAGACTTCGCATGCGCGAACATACTTTCGCACAAACTTATACTGGCGGGGCCAGTAAAAGTCTCGACTCACCGTGAGATATGTCTTCTCCCGGCCACGATGTCCTCCTATAGGAGCATCGTGATACTCGAACATGATCCGCAAACGCAGATCAGTATCTTCTGGAATGACAACACGTGGTGTGTCACCAGAAAAGGCTGTATAATACAGTAACCCGTTGCGAGTAGTGTATCGATCTGATGCAGATCGATACGCAGACGATAATCGTTTCTACCATTCTCGAGATGGCTGTGAGAGATGTGTCAACAACTTCGCAATCTCACCATCTTGGGCATACGCCCGCCTCACATCATCATACAACGTTGTAGATGGTACTGAGGACGTCATAACCGCAACAGTGACTGTCTCACTGTTGGGTTTCACGACTGGTTCAAAGTCGGGACGACGTGAGAGTGCATCAGCGACGACATTAAGTCGTCCTGGTTTGTACTCGACCGTAAAGTTGTATTCTGCAAAGAATGACAACCACCGCGCCATTCGTTGTGAAAGGTGCGGGCTGTTCACTGCCGTGCGTAAGGACGCATGGTCAGTGTAAACAATGAAGGGTCTATCTCCTAATAGATAGACTCTGAACTTCGCGAGTGCATACTTCATGGCAAGGAGTTCCTTGTCATGCACTGGATAGTTCCGCTCAGCTGGTTGCAGCTGACGCGACTGATAGCAGACGACGCGTTCAACGCCTTCAAGGTCGTACTGCATTAATGCACAGCCGATTGCGAATCGCTGGCATCACAGACCACATGAAATGGTCTGTCCTGATCGGCTATTGCTAGGACTGGGGATTGTATCAAGCTCTGCTTGATGCCATCAAAGGAGCGCTGACATTCAGCGTTCCATAACTACCTCTCGTTCTTTTTCAACAAACGAGAGAGGTGCACAGTCATCTCGGCGTAATTGCGTGAATACTTGTGCAAATACGCCGCTATCCCAAGGAATTTTCGAAGACCTTTGACATCAACTGGCATAGGCCAGTTGGTGATCGCCTTGATCTTTTCGGGATCAGGACGTACACCGTTCTTGCCAACGATGCACCCAAGAAGTGGTATTTCGCTTGCTGCAAATATACACTTCTTGAGGTTTGCATACAATTGATGCTTTCGCATGATTGTAAGAACCTGTCGGACGTGGTACCTGTGAACCTCAACATCCGACTTTCCATCCATAGCTCGACTATGGATGAATACGTCATCGAAATAAATCGGCGCGAATTCTCGTACTGGTCTCAACAGATGTGATACACATCTGTTGAACGTGGCAGGGGCATTACTAAGCCCTTGTGGCATTACTAGCCATTCCCAGAGCATGCCGCTAGGCGTGCTCACTGCAATATAGGGTATATCCCGTTCTCGCATAAGGATTTGATAGAAGCCATCCATCAAATCCATGGACGAATAGATGGTACTCTTTGACATACCATCAATGATTACGTCCTTCCTCGGTATCGGCGTCTGAGCCGGTACCGTTGCAGCATTCAACTTGTTAAATGCATGCACAATCCGCCACTACCCTGTTGCTTTTCGCACACAGAAGGTCGGAGAGCTATGTGGGGAAGTTGATTCCCTCACATGGCCCGCAGCTAAACGATCGGCAAAGAGCTTGTCGATCGCAAGTACTTGCTCACGAGGCAGTGGCCACTGCTTCATGACACATTAATTCGAGCCTAGTCTAACTCGACCTTGTGTCGAGTGCCTTTATCCTTCGGTAACTCGCACGGAACAGTTTCAGGGAATACATCCTTGAATTCAACCAAATCGTCATAGAGAGGATTTGTCTTTAGCGATCCCCACGATTGGGAGTCATATCGCTCAATTCGTGTCTTTTCATCTAGGACACTCTCGTCCATAGATGAACTACTGAGAACTCTCTCGCTCTCAGTAAACACTGTTGTTGACCTTATGTCGGTTACACACTCGTCGTCAGCGACGAGTATGCAGATCTGCTTGACTTTGCCACTACGCAGATCACGCAAGAGCCTTTTATGTTCGAGCGTTGGCAATTGAGTGATCTCCGAAGTCAACTTCGGAGGCGCAATCAGATCAAGTGTATAAGCGCCTACACTTGATCCATCATTGACTAGGGCATTCAATGTCTCTGTCATTTCCTGGGGACTTATTCCCTCAGGCCTCGAAGGACTTATTCCTTCGGCTTCCCGGGGACTTATTCCCGCGGGTTTCGGGGAACTTATTTCCGCCGTATTTGTAATATTGCGACTTATTCCCTTTACTTCTTCTAGCTGGGGTTGCGCAACCACAGCGAGATCCTCTACGAAAGGCTCTCCAGTCGATCTAGGATTATCGTTTCGCTTAACCTGAGCGATCGATTGTTTCTCTTCTAGATGTTCCCCGCTAGGGATACATCTTTGTCCCGGTCCACTCGAATTATTCGAGTGGTGGACCTTCGGCGCAGCCTGTGTTTCCTCACAGCCGCCGGAACTTTGCTCCGAAGTGTAACCGTTTGTTACACTAAGGTTTTGTGCCGTCGTACTAACGACCGTACCACAAGTGAGGCCATCGCACTCACTCGTAGTACATCCACACGCTTGTGGACGCTCCAAAACGTTCATCAGATGGCCATCTGATGAACAAGCGGCTGGCATCGTTACTGTTCGATGTTGCCAGTTTACCCGTGGTTCGTACCTTCTGAGCCACGTTATTCCAAGGATGACATCAAAATTGTCATCCAAATCCAATACGATAAAGTCATCGTCATATTGGGTATCTTCTAGCGTATAGTGGATCTTCACTATACGCTTCATGACGGTTACGGATGCGCCTGTCGCAAGACGTACCGTCATCCTCGTAGGAGGTATGTCACATTCACTGAACTTAAAGTGACCATCTTCTAGCGATTGGCGTTGCACAAAATTGTTGGACGCCCCACAATCGACTAGAGCTCGAAGGGACAACTTATTCGTCACTTCGAGTTTCAAGGTAATGAGTGAGATCTCATTACCTAGAGCAGCAACGCACAACGTTTGTGTGTTGGGAGCAACCTGCATCAAGAGGCCTACAAATCCTCTTGACGTTGCTGGACCAGCAGGATGCTCCGCACCTACTGATCCTGTCCGTTATTTTACGGTCCATCCCGTTGTTGCGTCTTTGCACCAATAGCGGACCCGCGTCCCTGCCCCTTTCTCATGGGTGGACGGTCACTACGCCCAGTGTTGCGAGACACTGGACGAGGGGCACTACACTCGTAAGCGTAGTCCTGTCTTTTGACATCTGTTTCATTTCTGTAACTTCTTGTAGTCTGTAGAGCGAGCCTTCTCGCTCTCTACATAACAGAGTTCCATCGGCTCTGGACTTCCGCTGTCATATCGTCTCGGTGGACGATATGATGTCGAGCTGGCGCGAGCCTGTCTCAAACTGAAGTCTTCCTGTTCCGCAATGGAAATGGCTTGCTCTAGTGAATCTATTTCAAGTCGGAACAGGTGAGTCTTGACGGGACCATCCGCAAGACCCTGCATGAACACCGAAACCAACGTGTGTTCATTAACCGGGTTGGAACCTATACAACTAGTGAGATGTCGTATATGTTGCGCGTAAGCGTGCACATCACGCTTACCCTGATTGAGCTTCAAGAGTTCGGTTCGAGCTCTGAACTCAGCTCTAGGCGGTTCAAACGTTTGTCTGAGCCGCGACTTGAAGACTTCCAACGACCCAAACGCATATGGGTCGTGCAACTTGAGCCCCAGTGCCCAAGTCTTGGCACGTCCTGCCAGATTTGACTGGGCAAATGCAACTTGCATATCCCCGTCGTCGATGCGACGCGCCCTTATGGCGTCGTCTAATTCGACGAACCATCTCAAGAGGGAGTTCTCTTCGACTCCCCTATACTTGGAGATGTCAATCTTCAAGGTCTCGGGTCGACGCAAGTGCATCGACCCACCAGCAGCAGCCTGCTGCTGTCTCAACAGTTCAAACTGTTGAGCACCCTGACATCTCAACAACTTTGACTGTTGAGAACCTTGTTGGTGAAGCAAGGCTACTTTCTCGCGTTCTGCGTCAAGTTCATTTTGAATGAACTTGGCGATAGTAGCATGTTGGGCATCTCTATTGAGAGCCTCTAGCATGACGCTAACAGCATGGATGCCCATGGTTGAACCCATCCGTTCAACCGCATCCCATTCGACATCGCTCAAATGGGAGTAGCCGTCACGCGTAGCGTGAAAGCTTTGGTCATCTTCGTCATCTAACACATTCATGTTGGATGTGAACGCGGTCCTTGGACGGACTACGAAGTGCTACCAGGTGTAACGGGGCACCCTGAAGCTTGTACTGGTGACAGTACAAGCTACTTATTCTGATGACAGAATAAGGCGGTGCCTCGGAACTTCACGTACACTCGTACGTGCAGAGGAAGACGTTAAGAAGAAGCGAGTACTTGGTTAAAGTAAAAAGTAGAACTGTATTTAGCATAGTTAATGTCTGTTAACAAAGCACTATTTATCCTCATCTAACTATGTCTAAATACAAATGTGTAAATCAAATATCTGCTCACCACTCATTGCGTGCGTCTGTCGTGGCGCGTCTTCGTTGGTTGATATAATGGCCTATATCAACCAATTAGGAACTACTCGTAAGTGCTACAGAATATTTGTCCTTATGACAATATTCTGAGAATATAACTCTTATAGTTATATTCTATGAACAAGTTCTTATAAATTGTTATGTAACAATTCACCCCGTTACACTGAACATCATTGAGTACATACTCGTCCCAAAGGAACGACCAGCGTTTTGCATGCTTTCCTTGGCGGCTATGCAAAAGTCGTCCGTCGAGCAGAAACGTGTTTTGTCCAGGTGAGAATTGAATTTGCGAAATAGACACCTTTGCCACACGTTTCAGCTGCAAGTTTGATAGCAGCAATCTTTAGTCTGCCGCTCTTTGCGAGACGCGTGTACGCCAACATGGCCGCGCAACGGACTCCTTTAACCTTGGAACTTCCTTCAGACTGCTGCTTCAACTTATCGACGGCTCTTTGCAGCACGGCAGCATCCTCCCAGGCAGCAGAAGTGCCAGCTTCTTCCTCAGGGTCTTCTGCTCCAGCTTCCTCTCCAGCGTTCTCCTGTCGCTCGACCACCGCGCCCTGATCAGGTTGCCAATAGCTGGACAGCGGCCATGCTCTTGAAGCTGCCTGCTCCGGCCACAGCTTCTTCCGATGCCGCGTTCTGCCCGAGTTGCTCAAGTTAATTGACGGCCGTCATTTCTTTACCGCGAGGTTCTGTAAGCGCAGTGACATCGGTTGCCCGGTCTTCAGCGACTTCTTCGCAGTCACTAACTTGAAGTTCCTCCCCAGCCTGTCCGATGTTGCTGAACGTGTTGTCTTCAGTTATAAAGCCGCTGCTGAAGGCTGACTGTTCAATTCTTGAGGGGATACTTGCCAAAGCTTGCAGACATATTGCTTCACGTGCATCCTTGATATGCTGACCGCGCTTGTTAGCAGGAGGCATTGAAGCGTCGTGGTCGGTCGGTGGTTAAAAAGCGTTGTCAACGCACGACTATGCACACATGCAGACTGCAGTCCTCATGTGTCAGTGTCATAAATCAATCGTATAATAGTAATGCATCACCACCCAATGAACAGATACCTCATACCTCTTAACAAAATAAAAAAGTTGTCAAAAGTACTTATTTGAGGCATCACAGTCAGGTAGAGTCACGTGATCGTTCACCTGCCGAAAATAAAAACTCTTCATTTTTGCTTACAAATTTCTTTAGGGGTAAAAGTTGGCCACATTTTGTAGTTGTTGCTGATTCGAAGTGACTTGCACTGTGCAATTATTTGTACTAACAAGTATCGACCCAGTCTTCTGGTCTAAATGCAGTTGTACGTACAAATAAGCCTGACGATGAATTGTCAATTGTTCAAATGTACTTGTACCTACAAATACATTCACTTCAAACTACAAATACATTCACTTGAAACTACAAAAACATTCACTTGAAACTACAAACAAACACTTGGATTTGTACAATGTGTGACGAGTTGCTTGGCCAGATGAGCTGCTGAAGGAGATTCAAGATACCGCGAGACAGAGAGAGAGAGAGAAGAAAAACTCATGAGCACGTACTGACTGGACGTGAGACCAGACCAGACCTTGGCGATGGGATGGGCGGGTGTCAAGCGTTCGTCCATTTAAACAGGCAGTCTAGATCAAGGCCACAATCTCTGACAGCAGGGGCTGCATCGCCTGGCAGCTCGGTGACAAATGGAGACGACGAAGCACTTCAGCAAGACCGAGATCCATCGAGAGATTGCGAGCAGCTTCAAAGTTGAACAGCAAGCGCCCGAGTCCGACGATTATGCCTTCGATCGTCTGCTGCTGCACGGACAGCGACGAGAGTTTCGAGACTCGATCGAGCGTCTCGACTGCGCCACAGACCAGTGTCGTGATCAGCACCTCTTCTGCACCAGCTGTCAATGCCAAGCAGCAGTTGCTGACGATATGCGCACTTAGCACACGCGCGTCGTCGCTCGTTGATGAGTCACTGATCGAGGTGAAGACGAACGGGAGAAACCGTGGCGAGCTGACGAGCGCCACGTCGCAACTGCCAGCATTGGCAAAGGCGTTGAGCAGGACCGATAAGAGCAGCGTCTTCTGCGCAGCTGTCAACCGCAGCGATTCCGCTTCCGTCTCCCGCACCACGGCTTCAAAGCACGTTTTCGTCTCAGCTGCAGCTGCAAGAGCACGAGCTGGCGGCGGGAGCAGCAGCAACACTCGAAGCAGCCCCAGAGCGGGGAAGAAGAACGCCGACTCGTGCCCACGAGCGACCAACTTGTTGACCGTCGTCCAGCATGCTTCCGTCGTGGTCGACTCGAGTTCCTGGTCAGTCTTCTCTGCTGCCACATGGGCCACCAGCACATCGAGCGCCGCCATCTCGTCCTCAGTTACCACGTGCTGCTCGGCATTCAACTCGCCAATGCGCTGCACCATCTTGTCCAAGAAAAGTGCCGGTGCTCCGGCAATTTTAAAGCGACGCGAGGCCAGACCTTCTGACGCAGCAGCCGAAGCTGATGCCGGTGCTGATGGCACAGCAGCAGTAGCACGTGATGGGTCGTTGAACGGGATGGAAAACAGCCCGTCTCCTGGTGCAGCATGCATCTGGTTGTTCATGTTCTCCAGCATCGGTCTCAGCATCGCACTGCCGCAAAAGACACACACACACAGATACCCATCGATTAGCATGCCCACAACACATATCTCCACCCTATGACCACCCATTTGCTAGTGACCATCCAGCCGCAACGTACCCAAATGGCGAATTCAGCGCCTCGTTCGGCAGATCCAGAATGTACTGGGGAATGCCCGAGCCAACGAGGAACGTCGCTGCTTCGTCGGAAAAGTTGTTGCAATTGTGCTGCAGTAAGTCGTACGTAGTGTCCGTAAACCGGACGCTGTTAGAGCGTAGAAAGTGCTCGAATTCCAGCTGCGTCCGTCCCGTCTGCCCCAGAACAATCGTACGCACGGGTTGCATGCCGTAGCGCTGGGCCACGAGCTCCGGGGCCATGGCTTGGATCCCGCCGCCGCCAAAGAAATACTCCTTATCGAAGACCAGCACGCCAGTGTGCCATACACCGTCAATGGTCTTGCCCAGTAGAGCAGGCGACAGTTGGCGCGCCATGCCGTGGCTGAGGTCATACACGTGAAGAGTGACGCTGGACATGGGGACTCAAAGGGGTCAATTGGATTGTGTGGCAAAAGCGGCTGGATGGACACGAAGCGTTCGAGAAGGCACGGAACGTTCTCCCTTCGTGCATAGAAAGACAAACATTGAGACTCAGCGAGCTAGGGGTGGGGGACGAGAAAGACGCTTTTTTTTGCAAGACGCGATGGAGTCGCACTGCGCATTTTATACTGGAGATTCTTGGTTTTTTGGATAGAATTGCAAGGTTTATACTGCAGTTTCTAACCGAACGTTCTCAGCTGCGTCGAATCGATCCTGAAGAGACTCTGATCATGAGGATGGCTACACACGATGGCAACTGCTTGTCAAAAGCCTTATGGCAGTGACCGGTATCCCCGTGGCTTCGTCGTGAGCGGACCGTGGTATTTACGGCCGAGGAAAAGACCAGCAATGCCCGCGAGCAGGACGAGGACCGTGGTAGTGGCGTACGACACAGATCCTTTGTGTGCGACTTGGACGATCTTTGTCTTCACAGTCGCAACTGCGCCAGTGCTCGATGACGCCGACGCAGTCGAAGGAGCGTCCGTTTTTGCTTCCACGGCGTCGAAAAAGCCCACCTCTTGGAGCCACCACTTCGGATAGAAGATCGATTGGACAGTGAGCTTCTTTGCGTAAAAGTTGGACACCTGGTAGCCATCGTGAAAGGCCGTGACGAGGTAGTCGAACAAGTCCACAGACGCATGATGCGCACGTTGAGCAAATGCCTCACTCTTTGTCGTATAGAACTCGACCATGGCAGGTACACCGCCATCGCGCTTGTGCCGCGCAGCTTCGAGAAGCACACTTTGGAGCATACCGTTAGCGTAGCTCTCCACTTCATCTTGCACTCTTGTCACGAAAGGAATGGTGTGCGAGTAGAAGCGTGATGCCCAGTTGCCCACGAGAGCATGAACCCAAAAGGATGAATTCCGGTCCAATACGTAGAGCGAACCACGTGATAATTGCTGTGGCACGTCAGTCACTTGGACAAACACGGGCGTGTAGATGGTGGCATGTGGGGCGTACTGGCCAAACCAGAGAAACGCGTTGTCCGGGTTGTGTGGGTCCAAGATCGAGACGAACGAGTAGCTCGCACGAAAGATGGAGATTGCGCGCTCAAAGTGGCCACGCGAAAGATCTTCTTGAGTCAGGTCACCGTTCGGGGAAGCGTCGTAGCGGTCAGGGTTGCCGTATGGACCACTCTTTGGACCCTTGGTCATGTCAAACGGCGTACCTTCGTAGTGGTCCCTCTGGAAGCGCATGATGTCGCGAGGCGATAGAGGCGACGCTGGCTTGACTCCGAACGGGTAGTCACTGGCAAACAAATCGGTTTCTGGAGACAGCTCCAGCGCCGGATTCGCCAGCGTGAACAAGCGCCAGATACGACGAGTGGAGTAGTACTGGTGCGTTGCCTCCCGTGGCCGGGCATACACACGAGTAAAGTCAAAAGGCTTGCTATTCTCAGGCCTCCAAAGGTTGTTGCGGATAGCAACGTCGTGCACATTAGGAGAGGCCAAGAAATCTGTCGGGCGATTCAAGTCCAGCTCGTGGATCACAAATTGGTTGGCCACGCCACTAATCTGATCGTCCAGGACGCGCTGGGCAGCCCAGATCGCCGACTTGCCGGTATCGTCCGGCAGAATATGAAACATCCACGCCTCTTTCGTGTCCGTCACCGTGAGCGCTTCACCAGCCTCGTCGTACACGTTGTCACCTTCCCACTCAGCCCCATAGTATCCGTACTGCACTGCAAGATCTCCCATCAACTGAATGGCTTCACGAGCTGTTCGAGTGCGTTGCAGTGCAAGGCGGGAGAGTTCGCCCACATCAAAGAGTGCGTGTCCTCCTTGTGTGAGTGGTCTGGTCCAAAACCGCGCGGGACAAGTGCTCTCACCAATAGCAACTTGGTGCTCATTGATGATCCCGTAAGCGCCTTCGATGTAGCCAAACGTTTGTGGTGCTTCCGGGATGCTGCCAATAGTAGGCGATGCAGTCCAATTAAAGAACCGCGTGTCCACGTTCTCAGAGAGATACTCCTTGCCACGAGCGGTGCCAACTACACAGACAGCAGAGCAAAAGGGGCACTAGTTAGCCCACACAATCATCGGTTACACTAGAATTGAATGGGAGTGTACCGTATCGCGGGTAGTCAAAGGCGGCGAGCACGACGTCGTGCTGCGCGCCAGCCTCGTGCACTTTGGCCGGTACCTTTGCGATGCGAAAGTCGCACGAGGAGCAGTCGTTCGTGTGCGTCGTCATGGGCGTGCCAGTCGTGGATGCCTGCATGGGTTACACTCTATTGCGTTAGAAAGCATGCAGCAGCACGGTTTTTTGGACGTTCGTGGGTCTATGCACCTTGGCACCGACGAGAATGGCTGTGCAGCGGTCTTTTGCCTCTGCGGGCGTTGCCAGTGCGGCAAGCACGAGCGAAACGGTGATGCGTATCATACTGGGTTACGCTGGACACGTCCTCTCGACCACTTGATGTTTGCGGAGCTTTTTGATAAATGAGGGGCTACGGGCGGAAGATCCGAGCGTTGGGTTTAAACAGCGTGGGTACAAACTGTGGACTGGGTTACACATTTTTGCTGTCGATGGTATCTGTCTGTCGATCTGGCTGCACCCATACCCCCACATGAGTGAGTTGGGTACATAGATTTTGGGTCCGCGAAACAGATGGTGAGGTGACGACGGACGTCGTGGGTGGCGATATAAAAAGAAAGAGGCTCCTTGGAGGGGGGGGGCAGGAGCAGTTTTTACGTCCGTCACTATGCGACGTGTTCCTACCGACTAAAGACTTGCAAGTTGGCCATAGAAACGATTCAGCCGCTACCACAGCAATAACGTGACTTTATGCGCCCATGGCGGACAACAAACACAGTACAAAAGGACTTGCGTATGACGAGGAAGAGACGAGCTTGGCATGTGAACGACTTGAGTCTTCTGCAGTATTGTTCGTTTCCGGTGCTAAGCATGGACATTCGATACCGATTGCCTCGTACCTCGTGAAAGCTAAGAGTAAACGTCAAGTGTGAATAGTACAGTACTGGTTCCGCAAGTACATAAGCCACCAAGCGCTCGTAGTTCGTTGGCGGTTACAAATCGAAACGTTCGGATCGACGCCAAGCCAGTTAATGACGAACGTCACGTCAAGTTGCAGCAGTCGCAGCCACTGTGAGCTCCGCATTTGTCTCTCGTACACGATACTCGAGCCTTGTGCTCCCCAGAAACAAGTTGAGGGACCGACCTTCATAAGTGATCGCCAGTATTGGTTTTCATAGACCACAAAAAACCATGGAGCTCGTCCGGCAAAAATCGGTCGTACCATCGTCCTCGTGCCACCGACTCGCTCTTTCTCTCTCGCTCTCTCTTGCGCCACGCCATTTGTTGACACAAATTTCCACTTGCGTGTTCGAGCGGTAACTGCAGCCAGGCGCATCTAACGCGACCCGTCTTTGCACGCCGCTCCTTTTCTCCGCCCGGGCCCACCATCCCGCATTCTCACTTTTGCCGCATCACCCGCAGACGTCCGGGGGTCCGTGTGCGTGGAATCAGTGTCCGCGCTAAGTACGAACCAAAAGCACAACGCAAAAGCGCATTGTGGTCTCCTCATCCCCGTACTGATCAGCCCACTCGCCCACTCACTCACTCACTCGGTCCCCATGGCCGCCGTCCACGACCCGCCTTTCCTCCGCGGTTACGAACCCACGTCCGCAACCGCCGTGTCTCCCGACGCCGTCTCCACCGCCAGCTCCGAAGGAGATGACGAAGACGAACGCAGTGGAAGCAGCAGCATTGGCCGGCCGCCCATCACGCCCGTGCGGGGCAAACTCAACGCCGACGAAGTCTTTCTCCGCAACATGCTCGGGCTCCTGAACAAACGTGGCTACAACGTGCGGGAGTCAACAAACGAGACGTTGACTGCATCGTCCTCTGCCAGCTTGACCGGCTCCAGCAGCTTCACCAGCACTGGCTCGACCTCCGTGTCGTCTGTGCTCTTGGCTCTGCGTGAACCCACGCACGGCCAATCGCCGCTCCATATTGCCGTCCGTCGATGTGACATGCAGGTCCTGGACGCGCTGCTGGAGCACGAGAGCCGGGACGAGCTCCTGGACGTGTCGGATTCCAATGGGAACACGGCGCTGCACTTTGCCACGGGCCACTGGCGACGTCCGACGAGTGTCGACGTGACGGACAAGCTGCTGGGGGCTGGGAGCAATGTCCATGTGGAGAACAAACGGGGCCTCACGCCATTGGGCGTGCACATGCTCACGCTCAAGATTGATAACCCGACGCTCGTGGTGAAGCTATTGGAAGCTGGCGCAGACCCGAACACGGAAGCAGAAGGCGTTGCCGTGCTGCATCTTGCGGCCCGACGGGACTTGCCCGTGGTGTCTGCCGTGTTGACGGCATTTGGCGCGTCGATGCTGTCGTTGAATGCTGATGGACTCATGTGCTACGAAGTGGCATCGCCACGGGTAAAGCGGTGTATGGTGCGCAGCATCAACAAAGCACCGCCTGCTTATGTGTCGATGACGCAGCGATGTGCTTGCATGCGGTGCAAATCGTCGACGCTTGTGAGTCATAAGAAGATGCTTGGGAACTTGGTGAAGCGGGTGCTGGGGATGCATCTGCGAGCTCATCAAAGCAACTGCTATCACTGCGGAATGCTCTTTTGTTCCCAGTGCCTGAAGCCATCGGCAGCTGTCAGTGCCATTCCATTTGTCCGTGATGACGACAAGTCCAGTGGAAAGATCAAATCGTGTCGTCTGTGTGAGGCGGTGCTTCTAGACCGCAAGCGGAAGCAGGCGTCACAACACATATTCGACATGCATCGTATGGGTCTTCACCCGACCATGCAGATGAAGAGATAGAAATGAACCGACTACGCTTTGGCGCAGACACCTCACACCGCCGTAAAGGCGACAATGCTCGAACAAGAGTGCAAGTGGACGACGAGAGAGAGAGTGCACACCAAAGGGAGTGTCGGCAACTCGAAATGCAAAGACGTTCGTCGCAGCATCCTCCTCTGTCTACCACTGGCACTGCTTATCCGGCCCGATAACTTAATACAAGCAGCGTGCATCTTTGTTTTCCCACAGCTCGGGCGTCGTTGCTACGTGGATAGGGACCACACCTACCCAAACATACCACCGAGTCCGTTGTCCTCGGACAGACCGTCACCAGCGGTCATGCGTCTAGCTTCACGCATCGCTGCCTTCTCCTTTCCGTGCTTACTGTCCGCCGGATCGAACGTCGGGTACGCATCTAGCACAAACTTGCCCTGCGTACTCGTGGCCTCAATTGCACGGACCGGAAACTGTGCGAGCGTAGTGAAGTGATGCAGCGCAATAGCCATAACGACAGTCGTGTCCAGATCAAGCTTGCTGGACGCTTGTGTCTGCTCGCCGTGAAAAGGAACATGGACAAAGTGGTCACAAATAGCACGCTGTTCCTCTGAAAGTCCAGGAAACTGCACAGCATCAACACAGCACAACACGAATGGTAAACGAAAAGACTGCAGCAATACCCAGCCAGTATCTGGTTGTGACGATGACGATTGCATCCTAATCATCTCTAGACGGCCGTACCTCGTTATCGATGACGAAGGCGCTGGTGCCTTTATACGGCATGACATGTGCTCCTGATACGGTAAACGTATGACAAGGCAAACTGAAGTGAGTAGCAGCACGCAAACCAGTAGCTTTTCAAACTGATTGACGGACGTACCATAGGATCCGGTCGGGTGCTTGCTCAGACCAAAGATGGTGCAGCCTCTAGCCTTCAAGTACTCACGAGCCTCGGCAACGTCATACAAGTGTACGACATCCACATACTTCTGCGCTCGATGTGCTCCGTGAGTTCCAAAGCGTTCGGAGCCCACTGGTCGTGATCAACGCCAAGCCAGTCATTAGATCTCTTGCTCTTTTTGAAATGATGACGCCGTTATGAGCATGAGAAAAGCGCTGCACTCACCGACCAGCACTTGCGTCGTTCCAAAGGCAGAAGCGGTGCGTAGAAACGTGCCAAGATTCTGTCGTCCGCTCTTGTTAGACAGCACGACGTACAGCTCGACCGTCATGCTTCGAGTCGTCGCAACTTGTCAAACGCTTTTCCCTCGATACAGTGCCTCTGCGACGTGTGAGAATTCAACTGAGCTGCTCGTCAACGCAGCGCTCTTTGCCATAAAACGTGCAAAAGCTGCGAGAAATCGACTTGTCCTGCGTACCACGCAACACTTTGGAACACTTGAACAAGTTCACAGGACGAACTCGAATGTACCAATGAGCCTCGTCGTGCCTTTTTTTCCAACGGAGGCGAAACAAAATGCGGCAGCAACAAATTCTGACTCGAGATGTTGCAGTCTTGTGCTTGCCGGATGGTTTGGTAGAGTGATGGAAGAAGGAACCACAGCGTCATTGTAAAGTGCAGCATTGCACGCAGCATTCCAAAACAATGTCGAAAGTTGGCTGCAGGATGCACACTCGAGTCGAGGCACGAACTGTCACCAAAGACCGCTATGCGACCTCCGTCGGGCGACGGCACTTCGTGAAGACTCACACACAGGAACATCCGTTTACATCTTCTCCATGCCATTCAGCATCCTTGCACTTTGATCGACGGCATCGATGTAGCCCAGATATCCAGCATGGCCAGGAAATTTGTCAGGTACGAACCCGACAAGTACGGAAACGAAGAGTCGTTGCCCGTATCTAGCAGAGATACACTCGTGCTGTGAACAACTTTATTTCCAAAGGCGGTATGGAAACTCTGGAGCAGGTCGTTCATCGCCGGTACATTTGCTCCACCAGTGATGGCGTGCCACTTGCTCAATGTACTTGTGTCGTAAAGTTGGAGCAAGTCAAGTAGTCGGATGTCGTACTAGTCGGAAAAATGATCAAAGACACGTTCGAGTGCTCGATCGCCGCTTGCAAGACGACAATCTCGTCTCGGAAGAACTCTTCTCCAGAATCAACAATCAGCGCAACACCGTATTTACTCAGATCCAAGCACGAGTACTCAAACGGCAAGATCTCGATGAAAAAGTCTTCACTCATCAAGAAGTTCCACAGCTGGTCAAATTTTGTATGTGGGTAATCTCCTACAACATCCATGAGATCATGCTGGTTGTCGAGGTTGTCTATCGGCACAAAAGCAGACGGGAAGGGAATGTTGTGGAACTGGTCCCACAAAATGCGCTTCGAAGCTTGTGGAGAAGGTAAATTCCTGATAGTTACCTGGACAAGGAGCTCACTGACGTGATCACCATTGTCGACTTCAAGTCGCAGCTCTCCTTTGGCGATACCCTCGAAATTAGCAGCCTGCTCTTTTACTGCAATGAAAACGCCAACCGAGCCAATATATGGCCAAAGGGTGAAAGGCGTTGACGTCGAGACCGCTAGGTACTCGCTGTTAGTGCCGACAATCCACTGCGGTGGACTCTTGATGACACCAACAACAGACGCGGGATTCAGGATCGTCAAGTTCGCCACGGAAATAGCGTGCTGTGATATAGTGGCTGCGAGCAGTATGGCCACATGCGTGGACAGTCGGTCATGTCAAGTTCGTCCGGAAAAGAGCTTGGCTTTAAGACACTAGAACTTGGCTCATGGCCATCTTGTGTAGCATTGTGAGCACTTTGGTGCCCACAAACGCTCCACCATCTCGCTTGCCTTGGATATGCTAAGCGTTCCGCTTCCTTGCTCAAAAATGGGGCTTCGAACCACATAGTCAGCATCACGGCGAGCTACGAGTTTGTCTGAGCGTTCAAGCAGATTTTGTTTCATCGATGCCACGTTCAACAGGCTCCATCCTTCTTATTTAGCAGGAACATGGATGCAAGAACAGCTATCGCTGCCATATGATTGGTGCTGATGCGCTGGTTTGCGAGAGCGTTTTGCATCCACCAGAGACATCTGCACCATGAACGTCTTCAGCAAGAGTGACAATGTCGGGCTTGACACGGCCAGATCCGAACGGAAGCTCCCAAGATGTCATGCCACGCGACGAGAATTCAGCAATTTTCCATTACTCTTGGTGATGCCTGCTACACCAATGACTCCTGCTTGATCAGCAGGATTAGACAGCATGCCGTAATGAGGTCCATTGATGCCGACAGCAGAAACCTGGTCGCTGATATTGTGATCATGCGCTTAGCTGGGATAGCTCCAAAGCGACAACCAAAAAGAGCAGGCACCGTACCAGAATGATGCCATTTGCAACCAGTTCCCGAACGAATTTTGTCGACAAACAGAATATCCTGGAAGTCGGGTCCTCCTGTGCTTAAATTCAGTACATGGATTCGCTTGAACACCGCGTAGTTAAACGCATCGAGATACCACGATGTAAACGACAGCTGCTCTTCAATGAACATGCGAAACACAAACAGCTCGGCTTCGGGGGCAGTACCAGTTCACTGTGCATCTGCCCCACTGATATTACCGGCTACGAACGTGCCGTAATTCACCGAGTCTGTATTCTCGGCTCATGGGTCCAGTAGCTCTGCTCTGTAACATGCCGAAAATGTGACGAGGACGAAGACAGTCCGGTATCGCAGATCCCAACCTTGACCTCTTGTCCTGCATACCCCCGTTTCCAGAACTCTTGACGTCGTCGTCTCCTTCCTCAATCCAAGCAACTGCTTCTCAGATGTCTTCTCAGATGCACTCCTTTTGTTCTCCACCGTCTTCAAGTTGCGTCTTAATGCTCGCCGCTCAGTCAATCCCAGCAGCTCCAGTTTTCTGTACCCATTACTCACTTGAACAGCTCTTATGGCCGCCCTCGAGCCTTCGTCTTGACGTGGTCGTGCATCACGCTTTCAAATCCAAGGCACACACTGTGGTCCACTGTTGCTTCTGCTGCATTGCTAGACCCTCCACGAGACGCTTTTAGGTTGCAGTAAAATAGACGCAACACGACAAAATCTGTAGGTGCTTGGCAAGCAAATTTGGATCGCCCAGCAATCTCCAGACCATAATCTGATGCGGCAGAGCTGATTAAACCACCCACGAGCTGTTCTTGAGCGGTTAAAACGTCGTTATCGCGTAATTGCACGATGTGTTCGTGTTTTAACGCTTTTTCATAGAATTCACAGCGTTTCGACTTCATTTGCGCAGCGTCCACCAGTGACGGAGAGCGACCAGAAATAACAGCAGCGGTAGTAGAAACACGGAGGAATCAGATATCGTTCTGTTGGTTACACACCACCAGTTGACGGTGGTGGACGCTGATCGAGTTCCGGATGATGGCGCTATCGCCATTGAGTATGGGCTAAGAACGAAGGAAGCAGCAGAGTTTATGGTCATCGAATGGAGCCATGTGTGAAAAAGTTCGCTTGAATCAGTACATTCATTTGAAGTGGGTCGGTCTGATTCCTTGTCGGATGTTCTCATTGTCCCGCGTGAACTGCCCCGTGGCGTCTGCACTTTAATTTACTGTCGATAGTTTTGTGTGGCGCTGGGATTTGGAGACTTCATTGACCGGTCACTACCAACGTAAGAGAGATGGTTGAGGTTATTTGATTGATATTCAAAGGGTCACAACGCAACCTAAGCAGGGTAAGCATTCTGGTGCTCTATCTGCATGCACGACCCTATCTTCATGTAACACTCTATCTTCAACATCTTCGAGCAAAGTCATCAATGTCGCGAGTTGTTTGCAACAACCGTAGAACGAAATCGGATAAGAGAGTCATTTTCTCACCTTCCGCCTCAACTTTCGTGCTGCGACGTGTCACTGCTACCACTAAACGCCTCCATTTCGTCGTCATCTCCGTACTTTTCGTCGTGCTCTTCCACAGTTGTTGACGGTAGTAGTCGTGGTGATCCAAACACCGCGTTGCGCAAGAGCCCAAAACTCTCTGACACCAAAGTGTGCACTAGTAGCCACTGGACTCGCACAAACACTGCTAGCAAACAGATCAGCGCGGCGTAAACTGCCCAGACGTCCAGCATTGCAGTTTTGTGCCATGGCGCAGTCAAGTTCAGGGTTGCAAGATGATCAACCCCTAGACGTAGCGCAGCATCAATCATATCGATTGCACGAGAGGTACCGCCAGCTCGTTCCAGCAATGAACCGACCCTTTGTGCAGCACGAGTATACGAGACGTTTGTCAGGAGTTCTGTGACTGCAGCATGAACGTACGGACCCGAAAGGAGGTTCTTGTCCAGTGACAACCCTGCCCCGGCATCGACAACACGTGCGGCAACATCCGGCTGGTCCACAAGGAACGGAATGCATAGCAGTGGCTTCTTCATCACTAGCACTTCTTGAGCTGATACCATGCCGCAGTGCGAAATGACTAAACGGACAGCCGGGTGATCCAGAATTTCCAGGTTTGATAGGAACAAACTGGGAGATTTAACAACCCACGACGTCGGTAACACAGACGGCAAAATGTCATGCTGGTCGGTGGGAAGAACCCAAAGTACGTTCATGTACACGTCATCGGGCCCAGTGAGTAATCCGTCTACAAGAGCTCGGGCTTGCCATGCGTCAATACAAGCCAAAGTACCAAGATTTATATACACGACACCACTAGATCCAGCTTGAACCTCGTTCTCGTCCGAAGACTTTGTTGGAGGATGAGTTTGGGCTTTTCGCTGCCGCAATCGCATCGACGAGCCAGACTCACTCGCCGCGTCAAGCCAGCTCAACAGCATTGGAGGCAGCCTTTGACGTTCCAGCCTGTCAGCATATCCCCCTGGTACCGGCATAACGGGTCCTACAGCATCCACGAGTGGCGACAAAGGCTGCGGGTGTTCAAGCCCGAATGCAGTATTGAGGATTACGCGCGCGTCTTTAAACAAGTCGTGCTGAGATTGAAATGGTGGCAAGTCCAGCTCGTAGCGTACTTTGTTTAACTCCATGAACGGCGGTGTCAACGCGACGGACAATAGTCTTGGAAACAAAATGTTCATGCATCGATTCCACAGTGACATGTTCACACTAAAGCCAGTTCCCCACGCAGGTACGTAACTCGGGGCTTCTCCAAGGTCAAAGAGCAGTGACGGCGAGTTGATAATGTACGGCACATCCAGCTTATCGGCCAGAGCTTGCACCCCGACAGTTGCCATATCCACCACGAGCAAGTCCGGTGCATTCATGTTGCTTCCATTGACTTCAAACTGAGGCAGCAGAGCGTCAAACATTGGCTTCGCAGCACGCACGTAGATGTCGTTAAACATGGTCAAGATCCCTCGAAAGTTCGAGGGGTCCCGCGTCATGACACGAAGTTTGTCTCGAAGATCCTCAGCGGATAACGGAAACGGTCCTGCCGACATAAAGGGAATCCCATAGGCATACGCCCACTGTCGGCCAGCGTCATGAGTTGCAAAAGAGACGCGATATCCTCGTTCTTGCATCTCACTGGCCATCCGGAGCAGCGGCTGAGCATGTCCTTCAATACCTATCGACACAAAGACAATGTGCGGTTTACTTGGATCAAGTAAAGGCGCCAACACGGCCGTAAAGGGCGGTGTAAAGTGCATACATTCGCTGGTGTCGGACAAACAGACCGAGTTGTTGCTCTCGAACGTCGATTGGGAAGCGCCGAATGGATCGATCGATCGGATATTCTCAGACGCGTTGCTAGAGACGCGTTTGTAGCTTTTTGCATTGGTTGGAAAGACAAGGACCGTCAAGAAGAGGAGCAGTAGAAGGCACAAGAGCGAGCTCGGGAGACCACGACGCTGCGTCATGTTGGATGTGCGTTTTTGACTGACTAGATGTGGGTCACACAAACGCCACGTCTGTCCATCAAAAAGCACACGACTAAAATTGCAGCGCGACTTATTTAGATAGCGACCTAAATCATCAGGTTCTTGCAAATGTTACGAAGGACTCGCCAACTTGATCGAGTAAGAAATGAGCTATAAGTGTGACCTCCTTCTGCTTCCGAATAGTGTGGATGCACGCAGCCAGAATGACAACAATTCCGCTTTTACTGGTAATTAATCCATGGACCAACTGAGATGAACTACTGCATGACGGTCGCATGACAGTCATAACAACATGCACACAGAAACGAATGAAGATGGGAATACCACGTATAGCATTTGCGAACAGACACTGCTGCAAAGTATTCTTTTGTCGTAAGACTTGAGGAGCATTTGTTGCGGGTCAGAGGAGCACCCTAGTTATAAACTTGCGTACGTGATGCATTAGAGAACACGGGACTTTTTAACATGTAGCATGAGCACAAACAGACATTGGATCTGCTCCTTGACTTGTGTGTATGACGCCGAAATCTACCTGCATCATCGTAGAGCGAAATCAAGTACCCCTACAGCCAGTCTTAGCGTGTCATTAAGTTCCCGGTGGCGCCAAATTGTTATCGCGTGTTTCACGCACATGTGACCCGCTTGCTCGACATACGCACAACAAAGAAGTTCAGTGAGTGAATCAGATTAAGAAGCTTCGATCGATTCAGAAGTGCATTTCGTGCCATGGCTACACAAAAAGTCCACAGGGCTTGACATTAACTAAACATGGGTACATACCCATCTCATACCAGAACGGGTGGCGGTCCAAATTCATCTGCACCAAATGGCACGGACGTGGAACGCGGGGAACGCTGTACGAGCCGCTACGTTCCGCAAATGGTATGCCCGGGCGTGGTGGATTGGCCTGCATGTCTATGGCTACGTGGTGCTGGGATACAAGGGCGCATTAAGTCCCGACGCGCTGTCAATGCCTCAGTTTGTCTCGTCTCTCGTCGTCGCAGTCGTGACCATCAGCTGCTATGTCGTGCTCCAGTGTTCATCGCCTGGTTTTATAAAGAAGCGAACGTCCGTCTCACCTGCCATTGGACAGAGTACGATGCCTATGACTGTCAACTCTCCGTCTCCAATTCCAGCAGCAGAAGATGGTGTCAAGACGGAATTGCTGGTCGAGGGCTCAGAGCATGACCTTTCAGGGGACAGCAGTGACCTCCACTTTTGCAACGACTGTCACGTGTTCCAGCCACTGCGGACAAAACACTGGTACAATTGGGTGGCTGTAGCTAGGATGCAGCAAAAAGGAGCGAGGGGCTGGAGGTGGCATCTTACTGAAGCATGCTTTGTGTATGTGCAGTAAAGATTGCGATCGGTGTACGCGACAGTACGATCATCAGTACGTGAACATCGTTCATTCGTTAGAACGCTGAAGAAGCTGGAGTGAAAGCGATTGTGGCATAACGTTGTGTGTTGCGTGCACTGGTGATGGGGTGCACAGTTGTGACTGCGTCGGAACGTGTGTTGGCGAGAGCAATCGTCGGCTTTTTGTGCTGTATTTGCTCCTGCAAAGTGTGGAGGGTGCCGTGATGATTGGAGTCACGACTTCTGCTATCTCGGAAGCAGAAGACATTGACGACTGGTTCAAGATCAATGCGCTGTACCTTGTGCTGTGCTTCATGATCGTGTGCGTGTTGCTCATGGTCGTCCCGCTGTTGGGCTACCAAGCGTTTCTCATTTCAACAAACCAGGTGCGTGCAGTGAGTGCGTTTCCAGTTGTGTTGATCGTTCGCATGAACAACCAAGGGCATGACTGCATCTCTGAGGAGAAATGGAGCTCTAACGTCATCGATGTGTCATTTTTTACGTGCTGCAGACCTCGTGGGAACATGCTCGGCGATCCTCCATCACGTACTTACAAAACCTGTCAGACGATCGTTCTCCATTTGATCGCGGCATCCTTCAGAATTGGTGGGTCTTCCTCTCAAACGGCGACAGCAATAAATGGGTACATGAAAGTGTACCCAACCCAATAACGTCGTACGACGACGACGCTTCCTCACTCGTGTAAAGTACACAAAAAAGCACAATTTTGTCGACATTTTGGACTATAATACATACCTTTTTGTACACAAAAAGACCTATACCATCCGAACCTATAGACCCACAACGAGCAACCTACATACGTGTTTGACAGCACCGACCACAGCATGCTGGTCCTCACGTCGGTAGCGTCCGACGCAGCTGTCGCCCTCCTCTGTGCAGCGCTAACACTAGGAACCATGCTGCTAGTCACCTGGATATATGCGCCGATCGCTGAGGCCACGAGACTCGCTCAAGAGACCGACTCTGCACAAGAAGCTACATTTGTCGATCCTCATGATGACACGAAGCGGTACGTGGGTTTCCAGCTTCGGACGATAAAAAGCACTTTTTTCAGACTCTATTTTGATCCCTCTCTATCCGGGCTTATATTATAAATGCAGTTTGCGATTTGGGTCCTTGGGAGATGAACAGCCCCAAGTGTCGCTCACTGTGGTGATTCCAGCGTACAATGAAGAACAGCGCATTGAAGTGACACTGAACGAGACCATCGCGTTCCTCGATGAAAAGCAGCAGCAGGACCGGTCGTTCACGTACGAGGTCATTGTCGTGGACGACTGCAGTGTGGACAGGACCGTGGACGTGGTTCTGGATGCAGTCAAGCGCTACTCGATTGATCGCATTCGACTGCTAGAGCTGCAGCACAATCACGGCAAAGGAGGAGCCATTCGCAAAGGAGTGATGCGTGCACGTGGAGAGTTTGTGCTGTTTGCTGATGCTGATAATGCGACCGAGATCAGGGACTATGACAAGCTCGCACGTGTTTTAGAAGACGTCCAAAGCTGTGGACAGAGTGGAGTTGTGGTGTGTGGCAGTCGCGCCCATTTGGAAGAACAGGCGATTGCCAAGCGTCACCCGCTACGGAACTTGCTCATGCACGGGTTCCACCTGATCGTGTCGACGCTGTGTATCAAGAATGTGCGTGATACGCAGTGCGGGTTCAAGCTCTTTGACCGCACGGCAGCCCGTGTGCTGTTTCCGCCAATGCATATCGAGCGCTGGGCTTTTGACGTGGAACTGCTGTACCTCGCAGCCAGCAGGAAAATGGCGATCAAGGTGCGTTGGAGTGATGACTGCTGTAAGGTGTGAGGGAGCTCGCGCTGACTTTGCATGCGTGAATGCGTATGTTCGTGTCATTTGCTTGTTTGTGTTTTGGCAGGAAGTCGCAGTGCAGTGGAAGGAAGTGCCGGGATCAAAATTGAGTGTGATCTCCGCCACCATCACGATGCTGCGGGAAATCATTCTCATCCGTGTATGCTATAGTGCTGGCATTTGGAAGATCAGCGACGGTGGTTTTCGTCTTGCCGACCGATCGCAAAGCACAATAGCTGCTGTGAATGTTCCTAACTAGGCTATCGAGAGCAAACTACTAATACCAGTGCCGCAATGTTACAGCTTCATGATGCGTGCTTTTACTGAAGCAACAGATGGCAGCTGTGCCTTGTACAGCAACACTTCACACGCTGTGCTATCTGCAGCGGCAAGCTGCTGTCCGTCCACTCACCGCCAAAGTGATGAACAATCGGAGGACAAGTGCAACCGAAGAAGCAAATAGCCTTTGTGCTTATGACGTACTTTTACGACCAAAAATGTCCAGAGAGCCTCACAAATTTCGATGCCGGAAGTCTCGTTGGGTTGCTTCACGTTGCGCACTACCGGCCACTTCATTCGTTCGAATAGAAGTTCCAACGGAGCCATCGGATTGTATAAAGCACAAGCTATTGCTTCGATCCGTCCTGTTCGATTTTGACTTGTCGGAAGCAACGTTCTGCAGCCGTTGCTTCGGACGCTGACTTGTCTCATCATCGTCACACTTGGTCTCCCCTGATTCGTCTTGTCGTTTTTCGCTGTCCCGAGGTTTTAACCACGATCGAAGTGCATCTGATTCTCCTTTCATCGTGCCGCTTCTTTCCCGTTGTCTAGTACATGACGTCTTCACAGCATATGCTGTACGACTGTAGCTCAACTTCTGAATATTGATTTCTCCAACTCCATTGCCTTTAAGTTTATCGACACCTGCCTCAAGCGCCTTCTTCTCGGCGTCCAGAGCATAGTATTCATCGAGTCCCCAAACAAAACGTTTCTGTGCCTCGATCTCTTGAATGCTCTCGGTCTCCCGGACATGATTCACAAACTTATTGATCACCTTCTTTGATTGACGCTGCCCTTGCTGTCCACAAAAGTATTTGCTGATACTCAGTTGATTTGCCCTGGACACTGAATATACGGTCTTTTTTCTCGTCGGCATCGAGTCGCTTCGCCTTTTATGCTTCGATTCGGTCTTCTTTATGTCATACTTAAATTGCCGCTGAGACCGCGCTGTTTCGTCCTCACATCGGCTCTGTTGCGACGCCTTGTCACAACACCGGCTTTTGTATGAAACAAGCTTGCGTAAAGGTTGTACATGCGAGGAACAGTCGGTCGCATCTCGAGCTAGCGATCGTTGTCGTCTCTTTTTTCGTTCAGGGACTGCACCTTCTTCGCATGAGCTGCGTTGACTGCTGCTAGTCTCACCTTCATCCAATCCACCACCCTTCGTAGTCAAAAACGTACTCATCAATTGCTTGCTACGGACACACGACTGCTCCTGCTTCTCTGCTGCAAGCTGTTTCTTCGTCGCATTCATTGCATCAAAAATACACTGCAGACCAACGACAAACCAAGTAAACAACCAGCCTCAACATTTACACAGGCGTTTCAATCCACTTCTCACCGTTTTCAGCCCAGCATGAAGCCGATCAGCACGAGTCTCGCCTTCCACCTCGCCATCCACCAACCCAAATGTCCGCAACTTTCGCCATTTTGCATCTAAAACGTCGTTAGATACCACCCCGTCTCAGCTAAATCATCTCCCTACACCAGGCTACAAAGGATCACATTCTCGTGTAAAACTCACAGACCATCTGAAGCGATTGCAAGACCCTTTCGATCCCGTTTCCGCTTGAGCATCATGGTCAGCGGTAGTCTAAAAAAGCAAAACAACACTCACAAAGTCAAAACAAATCGATAGTCAAAACAAAGAGCCGCGTCTCCTGAGCTCATCGTTTCCAGTCGTACAGCTCCTGGGTATCCACTTCAATTGGAAACTCGTTCTTATTGTGGTCCACGCGCAGAACTTTCGCCATGCGATGGCCACGCGGATCTCCTGCTACAAACGCCTATGGGATCAAGTCAAATGGCTAGAAGTAGAGTCTACATAATCAAATCAGAGGCAGAAATCAATACGTGGAAACGTACAATAGAGAAGTACTCGATGGTGTCGCCTGGGAAGAGCGTCTCCGCTTGCAGCTCCGACGCGGAGAGCCCAACCATCCCAATGAGTGCTGGAGATTGTATCGGTGTTCTTGTCGTTTTTGTGAAACTTGCGTCGGTCATACCGTCAGGGCCGACTGGATTATACTTCATACCGATATCGAATAGGTATTGTCTGGTCCGGATGGTCCTTATTGCCAGGGTAATCAGACACTTCGGCTCTACACTTTTTATTCCAGACTGTGTTGGACAATTAGCAATACGACGAGTCTCGAGAACCTTGCAACCTCCCAATGGTGCGACTGATGCGATACTCCAGGGCTTAGCTAACGAATGCTCAGCAGCGACGCCAAAAAAGCTGTGATAACGTATATTGGTTTCAACCCAAGTACGTTGTCGACGCGGACGCTAAGGTTTCATCTTTAAGCTCTGGGTTCTGTCTTGATGGCGTGCCATTGAACGCCACAGAGGTGCGCCTGGCATCCGTTTGGCATGCAGATCCGCACACTTGTTGCAGCACCAGCTCTACCTTTGAGCTACAGGTGGGACTACTGATTACCTGCTGCTCACCATCGCGGTATGTTCAGCTTACATCGAGCATTGGCTGACGCTTGAGCTGCTCCTCCGGCATGCTTGCCACATTCGCCGTCGACTCTGATTGACGTACAATCCGGATACTTTTATCGTCCACAAGCAAGCTTCTTCCGACACTGCGCGGACAACGCGCCAGCAGCCATGACAGACGAAGTTATGGCAAATCTGCAGACACCTTAGTTTCGATACAGCCGAATGCTTCTTTCAACAAAAATTGGACGCATCCTTCTCGGCTGTAGATGCGATGACGCCCTGTTGGACGCGGCGGGTAGTTGCTGCCTCATTGAATTCGTCAGCGCGGCCGCTTCGGTTGTGTACCAAACCAATGAATATGTTTCGGTGCACTTCATAGCACCTGGTGAGTAGTCGATGGCATTCTGAACAGGTCTAATGCTTCGCCTGGGATCCAACACAGCCGCAAAATATCATCACCCACGCACGTACTAAACACACGCAGCTATGTAAACGACAATCGTGAACCATTCGGGGTTAGACATCGAGATGGATTGAACATACGAGGAATTTACCTGAGCAAGAGTTACAAAGCATTTGCCAAGTGGCATGCAACGATGCAGCGCAAGTAACAAATACTGCCCCACACTCCCAATTCAGTTCCATATCAATTACTTTATTGAATAAGCCAAAGCTCTTCACCTGAATCCGACCGCATCGACACGATCGTCAAATACCATACCACGCTTACTTATACTTCCACGAGGTCGGACTCGTAGCAGCAAAGTCCGTAATTGGCATCCTCCTAGCCCTGAACAAGACATCTAGTCGATCAGATTGTCTACAAATCCGTGACAGACCCGACCTTTCGTCTTTGTTCGCATGTACCTTCATCTCTCGGCTGAAACAGAACCATCCGTGTAGGTTTTGTAAACACATTCGACCGCATGTGGGATATTCCAGATTGACCGGTACCACTTCACTGGATGCTTACGGTGAGTAAAACGTATGAAGCATACCTTGCTTCGCCACTCAACGTTTGGCGTCAATTGCAGACACTAGTCATTCGCATCATTGCTCGGTCCTCCGTTGTCCTCCACACTTCCGATACGCCAAGCGAGTTGTCGGACCGCTTGACGTCGCGCATGGTCGACGCTCGTGCCTCGTCCCAACGCATCACATACCAAATGATGGTGATGCCAATCACTCATAGATGCAGCCTTCAAAGAGTCGTGGCGTCGGTCTCGTCAGGTTGCGCGAGTGCTACTGGAGTTTCCGGCAAATAAGAACGTCCAAGAAACGACCGAGCGACGCTGTTGGCAGCCACAGGATTTTTTCGACGTGCACTACCCATGAGTGTCATTTGAGCTACAGCTCGAAAGGCCGGACGCGTCGATGATCCTGGCACACTGAAAGACGTGTTTGCGGGTGTCAGATTGTCCCGCACACGGCTCAGCAGTTGCATAAAACTCGAGTTGAAGCCCAGCTCCGGCGTAAAGTGCAACAATTCCACGCGCGAGAGTGTGTAGTGCTTGTCCAACGGAATCTCCATGTCATTCAGCATGACCGGAAGGATGGGCTTTCCCTTGTCTTCAGCAAACGCCAGCTGGTCCTTGACTAGTTCACTGTTAACAGTCTTGCTCGATAGCACCACGATAAACGCCTCACACTTGAGAATAGCCTCCTTTGCAGCGCGGATGCGCTCGGTCATGTCCAAAAACATTTGTGTGCCATCCAGGAGACACCCCACATGGTATTCCTGAAGCCGGTCACGCAGACGCTTCACAAAGGCGTAGTGATGATCACCGTGTGAAACAAATACATACTTGGTATTATCCAACGTGACTTGGTTCCAGTCCATAACATTCTCACCGAAGGCAACATCACTTGTACCATTGCCCAGACGGCGATTGCTTCCGAGAATTTTAGCCTCGCGGTGCTTTGCGATCTCGTCACGCACGCCGTCAAGCAGCAGACGAAATTGAGCTGCAAAGCGAGCCTCGTCATATTCGTACGTGACCTTGCGCTTGTTGGCGTTATTTACGCTCTTGATGGCCGACTCGAAAGGCACCATTTGTCGAGTGTAAATGTATACTTGCATTTCGTCCGTAACTGCAGCACCCTCAGTTGACACCGCAATAATTGGTCTCCCAAGTTGCTTCGCCAACGCCAGCTCCTTGAGACACCACTCAGAATGTGCGTAGTCTTCCGTGTACAGGCAAATGATCACCTCAGCATTCTTGATTCCACGCGCAATCTCTTCACGCCACACTGACCCGCCTCCAATACCCGTCGGGTCCATGAGATCAAGCCACGAAGTGATGCTAGCACGCTCAAGACTGTCACGAATCTTCAGTGCAAACTCGCTGTGCGAATGCGTATAGCTAATCATGACATCTCGATCGCCTGCAGCCTGCTTGATTTCAAATTGCAATTGCGTTGATGTCGTACAGTCCACGGGACGGTACCCATCGCAATTTGTCTCCATTACGTCTGCTCCTACTTCCAGTAGTGCCAAAGCCGTACCTTTTTGCTCACATTTCATGGCGATATGCAAGGCTGTGTCACCATTCGGGAGGCGATCGTTGGTATCTGCACCGTGCTGGACGAGACATTCAAACAGATCGACGCTCACATTTACAGAAGATGCGGCGCATAACAGAGGTGTGTGATCACGATAGTCGCGTAGGTTCACGTCGGCACCATTCATCAGCAACACCTGCACAACATCGGGTTTATTCACACGTGCCGCCCAGTGCAGAGGTGACCGACCGAAAATGTCCTGGAAATCTGAGTCTGATCCTGCCTTGAGCAGCACTTGAACTGCTTCAACAGCACCACTAATTGCCGCCCAGTGCAACGGCGTGCGGCGATGCATGCCAACGTATCCACACTCACCCACGCAATTGGGATCAGCACCAGTTTTTAGCAGCATCTTGATTGTTTTCGTATTGTTTCTGGCCGCAGCTTCATGAAGAGGCGTGAGGGCCACGTCAGCGCCCCATTTCTCCAGTTCGTGTGCCACAGGAAAGTTACCACGCATGTAGGCCATTTGAAGCACGGTAAGCGTGTTCATATGCCCCGGATCAGGCACGTCAAGGTGGTTTGCACCAGCTTCAAGTAGTAACACAACGATGTCTGGGTTGTCAGCCACAAACAGCGGAGGCACTCGGTCCGACCAGTATGAAGCCTTTGATTTAAAGTTTACATCAGCACCGTGGTCTATCAGCCACTGAACAGCTTGGATCTGACCTGTGCTCACCGCACAATGCAGCGGCGTTACCAGCATCGTGCGGAAGATCGAGGCAGCCATTTCATCTTCAGAGCTTAATGGCTTGGATACAAAAATCTGCGCAAATGTCCAAAAAAGATCACCAGTTGTGAACCGCACACGAGAGACCTTGTCGTAGCTGTCGACGCGAAAACCAGCTTCCAAAAGCAACTGAAGTGCTTGGACATTTCCCATGCACGCAGCCATATGCATCGGGTTCTTTTTCGAGCGACCAAAAAGTTTAAGCACGAGCCTCGCATCACGGTACATTTCCTGTGCAAAGTCCGTGCCCAGCCGCTCCTTCGCATACTCGAGCAACGTCTCCATCTTCGACACATTGCCCAGCGAAGTCTCCTTGTACAAATGTTTACGCACGTCATCCACCACCCGCGAGCGTTCCGACTTGTGCCTATTCTGCCTTCGTTGCATTCGTGAACGAATGCCGCCCGTCTGATCCGTTTCTTTAAACGCTCCTAATTGCATACTCAGATGCTCACGAAACCGGGCAAAGTACGTGAGCACGACGAAATTGCCGCCGAACGTCACGACAGCACACAAGACATACAAAACTGCTCGTCCACTGTTGCAAAAGAAGTTGTTGCCCTGGAACAGCGCGTAGGCAAAGTAGATGATCACGAGGAGACTAAAGACGAGCACGAGGACACTCACGAGCTCACAAAGCTGGAAAAACACCGACCGCTGGAGTTTCTGTCGGCCGCTGCCGTCTTGACGGCGTTCAAAGGGTTCAAAGATCCTCAGCCCTGACGCCGGCAAGCCAATGAGCACCACCAGTGGCGCCACGTGGTACACGAGCATCGCGTACACGACGATCGTGTCACACGCCCCGCAATAATCAGTCCCGGCAATACACGCCGTGGTCTTGGTACGCTTAAACGCGAGCGCGTAGCTCACATCCGAGACGTAGATGCCTCCATGGGCCACGTCTTTGGACATCCAAAATACCGCGATACCGGTAACCGCCATGCTCAGGACCAAGACCGCACTGGTCCGGAGTCGCCACGTAAAGTACGAATTTCGACCGTAGCCGGAAATCCACACCCGGCGGCGAGGCCGTGCGTTCCGAGACGCAGCAGTGATGGCACCTGCACCTTCAACGACTGCTCCTTCCTTGGCTTCCCGGTCGTGACTGTCGGATTCTATAAACGCTTCATCAGTTGAGCCGCTGAGCAGCGGCGTTGGCGGCGCTCTTGACGTCTTGATGATCGCTGTATGGATCGCTGTGGATGGACTGGACGTCTCGCAGTGACTTGCGTGGTTATTCTGGTGGTTATGGCTGCCTGACGACGCGGCTGGAGCCTCTAAGAGCGCGTGGTAGTCGGCCATCGCGCGCGCGTCCGGACGTCGTCGACCTGACGGCAACGTTTCTGTTTTTCGACTGACGTCTGATTGGCTGATATTGCGACATCATTGCAGGAGTGATTGTCGGGTGCGGGTTCGCGGCCGAGGACAAGTTGCTCGAAAGTGCCCGTCATCTGGATGTCGCTCGAGCGGAGACGATCGCCTAGTGCTTTTTTCGGCACCGTTGTGGCTGCGTGACACACAACAAAAACATCAACTTCATTGCCACCGCCGTCGCAATGGCGGACAAAGCTCAGGAGCTCGAGACGCGGGAGGATGCAAACGCGCTGGCTGACAGCGGGTCCCAGAAGGAGGAAAGTGTCCACACGCCTGCCGCATTCCCTTCTGAAGAGATCATGACAACTTTGAGCGGTCGCGTGCGCAAGAGTGCGCAGGTGTTTACGTTTACGCGAGTCAAGAGCGACGACGCAGGCGAGTTCACACCTGCTGTGGGCAAAGGGGTGAAAGTGCGCGATGTGGAATACGTCAGAGAGAATGTAAGGCAGTAGTGGGGAGATTGTGGACCTGCTGGTGATGTGTGAGTGGATGTAGGTGTCCCACCTTTTTCTGAGGCTCTTTTTGTGCTGTATGTTGTTTGTTGTATACTGTATGCTGGTTCAGGTTGAGGCGCTAGGGAAGCAGCAGTGTGAGATGATCCGGCAGCTCTACAGCATCATGTTTGGACGTCGCTTCCAGCAGAAAAACGTGCGTGGACAAGGCGACGGCGGCACTGACGGAACTCTGGTTGATTGATTATGTTTATTGTTTTGGTGGTTGTGTGCAGATGAAAGCGATCAAAGAGCACATCTTGGATTTTTCGGGCATTGTCGAGCAGGACGAGAAGGTGAGGCAATGGACTAGTGCGATTTCATGTGTCGTCAGGAGTTGATTAGGATTTGTGTGACGGTTGATGGTTGTTTGATGGATGTAGTCTCGTGAGCATTTGGTTGCTAAGATGAGCAAGTGGAAGATGCCGTTTGTTCACGACGTGATGGATCTTTTGGCGGTAAAGTCTACAACAAGGATGTTGCGTTTTCTTGCTACCGGGACGGTACTAATGTTTCTTCGTGTGTGCGGTGTTTAGGTGCACCGTTCCAAGAAGTCTTTTGACGAGGAAGGGAAAGTGCCAAATAAGGAAGCGCTGCTGGAACGACTAGTTGACTGGCTTTACAATCCGCAGAAGACGAAGGTGCGAGCTCACCGTGGTGACGACATGAACGGACGAGTATGCCTGATGTGGTTGTGTGTTGGTTTTGCATCAGCTTGCTGAAAAGAAAAGTGCAACTTTAGCGAGGAAAGCGAAGCAGAAAACGAAGAAGCGGGCGAAAGCCGCCAAAAAGAGCGAGAGTGAGCCTGTGACGAAGAAGCGCAAGACTACGAAGAAGAAGTCAGTTGCTGTCACGAAAGACGACGATGCAGATAACCTCGAGGCTACAGAGTCTGAAGGAGAGGAGTCATGCAGCGATTTCGAAGATGTCAAGAAGAAGAAGAAGAAGACCGCGAAAAAAGGGAAGGTCACTAGTCGGACGACAACATCACGCATCGCAGAAAGCGACAACGAGGACGATGTGAGTGAGAAGGAAACGGGCGAATCTGCCGAGAAGAGCAAGAAAAGAACGGGCAAATCTGCCGAGAAGAGCAAGAAAGGAACGGGCAAATCTGCCGAGAAGAGCAAGAAAGGAACGGGCAAATCTGCCGAGAAGAGTGAGAAGGGAACGGACAAATCTGCCGAGAAGAATGAGACAGGAGCTGCCGAGAAGAGTGAGAAGGAAACGGGCGGATCTACCGAGAAGAGGGAGAAAGGAACGGGCGGACCTACCGAGAAGAGTGAGAAGGGAGCGGGCGGATCTACCGAGAAGAGTGGGAAGGGAACGGGCGGATCTACCGAGAAGAGTGAGGAGGGAACGGACGGATCGACCGTGAAGTGTGAGAAGCAGTCTACTGCCAAAGAAAAGCCTGTCGCCAAGTCAGCAAACGAGGCGAACATTGCGGACAAAGCCGATGTCGAGTCTGAGGTGGAGACTTTGGATACCGATACTCGCAGCAAAATCCGAGATATCATTTGCAAAGGCAACGCCGAGGAGTTGACGGTGAAGAAGGTATGCGAAACGATACTCTGTATAGCTGCTTTGACCACCTGTGCCTCTAACGTTGTTTGATGTGTACGTATGGTAGATTCTACGGCAGCTGAGCGCAGATCTGGGACGTGACATGTCTGCACAGAAGAACGCAATCAAGGAGTTCATCACGAACGATCAAGCGGAGACTTAACAGGCACTCGAAGATTTGTCGAAACTTCGTGGTCTGTACTACACTAGTTGTTGCTCGTTCCACACGAGTGTGTTCTACAGTGTCGAGGTCTACTAGAAGTTTGGTGTCTTGTGTTGAGCCAGAGTTCGTTCGTCTCACAGGGCATGTAAATAAATTCTACTTGTCAGTGAAGCTATCTTAGCGTCAGCGTTTTGTTTTGTGCATCATGATTGGTCGAGCGTCGAGCATATGCGCAAGCTGATTGGTCCACCTACCAACCTTTTTTACCGTCCATCCATTTTTGTGACGTGGACAGCTATGGGCAGGAAGCGCGAGAGCAGGAGCAAGAACAAGGAGCCTGTGGAGGAGACGGAGGCGTCCGTGGCAAGTATTGGAGCTGCTGATGAGCAGGTGGAGTCACAGAGCTCGTCGATGCTAGCCGAGAGCTTTGCCAAGAGCGCGGTGTTCTTCGGGAAGAAGATCGCGTACACTCCAGCTGTAGAGATGCTGACGGAAGAGGCAAAAGCTGCCAAGATGACCAAGAAGAAAGTGAACAAGAAGGAGGAGGAGGAGGAGATGAAGAAGAAAGAGATGGAGGAGATGGAGACAAAGGAGGAGATGAAGGCGGGGGAGTTGGACATGAAGACTAACAAGAAAAAGAAGAAGAAGAAGACACATGAGAAAGGAGAAGAGAAGGAGAAAGAGCTACTGCAGGGTGAGGAGAAGCAGGAGAGAGTGACTGGAAGTAGCGACCCTCATGTCGGTGAGGGCAAAAAGCACAAGATGAAAGTGAAACGCAAGAAGGAACAGTCGGAGGATGGAGACGACAAGATGGAGGAAAAAGAAAATAAAGTCGAAGACGAAAAGGCGCGTCGTACCGTGTTTGTGGGCAACGTATCGCTCGCTGCAACGCAGAAAGAGATCAAGAAGCATTTCTCCGCTTGTGGCAAGGTGGAGTGTGTGCGGCTTCGACAACTGCCAGTTGCTGGATGTGCAGTAGACCAGGCTGGGAATCAGAAGCTTATGATGAAGGTCTGCGCGATCAAGAAGATTCTGACCAAGGCCAAAGATACTTGCAACGCTTATGTAACCTTCGTCGAGGAGGATAGTGTAGAGGCTGCGCTCAAGCTCAATGGAACGGTGCGTGCTAGTAAGAGTCTGCAGTGGCAGTTTTGGTTCTGATTTGTTGATGAGTGTATTGCAGACTTTTGCCCAGAAGCAGATTCGAGTGGACCGGTCCGAGGTTGCCGTCGATGCGCGTCGAAGTGTTTTCATTGGGAACGTTCCTTTCACGTGCACCGATGATCAAATGCTGCATTTTTTCTTGAGGCGCCTCAGGACGAAAGAGGAGCCGTCACCGATTGAGAATGTGCGTCTCGTTCGTGACCGCGAATCCGGCCTCGGTAAAGGGTTTGGCTACCTGCTGCTGAAGAATCAAGCTTTGGTTGCCAAGACGTTGACTCTTCGTGACCTCAAAATGGAGAAGTGTGAGCTGCGCGTGCAGGTGTGTGGCAAGCGGTTCAAGAATATGCGTGGTGGGGAGGAAACTGTCAAAGGAAAGTATGAAGGGCTTCGCTCGTCCTCTAGTGCACGGGCACGCATCCAACTGAAGCGTAAGGCGAGTGCTGGGGATCTTGACCGAGGGTTGTCGACTAAAAAGGTGAAGCGCGCAGCGGTAGCAGCTGGATTGGGAAAGAAGCTGAAGCCGAAGCACGCAGCACGAAAGGCCGCAAAAGCAGCTGCAGAAGCCGCTGCTGCTAATAGGGACTCAGTCAAGAAGCGGAAGCGTGGCCAAAGTGAGAGCAAAGGAGTAGCAAAGCCCAAAGCGAAAAAGCCCAAACATGCTGCGCGCAAGGCCAAGCAGCTAGCGGCTGCGAAAGAGTAGACGAAATGGTAAGCGAGAGCTAAACAACACGAGAACAGTTTTGACGTTTCAAGTGCACGTTGTTGGAAGCGATCGATGGGAAAAGCCTCGCACTGCCTAGTTCGTTTGAGGTCGCAGCGAACTGTATCCCGATCGATGTTTCCAGCGCATCACGATGGCCAGAGCCAACGCACAAGCAACAGCTGCAACAACGACGCCCAACATGAGCCATCCCCAGTTATTACTGCCCGAGAGCGTCGCCGATAGTCCAACAGCAGCCGATCCGGCCAGCGGAAAATCGCTCAGTGCAATGTACATGAGACTCATCACTCCAGTATGCGGCAGCGTGTTGTTATACAGCGCCACGACTCGAACGATATCCGTCGTACGCATACGACGAGGTGGGTCAAACGTGCAGGTGCTCATTGACACGATGTAGCCATCTTCGTTGCCAGCCTCGGTTCCGGAGCCATACTCAGGTACAGAAGCGCACAACAAGTCACCCGTGGCGTCGTCATAAAGCTGAATACCCAGCCCACCGCGATGTTGGTGACCTACTGCATACACCAGCTCCACCTCTCGCTCGGGCTCTGGTGCATGTGGACGGTACGCGAACAAGGGGATGCTGCCATTATCAATCCGCTGTCTGGTCGACAGCGTGTGAACGCATCCAGGATGCGTCTCCGGGTCACACACCGGTACGTCGTACTCAACATTCCCCATGTGCTCCAGATCACCCGATGCATCACAACAAGCTGCTAGATACAACGGACGATTTTGCGGTACGATCTCAGCGTACTGCAAGGAATACTGCAAGTAGTACGTGGCATCACTTGCTGCGTCGACTTCCAGCTCATCTCGTTCCAGGCACAACTCGGCATCTTTACAGCACCGAAGTCCACCATGGTATGTGCTAGCAGCGCACGCCGTATTTTTCTCCCACAAGAGCCGGGCGTTGCAGCTGTTAGCACGAAACTTGAGGCCGTTCACTGCGTCCGCAGTGACCACGTCTTCAGACGTACAGGGGCATTCCAGACAGCTATGGGCACGCTCCTGTGTCATGTTCCGAGTGTTGATAATGTGCACATTGGCCACCCACTCGTCCTCCCCGTCGACTGTCATAAAGGCATACGGGAAGTAAAATTCCTGTGGCGTGCCTCGGCATTCCGTGCCAGCTCCAAATGCCACGCTGCGACTGAAGTTTTTGGGCTTCATGGGAGCATACCGGCCCTTCATGACGTCGTATTGCTTGTGCGTTGAGCCAAAGACGTGGTGGTGGAGATACGCGTCGTACGTGGGTACGGGCACTACATTTCCATAGGCATCTTTCTCCACCACCTCGGCTTGGAAACGGTACACGGCAATGGGACCTTTTGGGATCGCAAGACGATGGAACGTGTTCGTAACTTCGCCTTGAGACAACGACAATGGCGGGGTCAAGGCCGTGAATTCGTGTGTCACGGGCGTTTTTTCGGCAGCTACGAGCGGCCAACGAAGAAGAAGAAGAAGAAGTTGGGCAACAAACAAGGGCGACATGGGGACTCGACTGGGACAAGTGGTCGAGCCGAGTCGAACCGCTTCTGCCTTTCAAGGTGAATGCGAAAATGAGCCGTGATTATCATGGACAAGTCTCCCTCGAATCTCCGTCGGTGCAATCGACTGCTTGTCTCAGCTAACGGTTCGTACCACGGTCGTTCTCCTTATTCTTGTCACTATTTGCGAAAGTTCCTTCGGAATTTACGTGCCAGTTGACTGGCCAAAAGCAGAAGAGAAAAAAACAAGCAATCACGTGGGTGAGTAGGTGGGTGTGGTTACAACTTGCAGTTGGTTGATACTTTAACTGAATGCCGATCGACTACGACCGTGAAGTCGTTGGGTTCCTGCCTAAGCACGCGTGGATCGCCCTTTACGTCCTACGCTGTCATTTTCACGCAACTCCTTGTGTCCGTTTCAAAAATCACCTTTTTCATCCCGCGTCAATAGGATTTCGACGCCCACCCTCTTTTTCCAAACGATACAACACTTGGTTCTTATCGCTTCTGGTGGTTGATGTATCGTAGCGAGAGTAACGCGAGCAGTCGCAAGACCAACAGCGATAAAAGCGCGTACCCGAAATTGCTCCAGATTTCATCGTGTCGATAGTGAAACACCGACTCGACGTAGCCCTTGACCGTAGTATGGCCAATTGTCACTGGAAGATTCGTGACGGGCTGACATCCAAGCTCCGAGCCAACATTCGTATACGTGTCCAAGTCGGCATCCCAGGTTGGACGTGAAGGGCAGTCGGCAAATACAAGTGCCATCAATATCGACACTGGGTACCTCTGTGGCGTAATGGTGTAGACCCACTTGTATCCTTGTGGAATGGCACTCGCGGGTGGATTGAAGCCCATGAAGAGGAAAAAGATCGAGTTGGTGAGCATACCGAGAATCGCCGACAATTCGACGTTTGGCAAGGCGTAGACAAACAGCTGACCCATGTACGTCTGCATGAGCACCAAGAGCGAGAGGCTGAGCCAGTACAACACAGCTGTGGCAACGCCTGTAAATCCAACAAGGGGGTAGAAGATCACCGTAAAGAGGAGACAGCTGAAAAACACGTACGGAATCTCGGCAATGGTCGAGCCCACAAAGTACCATAATGCGTTGTACGTCTGAGAAGCCCGTTCGCGGTAATATGCCGCTCGCTCTCCAGAAGCAATGGGCAAGACCCCATTGAACGACACAACCCCGTTAAACAACGTCGTCACAAACACCATACCCACGCCACCGTTGATATCCTGGTAACTCGTATATCCCACGTTGACGAACGTCAACCCAGCTACGAGCGCCAGTAAAAGGCCAATCGTAAAGCGCGTCATGTTGTACGTGGGCGTCCGCCAGTACATCCGTACAAAGCGCACAGTCAAAAGCTTGGCTTGTGTCCACGACGTTGCCGCTCGTTTCTTCTGGAACACCATCGCCGGACATGCTGGAGACGGAATGGTCACTCCTTCTTCTGCCATCGCAGCATCCAAAAGTCGCTTCTCCTTGCTCTCCCTGAACGTTTGCACAAAGTCAGTCGAATTCTGCACGGCATGGTCAACACCAGCGCCAATGCATTCCAGCATCCACGTTGCTGGATTGTATCGGTCCGGGAGCGGAGCAACACCTGGAATCGCCTCAAAGTACTCGACCAGTTTCTGACACTTTGCACCGAGCTCCCCAACAAACACCGTCTCGCCACCACGCTTCAGCAACAGCAAATGGTCAAACAGGTAAAACACGTCCGACGAAGGTTGATGAATTGTACACACCACCGTCCGTCTTGTGTTCGCAACTTTGCGGACACCGTCCATAATGACCTTGGCCGACCGAGCATCCAAACCACTCGTTGGTTCGTCAAGAAACAACACACTTGGCTGGGCCGCCAATTCAACGCCGATGGTCAAACGCTTCATCTGCTCCAATGAGCTACCCCGTACAATTTGGTCAGCTATGTCATGCATCCCAAGTAGATCCAGACACTCCTTCACCGACTCGTGCTTCTTCGAATGGGAGATGGTGCTATCTTGACGAAGGAAGGCACTAAACGTGAGCGCCTCACGGATAGTCGTCGCATCCGAGTGGATATCCATTTGTTCACAGTATCCTGTACACCGGCGTATTGCGAGGTCAGTAGCTTCGTACCCGTTGAGCATAATCTTGCCTTTGATCGTGCCTCCAGTTTTCCGGCCAGCGATGACGTCCATCAAGGTCGTCTTGCCTGCACCCGAGGATCCCATTAATGCCGTCATCGTGCCGGGCTTAGCATACCCATTGACACCTTTCAGTAAATCTAAACCCTTCTTCGGGTTCTTTGGTTGCGGCACGGAATACCACAAGTCTTGAAACGCGATCGTTACGGGTACGAAACTCAGCTCCCGGACATGTACATCGACAGTGATGGCAGCACGCCTGGTTGATACAGTGCTGACCTCCAGGCTTTGCAGGTTTTGAGGGGTACCAACCGATGTGTAATTCATACCCACATCTTCGTCTCCCTCTTTGTTCTTCTTGACGACCGTATGCTCCAAGCTTTCGTACCGACAATGTTCGAGCACGAGACAACTGAGACCCATGAACGCCGTGTAGCATAACAGCATGAACACGATCCCTGACCATCGCCACATCTTCGACGACGGTACGTCGTACTGATTCAGATAGTATTCCCCCATGGTTTTACCAAATTGCGAGCAGTAGTCAATGCCTTCGTGTACGCACACATCTAGCTCGTGTGATCGATACTGGTTTACTGCTAGTGCACGCAAGCACCAGGCAATGGGGTTGATCCAATACACCCAAACGAACCATCCTGGCATCGTGCTCGTTGTCATGACAAAGCCGGCAAACAGAATGAAGAAGGCAATGCTGAATGTTGAACACGGGGTCGCGATATGAAAGTCCGGCGAGACAGCTGTGACCAAGAAGAACCATGCTGCAAACACGAGGTTCGTCAATACGAGCAGTATCAAGAAGCAGGCAAACGCTTCGATCGTTGCAGTGAACCCACACATCCAATATATCATAGTCCCAAACACAACGCTCTCTGCAAGGGCCAACGGCACTTGAGCTACTGAACAGGCTAGTACGTAGGCTGCTGTAGGAAAGAAATTGGCTCTGCGCTGCTTGTAAAACACTTCACGGGATGCTATAAATGTTGGCACTTGGGAGACTTGACCCAGTGCCACAAACAAAGTTGCTTGAAACAGCAAGCCCAATGTGACCTGAACATCGGTCGGGTCGATCTGCCAGAACGTGCTCGAGTAGATCAGTCCCATGGCGATCACCATAATGGTACGCCCTCGAATGAAGGCTCGGTTCCGGACAGTCAAGATCGTCTGCCGCTTAATGAGAATCCGAGTATGTTCCCAAAACGACCGACGAAACTCTGGCATCGTGTTCATGTGAGTACTCACATCTCCGAGGAGATCCGATTCGTGTGGTGACTCTAACGTCTGTATCATGTCAGTGAAGACTTTCGACTTGCGAAAAGTCTCAGCAAACTCGCTTGCTCGACGTGGGAAGTGAGTTCTACCGAGAGGGAGTTCATCCTCGTATTTGTACTGTTCGTTGGTTCCGAGGTCCAGCAAAAAGTCAGCAATGTCACGATCCTGTGGACACTTGAACCCGAGACTCTCAAAGTAATCAAGAGCGTACTCACAAGGACCGTGATAGATCACTTCGCCTTCGTTCATTACCATCACGTTGTCGAACAAAGCAAAAACTTCGGGTGCAGGCTGGAGCAGAGCAATGACAATCGTTTTCCGGAGCGTCTTGGCAATCCCTCGCTGCGTATTAATAATGTCAAACGTAGCTGCGCTGTCTAGACCCGTACTAATTTCATCCATCAGCGTCATGTATCGCAAGCCAAACTCCATCTCACCAGTGGTAACGCGTTTCCGCTCACCACCAGATACACCACGCAACATCCCGTTGCCTACGATCGTGTCTTTGCAGTTTTCCAGGCCAAGCTGCTTCATTACAACTTCCGGGTAATGTGCGTACAGTGCCTTGATGACAACAAGAGCTTCGGCTGTCGCTTTCGTAGTACCTCTTGACAATAGCTTCTCGCCACGGTTCGACAAGGTTGCACCACAAAAGGCATGGGCAAACTCAAGAGTCTCCTGAACCGTCAAGGTCGGAAAGTGCTGGTCATGCTGTGCCACGTAGGCCACGAATTGCGGTAAACGCTTGAGAAGAGCGGTCTGTGGCACGCCGTTGTACGTGATCTCACCACGAATCGTTACATTCTTATCAAGCGGAAAGCGGCCACTCAGGACTTTCATGAGCGACGTCTTGCCAGAACCGGGTTGGCCAAGCAGCAGTGTCATGGTACCGGGTTTGAAGACACCACTCACGTTCTTGACGATGAATTGCTTGACTGAATGCTTGTTCCTGTTCACCTTGGTGACCACCTTTTTTATGCTGTTGTAGAGCGTGGGTATGTGCGTCCTCGCGTCTTCCGAATGTCTCGACTTGACAACGTTTGCAGATACCGAGAGTTCTTTAAAGCGCACCTCCATCTGCGGCATGGCCTTGTTCATAGCAGCCTCGAGTTTCCCTGCAATGAAACCGTGAAGCACAGTTGAACCGTGCTTCATCAACGAGTCGCTCGAGTTCAAATCGATCGTCGATTGAGTCGCGGTCTCCACCATATCGTCTGTGCGAACGTCTCACTGTACGCAAAAAGCGAAATAACAAGCATCGACACGAGAAAGAGTCTGGAATGATGATGGCTACTGACAGTATGTGACTACTCTTACAGGACTCTTTCGATTAGAGTTGCCTAGAACTTAACAAGTAATCGGATTGTGCGTGAGAGAAAACGTTTGGCAGCTGAAAGCACTTGCAAATTGTATGCTTCATGTTGAAGTTGTGATGTTTGCACGTTTAGCGAATAATAACGGTCGATCAGGCGAAAAAAATGACGACGACATGCGATACGCGCTCTTCATTTTCGGATTCGGCCGCGCTTCATCGCAAGGCAATCACTCTATTGATGCTACAATAATCGGTCCATGTCTTTCGTATGAGCTTTTTGCATACATGAGGCTCACATCGGAGGTGCAGTGCGATGGTAGTACAAGAGTGTAAACATAAAGCGCCTGAAGGGACAAGTGAGGGTTATGAATGATTGAGTCCTGATGACTCCCGAAAGTTTCGATCGATCTGATTTGGATCGATATTGTCGCTCATCAGGCGGTGAGGTGCACCACAGTCCTCTAGTCAAGCTAGCGACTCTGGCGATGTCTGTTTAGCCTGGGCCCATACATTCCGTGGCTGCCAGCTCGCTGCAGTTTGCCATGTCACCTCATTCTTGACTCGAAGCGCCACGCCACAGGCGTATCCGCTTATGGAAGAGATCTTGTAACCACCCAATTCCTCTCCTGCTATACGATGACGTACCATCGACAAGTCACTTTTTACGGAGAGGTGAGCCACGTCGCTATGAAGAAGTAATCTGCTTCTCTCTGCTAAAAACCGTGACCACGTGTGTAAGTTTGTGTTCACATGCGTACCACTAAGACTGGTTTTGGAGATCTACTGCAGCGTAGGGAGATTTGTGGCGACCTGTGAATAGACGTCGCATGGTACATCGTTCTTTGCTATTGGTCCACATGCTTCCCAGTAAAGACGACAATCCGTGTATCGAAAGTTTGCCAAGAAACACAGGACTTTGCTGTAAAAATCGACGCTCTGAGGACGTGAAAGTAGCATCGACATTATCACTTTCGATCGTACCCGATACTGATGCGTGACTTCACTCTTCAAAACAGTGGATGCAGAACTCATTGCTTCTTTTACAAAGCAAACACCACTAAGAGAGGCCTTCCGCTGCGCCCCAAAACGGTCGGTTGTCACGATGTAGCCACCTGATCGATTCAACACAGTTTTCATACTAACCCGTTTTGAAACTCATCTATAAAGTCTGAGGGTAGTGACCACCACGATAGCACTACTGTGATACAGTCAAAGATGGCAATGACTCAAAGGCTGTGGGAGATTTGAAGTAGAAGTGTATTAGTATGAACAGTTGCCGTGTAGTACAAGGTCGCAGCGTGGCGTTCAGGTGTGCCATGCAGAGGAATGTTGCAGGTCATCACAACCTCATGTACACTAGTAGCAGATCAACTTCGCAATCTTTGCGAGATGATTGTGCGTCAACAGGCGGCACTATTACATGACAAGCAATGCTGGTGTGTGAATATCAGGGAAAATAGGCGAGCTGTACGGCTTGGTAGAGGTCGTATCCTATCTGCCAAGCTAGCCCCTGCAGCACTACAGTTGATTCATGTAAAAAAGCAAGCAGCGCAATCGACACCTCGATAGCTTCGTATCTGCCTGACGTAAAAAGGTGACCAGATCTCTCATACCATGCATGCACTTGGCAGACCTTCACGCTCGGCACTTTCCACTTCTACGTACCGAAGAAGGCGAAAAAACAAGGGCATTAATTGTACTGGCACTTCATACATGTGAAGCTCCATGTGTACAATTCAGCTGATGTTCGCGGTCCAAGAAGTGTTTTGCTTTTCGTGCGTCCGAACATCTTGGTTGACTCTCGTTCGCCACAAGTGCAGGAGGCGTAGCTATGATGGGAGCCGCCGCAAAAGGGGTACACCATGTTTCAAATGTACAAGCAAGTTCATCCGACACTTGGTGTCCCTTGGAAACCCAAATGAACTGACATCGTGAATGATGCTGGGCTCAATACTACGATGCGGTCTATCACGAATACTACATGGGATGCTACAGGTACAAGCACATCTGCCATGCCAAAAAAACGACGGGCTTCGGTCGATGTGAAATTGTGTGGTGACGCGGTAAGAGCGATATATGAACGATGCTACAGGTTTGCGACATACAAGCATATGATCATCTACCTGCAAGCGCGTGTTCATCTCTCATCGTGATTATTTCGCAAGCATAAGTGTTGGCCGTCGACCTACGTGCCTACTACGCTTACCATATCACTCGTACGTGGCCTACACTGCAACCGATGCGTATAATAGCCCTTGAGCACCGCTCTCCGGATCTGCAACGTGCTAGAAGTTTTGCCCACCTTGCATGTCGTTGCTTTGCTTCACCGTGCCACCTGCATATCGAACAACACCTATGAGCTACATCTGAACGAAGGATTGAAGCACCAACTGTATGCACGACGTTATTCGACCGCGTCGTCTGTATTTATATCTTGCTACCTCGATCGTTACCACAGTTCAGGTAAAGGTTTACTAATCAAATACAAGAGGCCGAGGATGACCTCCCGCGGCTTGTTCTCGAAGGCGTCCTTCATTGCTAGATATTCACCTATACTTCTTGTAGACGCCAGCGTAAATGCTTTCAAAGCACAGAGCCGTCGATCGGTCTTCTCTAGTCCCAACAAGTCGGCTTCCATGGACGCTTGCAGACTGGAATAGGCGGACAAGGGCGTTATCTCCTCCACTTTGATCATCCAGTCGTACAGTACTTCCTCCATCTCGTCTGTTAGAAACCTTAGCTCTTTAGCATCATGCTTGATCCGCTGGAAATATGCGCCGTACAACAATGGATTGCCAAGCGTATCCTTTTCCCGTAAGGATTTCACTATCTCCACAGCAGGAAAAGCGGCATCACCGTACTTTTGCCTGAACCGATCGCAGTACCATATCCAGTGAAAGGCGTCCGGGTCCTTCGCGATAAACTTCTTACCGACGCCAAGAAGCCAGAAAACTGTTTCAGGTCTAGTTCCCGATTTCAGCCACTGCTGATTCATCGACTTGCGCAAAGCTGAGAAGCCGGGTTCTGCCAGCATGGTTTGCAACATGCGAGCTTCTTCCTGCTTGTTACCATACCAGAACAGGCGCAACACTTCGTTGACCGGACGGGTTTTCACCAGCATGAAAAAAACCTTCCTGGTCGTGTACCAGCGTCCCTTCTGTCCATGTTTATCATACGTCCCTGCATACCCCATCCAGCTTCTCAATCCTGTAGCGGTCTTGAAATCAAGGGGACCCGTGATATACTTGTCGAGATGTAGTGCGTTGAACATGGCTTTTGGGTGCATCTGTCGTAGCACTGACACGTGTGCAGTCGGTCCCCTTGTTTCGTTTAGCTGGTCCACGCGGTTGGTCTCGTTCACAGGAGCTGATTCCTGGAGCTCCGAAAATGAGTGGCCATCGAGCGGGTTCTCGGTCAGGCGTGAACTACTGCTGTTGTCGTGAGCATCAACATGCGTCTTGTTATCGTTATCGAAAGCCGATTCGGTTAGATTCCAGAGGAGGACGACAGCGAACAGCACGTTTTGGCGAAGGAACATGGAGATGATGTCTGTCGTCGGTATGCGTGAAATTTCAAAGTGAGGTCAATCCGGTGGTGGAAGTGAGGTCAAGCCAGTGCTGGACTACCTGGCTTCAACCACTATCATCAAATCCTCAGCAGCCTTTAGTTGAGTCAGGCACCCCGTCACAAGCAGTCTGCGTTTGTCACGACAGAGTGGGCGAAGTGGATGGGTTCGTCTGCTCCTTTAACTCATCGCACAAGAAGAGGTCGGCAACGACGAAGACCATGTGTATTGTCCATCTGTGAGTAGTAAATGTCTAGAATCTTGACGAAGCCTTTACACTCGCAATTTGCGGTATTTGACAACGGATGCCGGCTCACCAGTGAACTGATTCTGGTTCCTTTTCTGATGTTGCATCCTGCGACTCTATCCCAGCTGCAAAGGCTCTTACATGCCCCTTGACATCCAAGTGCAATAGCTTCTTTCTAGCAACTCTCTTTGGACACAGGTATAATTACTCGTCTGCATGGACACATCATTGCACAGAAAGTGTCGATGAAAATGGAGAGATATCAGCCTCTCGTAAGTACATCGTAGTCACCGGCAGTGAGCGAGTGGAAGCAGTTCTTCGTCGAGTGGTCACCCGCCCTATGCTGGATCAAGTGTCGCTGATTCAGAGTGGGTGCAGGAAGAACTTGGCAGGTCCATTGCGTCATAGGTCAGCTTGACGATGAGACAGTACCACATGATTGTGAGCAAACCAGGCCGAGTTTGCCGTCATCACGAGGTCTTCCTGTGCCAAAGTTGTCGACCGCGAGGTTCTTCGCATATGTGGATACACTGGTACGATGATCAACATAGCTTGGAGCATATTCGGGCACGATGGTGCTCATGCAGATCAACAATTTAGTAGAACGTTATCGCCTTGATCATGTATTGGACAAGAAGATCGTAAAGCGACTCGATCATTTTTTCATGATCTAAGCACCGAGCAAGCCACTACGAATGAATGCCAAAGACATTGATACCTGCTTGCTTCCCACGGACAAAACGACGGTCTCTGATTACCGGATGAATACTGCACGATCAAGAGTCAAGCCCCGAATCCGAATGAACGTTCGTATGCAAAGGTGACAATCAGGAGATCGGTTGTTGGTAAAACAAACTGCTTGTACTGAGGAAGAGTTGTAGTCTTGCTGCAGAACAAACAAGATACACTGGTGTGAGCCGCTTGGGATGTGTTTGGAAAGCGCTGTCCATGCTAGGCGTATCGTACTGCCTACGTACGAAACGATTCGATACCGGCTGACTCTGTATAAACCTTGGCAAGCGCCAAAAGCATACCCGTTCTGTGTTAGTTAGCTGCTCACCACACTTGCATCTGTCGACGAAGTGACTATTGTAACAGCAGGTGCAAGTGCGAACGGACTGACCGCGCCGCGGCTTTTTCCTATTTTTTTCTACTGATACACAAAAGGGCGCGTCGAGCAAGACTTGAAAAAGACGCAGAGGCGAACGCTGGCGTAATCACAAAGCGAATTGTCGGGGTTTTGTGAGTTGAGTCCTCCCCCCATAAATTATAGACTTGGAGGAGGCCAGACCTATAACTTAGCAGAGGTTATTTCATTTGGGAATAATAAATTAATTAAAGATTTAAAAAGCTGACCTTTTATTTATTTATTTATTTAAGTACTTATCAATAAAGTACAATATTTGCATAACAATTAGCATTAGTATCACAATTGTCATTTATTGATCTAAATAGCGGACCACAGAACATTTTCTTTACCCTTCTGGTGGGGCAGCGTCTGGGCACCGCCTATGGAAATTATGGAGTCCTTGTGCGTACAATGCATTGTCTTTGTGAGTGCATCGAATCCAACTTGAACACAGTTATTTGGACACAATTGATTGATTGTAACACACTCAACGGAGTCAATAAACCAAACACAGTTAAAGTGCCTTCGTACACAGTTTAAGTACTGTACCTTTCTTACATTTTGTGCGCGATTGCGCAACCTCTTGCAGCTCGCCTGGCGGGCTGGCTACCGGAGTCGGGGTATAAAATGCACCCTTTTTCTCCCCCGACCAAACAATTATCCCTACATTCCTACATCCACACCTCACCTTCCCTCTCACTTTACCTCTATCGCTTCCTGTCCACTTCCATTCCTCTCCCAAACCAACAACTTCCCTCAAAAACCCAAGACCCCACAGCTACCCACCCTCCCACCCACTTACACACCCATACATAAGAGATGTCTCAACTACGTCTCATTAATGACCAGAAGCTGAGGATCATCAAACATAAGGATGATCATCCGAGCCTCACCCAGACAGAGCTTGGAAACTGGACGAAGAAAAAAATTCGGCCTCCCCAAACCTATGACGCAGGCCTCAATCAGCAAGATCATTAGCAAGAGGAAGGATCTTGAAGCAATGAGTCCATCAGAGCTCTCTGCTAAGCGTTCCCCCTCAGTTCAACATCCTGCCTTGAAAGAAGCAGTGGCACTGGTTTTTGCAGTGCCAGCATCGTGGGGTTGCCCTCACCGGAGACCTGATCCGTACCAAAGCTGCTAGCTTTGCAACGTCCATGGATATTCCGGATGGATCAATCAAGTTTGCCCATGGGTGGCTCTACAATCTCCAGCAGTGCCACAAGCTAAGGGCCGTCCGTATCCATGGCGAGAGCAGTTCAGCCGATGTGGCTGGACTTAAAGCAGCTCTACCAGAGTTGCAAGCAGCCGTCGCCAAGTTTGCTCCCCGTGAATTGTACATCATGGACAAAACTGGTAAGTTCTTCTGAAGTTTTTTTATGCTCTGTGCCATAAATTTCAAGATGATTTCCAGGATAATTTTACAGCATGACACCGGATAAAACCATTGCCCAGAAGAAAGTTTCAGGCTTCAAAGAAGACAAGGTGAGTTGCATTTGGCTTGTTGGAAATTTTGGGATCAATAGAATAATTGACATGTTTGTCAGACTCGCATCACAGTGGCTCTGACGGCAAATGCTAATGGATCTGATAAGCTCCCTCCATTCTTCATCGGCCGTGCAAACAAGCCTCTTTGCTTCCAATGGAAGTCGGGAGAAGTGCTCGGGTTTCTCTATCGCTACAACAAGAAAGCCTGGTTGACTGAGAGGTTTTTCAGGAATGGCTTGGAAACCTGGACAGAGACATGAAAGTCATGAAAATTTTCCCAATCTGAGATATCAGCTGCAAAACAAAGCACTTACCCAGTTTCTAGCGCCAGGATAAAAAAAAAACCTTTTGCTTATGGACAATGCACCTTCGCACTTAACTTTGGATCTTGTGCTCACCAACTTCACCGTTCAGGCTCTGCCGCCCAATACTACATCGAAGGTGCAGCCAATGAAAACCGGTGTAAATTGCTGCATTCAAGCGCCACTACCGGCGTCTGCAACTACAGAACGCTTTGGCTCGCGATGATGCGGGAGCGGCCGGTCTCTACAAAGTTGATCAAGTCACAGCCATGCATTGGACACTTAGGTCGTGGAGCGAGATTTTGAGCACCACCATTGCGAATTGCTTCAAGCACACTGGACTCATGTATGGGCCGACTTCACCAGCAGTTGAAGGAGGCGCTTCAGCAAGGGACATTCAGCAGCCTGTGCAACAGGATGCAGATCTGATTGACCAAGAGGAGCAGGAAGTGGAGAAGGATCTGGAGTCAGCTCTGCAACGCCTGTCTTTGCGCGATCCGATGTCTATTGATTCACTGCTAAATCCAGTTGATGAAGATCCGACGGTGCATGCGGAGTAAAGCAACGCCGAGATCATCAAGCTCATCCAAGATGCTGAGGAGGAGGAGGATGGAAAAGCTGAGGAGGATGTGGTGACACATTCCATAGCTGAGAAGCTTACAGCTCTTGCTTTGTCCATTTCCCTCCTTGATCTCTCCCAGGATCGAGACCGCGCCGCCCACCGCGCTCTTCGTCGCATTCAAGCCCCTCTTCGTAGTGCTAATACAATCCAAACCACACTGAATTCATGGCTTAAATAGACTACAGGATGCTCCAAACAATATTTATCTACTCTTGACAAAAAAATTGCTCCCCCTGATACGTTATATTAATCCTGGGTGTGTATTCCGTATTCCGCATTCCATAGTCGCCATAGAACGGCGTCAATGGACCCGAAATCGTATTAATTAGCAGAGGTTATACCATAGGGGGTATAACTTATGGGGGGAGGACTGTACTAATGGCACCCTGCTGGTGTTTAGAAACAGATAGGCGTGAGTGCACATTTCCAGCATCATCAGACTAAAGTCTAAGGCAACACGTCCTTAAAAAACACTTCCAATATATACGGTACTAAATGCAGCAATGGAATTCTTTACAGCTTGGCCAACCGTCAAAGACATGAACGATATTGAACCGTAATTAAGTCGCGCAACATGCTATCTATGGAGGAATTATCGCTCTTGCTACCATGGCATTAACCAGACGATCGCACATGCTTTCAGTGCCTAACCCCAAGGTGTCGGACGAATCCGCCAAACTATTCCTCGTTTGTTTGCGAATGTGACTACACTCACCCCTCTCTATAATAGACTCTTTTTAAGAAGCACACTCTATATTAGAGTCACAGTGACGCCGAACAATTTGAACTACATATGGATTCGTATACCGTTCTCTTTACAAGCGAGTAAGGCATAAGACACGTAAAACACTCGCCAGTTTGAGTAAAAACTCTCTTTGTATGACTCACTTCCCCGTACTTCTGCTGCTTACAAGATTTACGTGGCATATAATACGAAAGTTGTTCGAGCGAAAAAAAATTCCAGAACCTTAAGCCGATTCCGCAACATGTAGGACCTCGGACGTGACCTAAGGGAAAGACGAAGTCATGTCATATCAGGCGGGCTTGTGATGCACTAATCACTGATGAAGTCATGACGGAGGATGGGTTTAATGACCGTCTAATTACATGTTAACATGAGCAAATGTCTGAAAGGTCCTGAGCCAGGATACTGGTGCCGGTAAAGGCACCGCATCGTTGTAACTGTCTAATGCGGTCGAGTGCCGTGTAATTTTATGGCTTAGCAATTCAATGCAAGCGTATAACAGCGACCCCTTGACGGCATGTTCGGACGACCTGTGTTCTCTTAATGCAATCACCCGTAGATGCCTCATGCCTCGGTCCCAGAATGTTAACGCACTCCGCAATAGATTCGTCAATTCTTCGTGGAATACCGCTGCGTCACGCTCCGTCCACAGGTGCACTTGGCAAGCAGAACTTAGGATAAATGAGATGCGCCGGAAAATGCCCTCGGTTTCGAGATAGCCATCTTGAAAACGATGCTGTAAACGCTGGCGGAGATGTTGTGACACCGGTGGTGCCTGTCGATCCGCGCAATACCTGAAATGGTTCCACATCCTGTACCGTCCCACTCCCTCCCCGGTCCAGCGTCCAATCAGTTGCCGCCAAGAAGCTTGCGCTGTCGGACAGTCCCAGAAAACATGAGCCGTCGTCTCTTTTAAACCCTTTCATCGCTCAAGTTTTCTGTAGCTGTTATCTGCGAGGCGCCCCGCATGATAAAGATTCAGCTGATTATTCGCGACCCTGTAGCAGGTCCAGACCTGATACTCAGCCAGACGTGCGCGTGTTGCCAGAGCTGCGACGGCTGTTGATGTGTAGCCGCTGCAAGCCACACATCGGTCCTCGTTTGGCTTTCGAAGCGGGTGAGCCAGGTATGGAGTGCCGGGCCAAGCAGCCGTTTATGATACTGAAATGCATGCCGGGAATCGCTTTTCAGAGGTGTATACTGGCCACGGACTCCGGCACACTCCAAGGAAATCCATGGAGAAGTGGTGGGCGAGAAAAACAAGTGCCCGCGTTATTCGCTGCCGACAGAAATCCGCCTCGCGCGTAGAAGCATACTCGAAATCGGGTAAATCTCCTGGACAAACAAACCAATGGAGCCCGCTGTCGCCAAGATGTAGGCTTAAGGGGGCCAGCAGGTAGGAAGCAATCGTGGGGTTTCCCGACCACCAAATCGTCACTGACACGATTCCACCGGTAACCCCGCAGGGGTGGAGGAGGGTGCCTTACTATTAATTCAGGCGCTGCCAATTCAGAACCAACACCGATGGCCGGAAAATCAAGTAGAATTGTGGTTGCCCACCGCCGCAATTTTGGGTGAAGCTGGCGTGGTGACTCGTCTCTGCACCGAGGCATTGTGAAAAAAAAAACTGCCGATGTCCGGTACGATGTATGCTGAAGACGCGCAGTTGACAGGGCGGTATGCGCGCGAACCTGAAGCCTAGGAAAGGCTTGCCGGTGATATCGACAATCTACGGATTGTCATTTCAGTGTAATCGGTCCCAAAAACGCTGGATAGCCCTCTATCTAGGATCTTCGGCGTCGGCGGTAGCCGGAAAGTCCTCGCCTTATCGCAGTACCCACTGTCGAAACTGGTTGCCTCTCCGATTATTGTGGCATGATGAGTCTACACTCGAGAGAGGAGCGCTGATACCTATTCTGGTGCTGAGATCACGTGGTGCACGATCCCTGAAGCCTTAGAGATCGTGCACCACGTGATCTTGCGTATGCCGTCGTCGCAGCGGCCGACAGAGCTTAAAGTCTCGGTGAAGCGCCGGGACTGATGCTGATACAGAGTTAGCAGCAAGTATGATAGTACCTCTCCAAGCTGCGGAGTACTTATCTGGAGCTTTCATTAGCCATCTAAGCGCATGTTCCGCTTGCTGCGTCTTGACGGCCAGTTAAAAATAAGCAAGGCCAACATCTCCTGCCTGCGCCGTCGTAACCAGGAGAACAGGATTAATCTTGTCCCGTTTTGGCCTCTACCTCCGAGGCATGCTGCCATAAAAATTGCCTGTAAAGCTTGTCCAACTCCGCGCTTGCCCACGCCCGAATGTTAAAGACAGCCACCGCGAATGGACTGCCAGTAGGATGAATGTATACAATATTACCACCCGATTCTGCACACTTGTCTTCACCGAAGTAGCTGTGAGCAGCCGACTCCGCGAGCGGTGAATGCGCTGTGCCCAATTATGATTGATCATCTCACCACTTCCAATATCGTAACCTAGGTACCTGGTTGTCTCTGCCGGGGGCAACACCGAAATACCACGATACTGCACAAGCCGCACTGCTGTGTTAAAATAATTAATACACTCTTCGTCGGTTGCGCGCGGAGGCCCGAAAGGTCTATAAATCGGTGGACTAAGCTCAATGCTGACTCCAGTTGATCCGCCCGCTCGAGAAATAGAGTAGAATCGTCGACAAAAGCTGAAAAAATATGTCTTACTCCCATAGCACCCGGGACTGGCAGCCCTTTGAGACCCGGGTCTCGGTGAATTGCCAAGCCCAGTAATTCAACCATCAGGGGAAATTGCAATGGCGCCAAAGGGCAACCTTGGCGAATTCCGGATCTGACCGCAATGGGGTCTGATTGTTTGCCATTCACGGAGAACCGAGCCTTAGTTCCGGTATGCATACGCTGGATGAGATGGATAGACTGGTCTTTAAAATGAAAGGTGCGCAGCGCTGCATAGAAATTCCCTGTCCACTGTATCGTAGGCCTTGCAGAAATTCGGTAGCAAGGTTACCCGACTAGCTCTGGCTGGTAGATCCACCTCATCACTAGCCGAAGCTAGCTGGGAAAGCGTCACGGATACTAGCTTGCGCATTTGCCTGCCCCGTACAAATTCCTGCTGCAAGTCTCCCACCAACCGTGGCATTGCTGTCTGCAAGCGGGTATCCAAGGCCTTCTGAACATATTTTGTAACTAGTCTAAAGCAAAGAGATTGAGCGGTAGTCTAGAGCATCCGCCGAATCTTCCTTTTTCCGCAGCGAAATAACCAGCGATTCTAAAAACGAAAGCGGCATTTGTGCACCAGATAAAATCTCGTTGCTCACCGTCAGTATGGCGGGCACCATTAAGGCCGAAGTGTCCTTACAAAAGTCATTGTTTAGGCCATCAGGGCCGGCTGTCTTATGTTGGCTGAGCTCCGAAACGGCCTGGATTACCTCTACCTCTGTAATTTTGGCTAACGGGGCTTCATTTGCTGCTGAGGATAGCCTCCGCTCGGCCGGGACGGTGACAAATACTTAAATCACGGGTAGAGCTGGGGGGGAAAGGCTCCGTGCGATGTATACTTCCAAGAAGTGGCGACCATTCGGAGGAAATTTTGGCAGCAACAGACATATGCCGAGTAAATTCAGGGCCGTGCAAATGGACAATCCTGGACACTGTTTGGTCTCGTTCCCAGTCCGAAACCCTCTCCTATAGGACCCCCGGAGGCTAGCACTTGTCCGTTCAAGCCGCTGCCCAATCCGTATGGAGTGCTACAGACGGAGCTCTTCCATGTTAGCTGTAATCCATTGATGTCTTGTTAAAAATTGACACCGTTCCCGCTGCAAAAGTTTTGTATTATACCGATACCGCCGCTGGCGTGCCCGTATGCGCACCCGTGCGATGCATATCTTGCGCGCCGCGACCATCGAGTCCCAGTATCGAACTGAACACATCCGGCCCACCCCTATCTCAGTCAGTTCATCTGAAAGTTCCTCTAAGACTCGAGCTGGCTGCGACCCCTAAATGGGGTATGTCGCCTGCCGCCCCTTCGGAGAACGAGAGGGCTGGTACCGTCCACGAATATGGAGCTCCACTTCTTGTGATCCGACAAGTACGTTGGAGTACGTAATGTCACCCAAAGAACCTGAGTAATCCAGCTAAGGGAAATATAAAAACGATCTATCCGGCTCGCTCTACTACCCTCCCAATATGTAAATTTGTCGACAGTGTCGTCGGCCTCCTTGTCCTCCACGTGGTCGCGCAACAACCGGGCATCAACCCACTCACGTTAATCCAGAAATGCTTTTAGCGCCGGAATTTCAGACCTACATGACCGATGTGGGCCAAGACGGTCCAGCAAATGACTTTGGACGCAATGAAGGTCCCCGAGTATTACGGAACTATCTTGCGGTAATTTCCACCGGAGTAGACGTGAAAAGAATTCCTCTCGTTCGGATCGGAGAGTCGGGGCTTAAACTTTGAGAATAACGATTCCGCCTATCGAAATTGCGATTTTTCGTGTACCCCAGAGGTCTTGCTCCCATACCAACGCATCGAGGGCTGACTTGGGGTTCAGTAATATATCCACCCCATCAGCTTGCGAAGACCCCGTGCTCTAGTATGATAACGGAAGTTGGCTGGGATCTGTATGTTTCCCCCACAGCTGCGCCAACTGTAGACTGTGCGCCTTGACTTGATCCTCGCCCGATACCTGAATTGCTTGAATGCACCACGCCAATGGTCGCTCTCGTAAACGTTGGCCGTGCCAAGTCTTCATCCACTGAGTTCGTCCCTTTTTTTAAATCCTCTCACGCTCTGGGTGATAATTTTAACGCTCTCGAGACCCGTACTCCTGGATGTGACGTCCTCTATGTAACGAGACCACTCCGACAGCAATGCAGATCGACCGAATGCATCCGCCTCCGTCAGATCCTGCCCCAGCAAATGGTTCGCTAAGTGAATCTTAGGGCCGCCATTAGAACATTGGAGACCCCTGCTCCTAGGATGGTGTGATCAAGGACGCAAATAAACATTTAATGGGGTTCCAGTCGAATTGCTGACACTAGCTGGGGTAAAAATCCGACTTGTAACGGAGTTGACCCTTTATAGTTGTAAGTGCCGACAAATCTTTCCTGATGGAGACGGGCCCTCACCATGGACATCCGTGAGAGGCTCTATCTCTTGGTCAAATACAAAGGAGCAGAGGAAATGATGACTGAACCTCACTTTAGTCCGTGGATCGCAAAGTTTGATGATGTCGTCTCCCGCATGTTTTAGATCACGTATGCGTCGCCAGTCATCGCCGTTATCGATGAGAGGAGGCAATGAAGTCAAGGCCCCCCGATGCGCTGTGCTTGTTACTCATTAATACAGCCATGTTCGATCGGCGATCGACTGCACCCTACTGCGGGATAAAACCAGCCTCGCCATAAGGCATTCCTTCCGCCCACCTGCTGCCCAATGAATCAATACGTGATCTTCCAGACTACTAAGTAGTTCTCCAGGGAAGGCGAACTGTCGCACGAGATGAAGAAGGATGTGAGGATCGCGTTGCGGTGTGGAAATAAACTCCTGCGTCGAGCCGAGAGCAGACGGAAACGGAGTCGTCGCCGCCGCCGACCAGCTGGACTGTATTAATCGCCAGACCGACGTCTAGTCGTCTCTATCCATCCGATCGTCCGAATATGACCAGTGTATCTTCGAGCAACCTTCCCATGTGCTTCCTGCATTCGGAACAGATGGGGATGGGCGCTTGTCTACCATATCACACGTCGATACCGCTTCAGTCAAATTTGGCTCAAGGCCACGCTTATGAAGCTGATGCCTTCCACGCTCTGATCCTTCGTCCGCTGGGTGGTGATACAGAACCAATTCTAAATTGGTCGTTGGGGGAGTTTAGTAGATCCGATGGAGCCGGCGGCAACTGATAAATGATACTCCTGGACGTCCGTCGTCGTGGCGATCGGGCTATCACTGCCAACCTTTGGCTGATCTGCTTCGGGTGAGTATGGTGAGCATACAAGAGCTTGCGAGGAATCCACCGCCAGATCTGGAAGATCCCCCCTGGGGCTGAGTGCAGCAACGCCGAGTAGTTGCTACCGGAGTATCGGAGCACAAGCGACAGTCGCCCCTCCATCGCAACTTTAGCTCCCAGCAACTCGTCGATAAGTTCCATCAACGCTAACGGCACCTCTCGAACCGTTTCCACCGCCGTGTTGTTCTTTGTCATTACGGTCGCGCAGTACTATCGGCAGCTATAATCACCCCTTTCCTCATATCCCACGTGGAGTACATAGATGTCCTGGTGAAGAAAGATTGCCGCCATCCTGGGCGTATCGCTTCCCTCCAGACCGTTCCACTCGATAGCAAAAGTACGGTCTGATGTAGAAGAGGCATAGTCATGTAAGAATCAGCAAAACTGGTTCGCCAATTCTTTAGGCTTCATTGTTGTCCAGCCTCTCCCAACGTTGCGGAGAGCCTGGACGCGCACATCATGGGAATAATTGTGGTCTAAGTTCAGAAGACCGGAAAACCGAATGCCCCGTTTTACACTGGCCGTGTTCCTTTCAAATGCGTCACTCTCGCCATGCATGTCGGTATCAACGTAAGCCTGTGCTACTGTAATCGCCGCACAATTCCCAGTCGCCGGGGTTACCACCTCCCACAATCCCAAGAGACGGACCAGACTACGCATGTCGCTCGGTACCTGCTGAGGACGTTGTTCCATCGAAAGCGCGCGCTAGGGGCCGTCCTTCAGGCTACCTAGTATACGGTCACATGTGGCACGTTCCTGATCCTTCATCGCTAAGTGAACCGGACCAGAAAACGTAGGTGCCTTTCCACGGGATAAAGCCTGTCTCTTTTCAGAAACCGCTGCCTGAGTTTGACTAACAGGGGCTGGACGTGGGCAGGAAGCCTCTTTGTCGGAAGTATCCGCAGAAGTGAACGATCCTGGAAAATGGTATTCTGTAGTAGAAGGCAATTCGGCTTGCTCCAACACCGAGTGTCGTCCGGAAGGAACCGTCATTCGCGACGGCGCCGTCGGTGCCTGAGCCTACGGATTCTTTGACCCGCGCAGAGGTTGCTTTATCCGGGGTTCGTCAACATATGAAGGAGCCGGCCCTGAACCTGACGCACCCAGACTTACAGTTGTTTAAACCGAGCTGGCCCGATCTGAGTCCCTGTTTAACGAATCTGCTGGGCCTGGGGCCTGAGCGGAAGGGATCACAGATGGCTTCACAGCTGCACTGGCAGCGGCATCCGCAGATTTCTGGACCGTCAATCTGTCTGCTGCCATACGCCGCATCTCCGCCACGATACTAAATGGGTTTACTAAATCCGCGAGTATACAGAGGCCGCTCTCGTGGACCTCGATTACCCCGGGCCGTTTAAGTTGGATATCTGTGTATCCGCACCTGGCCGCTGTGTGGCCGTGTTCTCCACACTGGAGACATTGGAGACGGCGCCCGACATCCGGATGCTGGAGTAATATGGGTGTCCCAAACCAAAAGATTCTCACTATCCCCTGAAGGAACGTGGGATAGCCGGATAGTTGAAAAGTTACTCTCCAAGATGTCGACGTACGCGACATGGGGCAATACGTATCGAGGGCCTCAAACTCGAAATCCGTCGGGACCTTGTAATTAAAATTTGCTGCCACTCGTCCAATCTCATTGAATCGGGTGAGATTGGAAGAGCAATAGTGTAATCCGCGCGCTGGTGCCATGCCTATCCTGTGGGGCCTTGCTGGCGTCCCCAGACGGACCCTCGTTCCGGGCGGTGGGCGTTCGACAAGGTGTATACTCTGCCGCGATACGGTATGCGTATATGCTTGAGACGTTGAGCTGTCTCCCGGGAAAAGAAGAATAATTGTAGTGACTCAGTTGAACGGTCTTATTAATAGTCTTTGTCGGACTAAAAAATTGACGGAGCTCCGGCAGGCCGACTTGCGCCAGTTCCGCTGATTCGAGTACGGTCTCCGAGATGGACCGTATCGTCTGCCTGCTAATCGGTATCTTCTGATCTGTACCCAGTGGTAACGCTAGATGACCTATCACTTGAGCCTGTACCGTGCTATAGAGTCGCAAGCGCTCCTGACTGTCCAGAACCGCCTTAAAAAATAGCGGCATGCGCCGGCACACGATGTGGCCTTACGTGATCCCCGTAATTATTTGCCACTCATCAGTAGTCCCTTCCCGCTGAGACACTTTGTGTCCGATGAAGGAACGATCTTCACAAATGGCTTTGAGGCGCTCAGCCTCCTCCAGAGTGAATTTGGAAGGATCGAACGTAAAGTCCTCGTACTTCGGGATGGAAGGGGAAGCCTTACTGCCCGCCGGGGTAGGTGTCCCCAGCCGCACAACTTGCGCCCACTGGTTCAACACAGAAACTTCGCTTAAATGTGTTGGCTAGACAATCGTCAAATAATAGCAGTAAAATACCATTTTCTTGAGACAAGATCTTTTCCAAGGGAGGAGGCTAGTTTTTTCCTGTCGTGGTAGGTACCAGTAGACGCGACAAACGCTTGTTTAAAAAGCCGTAAAAGGCTCGACGCCTCGGAGGCTCGCAAGAGTGGATACCGCGCTTCAGAGGCTTGAAGCTCAGTCGCATTGATCGGAAGCTTCTTAAATTCTACGGCAAACAGCTCCTTTATGGTCAACAGCCACGCATCAATTTGGCTCGTCCCTGGGTGACTTTTTATATCCCTTACCAAAGAATGGAACATGGATGCTGCCGAGGGGGCCACCACAGAGGACGGAGGGGGTCCTGCCGCTGACTGGTCTCCTCCTGGTGCACCGGCTGGCTAAGGCCCTGCCGCTGACTGATCCCCGTCTAGTTCATCGGCGACCTCTGTCGTGGTGCCTACCTCGGCAGTATCACCACGAGCATCTCCGCCTCCAGTACCTAGAGCTGAAGTGTCGCAGGCCGGGTGCGTGGCCGACGCGACTACTTCCTAAGGAGCCGTGGGTTGGCCGCCCGGTCCCTCCTCCGCAGCCCCCACTGGCTGAGAAGCGGCGGACTTGGCGTTGTGGCTAAGTTCCGCCGTCACTTCGTCTTGTTACAGAGGTTCTTGGCGCCTGAAAGACCCTGGAGGCCTCCCTTTACCCCCCCCCTCGGGGGGAAGGTTTGGAAGATCCGTGCTAGTCGTCGTGCGACTGAGGATTTAGCTGTCACCAGCCCTTCCTGTTCTTACCTCTAAAATTAATGGTTTAAAGGTCCCAGTTCAAATTAGAGAGTGATGAAGTCATGACGACCAATCCAGCAGACGAAAAAAATTGTAAGGCAAAAGATAAAAAGATGTAGTATTTAGTTGGTGTAACTACATCCATTACTTTAACGGGACGCACCTTATTCAGCTAACTAAATGAACCTTGCACTGCTGACAGTGCAAGGGTGTGTGCGTCGAACTACTTCACATTTACGTGCGAGCAGAGGAAGGTTGCTAAACGGAGTAAGAGTATTCAGTCGAGGTAAAAAGTAGAGCTGTGTAAAGTATAGTCGACCCTATTGATGAAGAGAGTAAAAAAATGCACCATTTAATCACAAGTATAGAAAATGGCTTAGACGATTGGATAAGTAAAATGGTGCTATAGGTAAGTGCAAAGATTAAAATGCTCTAGATAATTGAAAAGTATGAAAAATGCCCCTTATAATCTCGAAATTTGAAAAATGCCCCACGTTCTCGTATACTCAATTCAAAAATAAACGGTACACCTAAAATTATATTTTAGTCATTAATCGATTCCCATGCTACGGCTGTGCTCGATCCCAACCCTCTGGGGAAGACGCAAGTGAGGGGTGGGGGTCTGCTGCGGGCGTGCTGCGCTCCCAGCCACCAATTTTGAGCATGGACGACACATTAAAGATGCAAAGGCATCTTTGTATCATCAGCCGCAGCCGTAAACGCGGACAACCGGTGCTGATATTACTGATGGTATTATTTTGGATTTGGTTTTATTATTGCTATTATTCTTGCATAGTGATAATGTTGGTACTAATGTGTTTTGTTTCAGTTGCTCATTTCGTTGTTGCTGCTACCGCCGCTGCAGCCGTTATTGCTGTAAGGAATTTATAACATTCTTGTGGTTTCTGATGCTGCTGCTGGTGGTGGTGCTGCTGATCTTAGTGTTGTTATTATTAATGCTGCTGCTGTGGCTGTGTTGGTGCTGGCAATGCTGCTGCTACTGCTTCTTTTGCTATAGCTGCTCTTGCTACTACTGCTAGTGTTCTGGGTGTTACTACTGTGTCGTGGCATTTTTGTTGTTGTGGGATAGAAATTTGCTTCCTACTTGTATGCTATAGTTGTAGCGGAGCTACACAGCTCGTTAAGTCAGAGGAAGACTTATTTAACAAGCCAACGGCTTAGGCTGACAGCCAATTTTAGTTCTACGGAACTATTATATCAAGTTAAAGAGTCACCCAGCTCTACGGAACTCGGGTGGACTCTACGAGCTAACGGCTCAACTACTGTAGTTCTAAGGAACTACACACACAATGTGCGAAAGGGGAATACCGGAGTCTAAAGACTCTCTAACCCACGACAGTTCCAAGGAAATGTCAAACGCAAGGTGCGAAAGGGGGGAAATTCTAGGGACTTCTAATTTACATGAGAACTGAACTTTATTTAGATTCTATATCAAGGAAAATCCTACTTTTTGTACCCTATATTATTATGAATACAAATACTAGTATTCGAACTAAATGGATGGTTGCCACATCACAAAGTCATCAAATGATGACGGTACAAAGTACATACACTGTAAGTACTGTAACCTGGGACTATCGATCAATCGAAATTCTCTTGCTGATATAAAATCTAAGGTCACACACATTCATCCATATCATTTATGGGAGGTCTTTGACCAATTCAGCCAAAGGCTAGTGTGACCCCGTTACAATAGTGGGATATGAATTTGCTTCCTACTTGAATGCTATAGTCACTTCAGCATATTCAATCATCGGATAGACTTCGATGAATCCATTCTATCTGTTTAATTCTCGATTAATAATTCGGAGGCTTTATCAGTGCTAATGACGACATTCAGTGCCGTTGCAGGGATTTGTCAGTGCTGTCACTGCGATCCTGAAGGAAAAAGCTATTAGTGACTGTGCGCAAGGTTGAATTCCGAGCTTTAAATTAGACTTTGAAGTCTGTCTGTCGTGCTTGTGTCTGTAAATAACGCGGCTTGGTGTACCTCGCATGTACTCAGTACGTTCTAGCATGTCCTGCCTCATAGGTATATAGGCACACGCGTAGTCACTCTTTGGCTTGGTCGCTATTGTGACACTCGCACTTGGTTGGCTTAAATTCGATTCAATGTGGACATGATCACAAAAGCAAGCAAAGGCTGATCGCGTTGCCATAGTTTGAACTGTAGTCCTGGTTTAATATAGACATTGAGAGCATTGTGCTCAATCTTCAATGACTGCTCTTATGTAAGTTGATACACCTTGACCTAGTTTTCCAAATTGGCCTACGCGTTTCGAAGGGCGAGCTCCAAAGCACGCTCCCCTATCTAACTTTTAAATTCCAAGAGCAGCACGCTGGACGTGGAGAGTTTGAGAGGCAAAGCAAGTCTGACGTATCAGCACATTGCGTGTAACTAGTGTTTGTAATAAATCTAGTCCATTATAGAAGCACCACGACGGTCTATGTGTGCCACTTTAACTTGAGTATACAAAGACGGGGGCACTTTTTTATTTTCGCGAATAAATCGGGCATTTTTCGTAAAATTTCCAAATTTCTAATGCAGATTTCTTTTGTGATTATCTAGAGCACTTTTTTTTTAATTTCTCAATTATCTAGGAATTTTTTTATTTTAGTGATTATCCGGGCCGTAGTTTTTATGTGTCGGAGACAGTTTTTTTCGCGATTAAATGGGAATTTTACGGATTTGTTTTATTTACTACAATTTTTACGATTTTCACCACACTTTTTACTATTTCTATCACAACGTAACCCTAAATATAACCTTACAAGCACACCACACCACACGAAACTACCACACCTACTCTGAGGGGGAGGGGCAGGCTTATTTGTACTGAGTGCGTGCGAGGTACACCTAGCCGCGTTATTTGCAGACACAAACTGATATGTGCAATTGAAAATTTCAGCAGTCAACATTGCGCACGCACAAATAGCTTCACCCCTCGAGCTCGCAATAAGTTGCGAACTAAACTTAGGAGCTTTATCAAACCCTTCCGTCCTGTGCCACTGAGATCCACGTGCAAAGGCTGACCCAATCATGGGCAGGCTCCACGCCAAAGCGATCACTGTTTGTCACGTAACCAGAAAGTGACGTTTACTGATCACATACGCCAATGAAGAAAGGAACTGCTACATTGTGTCTAGAAAGCGCATCAAAGGTGCACTTGGATTTAGTTGAAATTTTACAGATAGTGGATACCAAGAATTTTGGCTACCACTTTACGTAAACAAATTGATCGTTCGCTCTTTGCACTCGCAATGTAGTGTAAAGTTTATTGTGTAGAATTCGGCTGATGTTTACGAACCAAGAGAGTATGCTTTGCAGTGCTGGTCGCTTTTAATCAATCCTGTCCGCAGCAGGTACATGAGATGTAGTTGTAACAAAGCTACCGCGATATGGCTACGATTTTTTTTCATACATACAAGCAAGATGACCTTATACAAAGGCGCCGTTCGGTAAGCTCAATGAGCATGCATCCCGAATGATGCTGGGCTGAATTATTTGGAATGTAAGCTCATCGAGCTTACTACAAGACGCTTTTGTATCATGTACGAGGTGGTCTGTCACCAAACGACAAACTGTAGAACGCTACGAATACAATTACTGTTTATTTGTCGTGCATTCACAATTACATGCATCCTCCAAAAGTAAAATGGTAGGCCGGATTCAGGCGATGACTCCATGCTGGACGCCGCCTCATCTGCTATGCACAAAAATGGTGTGCTTCGGTCGATGCGAAATTGGCGGTGGCAGTGGCGACATATGTGATGTCACGGGTTTGCGTTTACAAGCGTATGCTCATACCTGACCGAATTACCAAGCAAGCAGAAGTGTCGGCCGTCGTCGACCTGCGTGACCTACGACGCTCAGCAAGTCAATTCTCACCTGGCCAACAACTTCTAGTAGCCCGGTAGGTCGACTGAAATCCTGCAGCCTTGTGTATAATCGTCCGTGTGCAATACTTTCCCAAACGAGTCAGCACGCTAGAAGTTCAGCCCACCTTGCAAGTCACTGCTCTCTGTCGAGCCAGCGCGCTAGAAGTTCGCTCACCTAACATGTCACCGCTCTGTCGTATGAAAAGCATACTAATAACCTCTGGACAGCTATGAGCTACATTAAAGCGGACGAGTGTAAGCAAGTCTGAACGCACGTTGCTGGTCGACTGCGTAATCTGCATTTTCTTGCCACTTAATCCTTTTTTTGCGGTCGGTTTAAACGTTGGCTGATCAATCGCAAGAATTGGACGGTGTTGTTTGGCTTCTCGTGGTCAAAGTAGCGTAGCGCATCTTCGTATCTGCCTATGCTGCGTGCATATGCCAACGTAAAGCCTTTCAAAGCACGATACCATGGATCCGACGTAGGGAGGTCCATCACGTACTTTCCATCTACCCTTGGTATCGCAAAATAGGCCAATATAGGCGACATCTCTTTTTCAATCATTTCCTTGTGCAGTGCTTCCTGCATCTCCAAGGTGAGCCACTTCAGCTTCCGATTCCAGTCCTCGACCATATGAAGAAATGCTGAGGTCAAAATCGGATGGCCGAGCGAATTCGTATACCGCAAAGATTGCAATATCTTCTCAACAGAAAACGTGTGATCACCGTACCTCTGCCTGAACCGATCGCAATACTGAATCCAGTGAAAGGCGTTCGGGTCCCGCAGGAGAGACTTTTGGCCGACGCCCAGAAGCTCAAAAACTACATCAGGACTTGTTTCCGAGTCCAGCCACTGCTGATCCATCGACAGGCGCAAAGCTGAGGAGTCTTCTGACAGCATGTCATGTAACTTGTTCGCATCTGCATGCATACCGCGTGCTTTGAACCAGTACAACACTGTGTCTATCTGATAGGTTTTCACCAGCAAGGAAAACACCTTTTCAGGCTTGTACCAACCTTCCCGATCTGCAGACTGTCTATACTTCCGTGCATACTTGAGCCAGATCTTCAACTTCTTATCGGCCTCGAGATTACCGTCACCTTTACCGATGCCCAGAATTTCAAAAGCGGTATCGGGGCGGGGCCGTTGCAGCAAGTAGTTTTTCACAGCCAGTATGGTCGGATCCCTCCATAGGGCGCTTATGCTAGAAAAGATGCCCCTCTCTTCATCTTTCAGGTCCGCGAGGTTGGCAGCTTTTACAGCAGCTGATTCCTGGGGCTCCAAGTGTGTTTGGCCATCAAGCGGGTTCTCGTTCAGGCGTGAACTACTGCTGTGGTTGTGAGCTACAGCATGCGTCTTGCTATCGTTATCGAGAGCCGATTCGGTTCGGTTCCAGAGAACGATGATGGTGAACAACATGCTTTGGCGGAAGAACATGGAGATGATGTTTGTTGTCGATGAGAAGTATCGCAAAGTGAGGTCACTTCCGTGCTGGACCTACCTGGCTTCAATCGCTATCGTCGAATCGACAAAAGACTTTCGTTAGGTCCGGTACCTGTCACAGTCAAAATGCATGTCGCAACCGAGAGAGCCAAGATGATGGGTTTGCCTGTCCACTTATCACACAAAAGAGACGTCAGCACGACGACGAAGGCCATTTGTATTCTACGCCTTTGAATTGTATATTTCGACCATTCCTTAATTTCGGAAAAGGCTGGACAGTCGATATTGAAAGACCAGCTCGCACATACTGCAGCAGCCCTTACAGCGTTTGATGTGCGCCTGCCGAACACATAATGTCGACGATTGTAGATATACAGCTGAACGTCACTATTATGCACAGTGTTCAAACGATTGGAAGAATGTGCCGTAACGGGGTCACATGCGGCTATGGAGCCGGTTATGTTGTGTGCCCACACCAAGTAAAGATCAGTGGATCCGAGTGGTACAGTTTAGGTATTACGTACTTGCGGTAATACCGCACCTTATCAGGTAGGGATAAGGAATCAGACTTCTGTCATAGGATCGCAATGTAGAAGTCAGTCAAACAAAGGTTTAGGGTATTACTACCGTAGTTAAAAGAATAGATAAAGTTCAGATCCCCTTTTGAATCGTCGGACGCTAGTGCCTAGTCAAGGCGTAGTGTGTTGTATAAGCATCTGTCTTGTCGAGGCGTTTACTCCTGTTTAACTCGTAGTCTTTATTCAGTGTGTGATTCTGTGAATCGTAATCCCTTTGGAACCAGGATTGTTAAGCTTGTGCGCTTGAACGACTGTACGTCGTTGCTAGTTTGTTATAACTCAGAGAGTCTTTGAGTCCAAGACTTCCTCTGTTGAGGAGCGCGAAGTAGGTAGCTCCGCTACATGTGTTCGAACTAAAGGAACACGAGGAATGAGTAGTGGACGAAGTGAAGCTGCGTCGGACAAAGACAGCAACGAAATGTAAATATCACAATAGTATGAGGCATTTTATTTGTAAAAATGAAAGGTCGAGGTATTCGCAATCGCGTGGCAGGTCCGTCTGAGAAGATTCCCAATAGCAAGCAACGATCGACTTTCTTGATTTTATCTGTCTTCAAGACGAACGCTCTTTCTTGTCGAGCTTTATCGATGTTCGCCAGTTGTCGATCAGCGCATAAACAGCAGACAAGAAGTTTTTTCACAAGCCACGTTTCGTCCGCTGACTGCACCCTCTTCTTTCTCGTCCACGATCTTCTCGTCCTAATTTTAGTCGTTAATTCTTCCAATGAAAAATTTCGCACAATGACTCTTGTCCTGCCTCTGATGTTGGTAACTTTCGTAATGAATGGTTAATATGGCAAAGTGCGGCACAAAGTCGTTGGTTCCAGCTGGGAATTGTCCATTAGTGCCTACGGCTGTAGGATCGGCGTTGTGGTTGACATTATCTTGTTTGTCGGCTTCAACTACAACGCCGATGTGGATGTGGTTGACTTTGATGTCTTTGTCGTGTTTTCTGTTCTTATCGTGTTCATTTTTCATTTGTTATCATGTTCATCATTGTGATTGACTGTATCTTCTTGTTGGTCTAGTTATCTTGTTCGTCGTTGTTGTTTACATTTTCGTTCTCATCACCATCTGCATCGCTGTCTGATCTCCGATGGTAGTCACGAACATCCAAATCTTCGTTTACGTCACTCCCCACACCTGAGAGGATGCCTGAGTCTTCATCTATCCCTCGGGGTTTTCACCACTCAACTTAGTGGCAGGATCATCCCGCAGCGTATGTCAATCAGGATGTTCTTCTATGTAACTGAGTAAAATGGTTCTTATATTTTGAAGTGGTTGCAGTTTTTAGCAAGCTCAAAATAGGTCCGTTCGAGACAGAAGAATAACAACGTGTCGGATTAAACTTGGTCATAGTCGCTCCGAGTGGGGAATGTCGAACTCAATTATAGCTGATGACCACAATCCAGACTTGGTGAGCAAAGAGTGTAGCGGAGACTCAACAGTTGTCATGGGTCTCGATGTCGCTGCTGACGCAGCCCTATGCGTTATTTCGATCATCGGAGGGGGTATGATGCGCGAAAAACGAGAGTCGCATAGATAGGTGGAGCAAAATGTACAGTTTAATCATATTGACTATTCGTGTTCGACAGACGCGCGTAAAACACCGAAAAGGCAAAAATGCTGGTACGTGTGTGGTAAAAATACCGTATCTGCTAGGAAGTCCTTTCAGTATCTGCTGTCGAGCCCCTCCAGTCAAATCAGGTATAGAAACGGGGGTCGGCTCAGCGTACTGGTCCTGGTTCCTTTTCTGACGCTACGTCTTGCGGTTTTGTTTAGCCGTGGGAACCCTCACATGCCAGTTAAACGCTATGTGCCAGGTGCAATGGCTACTTTCTAGCAGCTCTCTCTGGACACAGGTATAATTACTCGCCTGCATGGACACATCATTGCACAGAAAGTGTCGATGAAAGTAGAGATATCAGCCTCTCGTAAGTACATCGTAGTCGTTGGCAGTGAGCGAGTTGAAGCAGTTTCTTCATCGAGTGGTCACCCGCCCTATGCTGGATCAAGTGTCGCTGATTCAGAGTGGGTGCAGGAAGAACTTGGCAGGTTGATTGCGTCATAAGTCAGCTTGACGATGAGACAGTACCACATGATTGTGAGCAAACCAGGCCGAGTTTGCCGTCATCACGGGGTCTTCCTGTGCCAAATTTGTCGACTGCGAGGTTCTTTGCATGTGTGGATACACTGGTACGATGATCGACATAGCTTGGAGCGTTTTCAGGCACGACGGTGCTCATGCGGATCAACATTTAGTAAAACGTTATGGTCTTGATCATATACTGAAGAAGGAGATCGTAAAGCGACTCGACGTCTTTGGCATTTATTCGTGGTGGCTCGCTCGGTACAATAGACATGAAAAGATGCTCGATACCTGCTTGCTTCCCACGGACAAAACGACGGTCTCTGATTACCGGATGAATACTGCACGATCAAGAGTCAAGCCCCAAATCCGAATGAACGTTCGTATGCAAAGGTGAGAATCAGGAGATCGGTTGTTGGTAAAACAAACTGCTTGTACTGAGGAAGAGTTGTAGTCTTGCTACAGAACAAACACGAGACACTGGTGTGAGCCGCTCGGGATGTGTTTGGAAAGCGCTGTCCATGCTAGGCGTATCGTACTCCCTACGTACGAAACGATACGATGCCGGCCGACTCTGTATAAACCTTGGCAAGCGCCAAAAGCATACCCATTCTGTGTTAGTAGGCTGCTCACCACACTTGCATCCGTCGGCGAAGTGACTATCGTAACAGCAGGTGCAAGTGCGAACGAACTGACCGTGCCGCGGCTTTTTCCTATTTTTTCTACTGGAATGCAAAAAGGGCGCGCCGAGCAAGACTTGAAGAAGACGCAGAGGCGGACGTAGGCGTAACGACAATGAAATTGGCTATGTTGTTGTCATCCAGAGCTCCACGCAACAGCAAGCTCTAGTTACCAGCTCAACCCTGCTGGTAACTAGAAACAAATGGGCGTGAGTGCACATTCCCCTTCCAGCATCTTCAGACTAAAGGCCAAGGCAACACATCCTTGAAAAGACTTTAATCTATACGGTGCTTGGTGCGGCAATGGGCTCCTCTACAACTTGGCCGATCGTCAAAGACACGAACGATATTGAACCGCAATTAAGTCGCCCAACCAAGCTTTCTATGGAGAAGTTATCGCTCTTGCTACCATGGCGTTAACTAGAGGATAAAGTATCCCAACGAAGCCGTAGCACTGGTAAGACCCCGTGTACGAGCTTCAGGTAGAAATGAGTGTATACGCGCGTGCTGCATTCTGTGCCTAATCTCAGGGTCTTGGATGCGGGCACATCATCTAGGGCGTCGTGTAGCTACCGAAGTGCTGCTGACCCTGGATGAAAAATGCTTCATGACATGCCATCGCGATAGGCTGTAGAGTGTTGTGCTACAAATTTTACTCACGCCCGTAGAAGTTAGTAAGACCACGCATCAGCTGTCAGTGTACGATAAAGACGGCGAAATAGTCAAACAGGAAGCACTCGCATGTAGTTGGAAAGTCAAGTGATAGGATCATTCAAGTCGAATGCAACACCAGGTTCCACGTCCAGACGATGCTGACGCATTCGAGTGTGATTGTGTTGATGTGCAAGGTGCGAAAGTTGGAGGAATCACCGCTCGATGTCACAGACGACGAAGTCTGAGAAGCGACAAACAAAAACACAAAATGAAAAATACTCGCGATCCATTGTAGAAAGAAGAATTCGTATCGGTACTCTCAATGAAATGCTGCATTTATTAAGACACCGAACATTTGCCACCTTCCAGGTCCTCTTTGTCTCAAAATGATGGCCGCTCCCATCTCGCACGACGTAAAATTTGCGTCAGGGATGGAACGCCACCGCAGAGTTGCGGGAAGCAATACTGGAAGGACCATCGATCATTTCTGGCGCGCAAACAGATGCTCTTGGAATCCGAGCAAGGAGTCGAGAAGCAGTGGCGCTGAACGATTGAAAGGGCTGCGTAAAGCATAGCGAACGTCATAATACGTACTACACGGTACGAATTTGCATTCTAGACGATTCATTAGTGGTGTCATCGTCACGATCCTCTTTTTCGCTGACAGCGTAATACGATTGGTGCACCTTAGTAGTCTTGATGCAAGCACCGACCCAGTGCGCCGGATGTGGGGCCGAGAAGATGCTGTGGATGTTAGTGCTCTATGGCAGTTGATGTGGAATCTTTGCAGGTACATTCGTTGTAACAGACAATAGCTTTGCTAGCTCCTAGTCCTTCCATCGTTCCAACTGCAGCAGATTATGTTGTAGCAATATGACATGCATATTGGAAGATGTTTCGCTGCCTCTGGCGATCAGAACGCGACCTTGCGGGTCTTATAGTAGTACCAGACACACCGTTGGACACACTATATCAGTGCCAGCGGAGACTTTCGTGAAACAACACATTTTACATTCGATAGACTGCATGTTTTAGTGCATCCGAAAGGTTTACTTTAGTGTCGTAGCCCAGTGTAAATCTCTTGCAAGATTCAGCGAAAACGTGCTTTTTCGAACAAGCAATCGAAACCTACCACCACCTGCCCTTAATTGCCCCACCCCCGGTCAAAAACGTCGCTTTGTTCCACCGACACAAAATCCGACTCAATTTTACATCTCGCTGATCAATCTCAATTTTGCGCTAATCCCACAGCCAAAGTTGCAGCAAGAGTGATGGTCGTGCAAGTTGAAGTTGGCCCGCCACTCTGCACAGCCAGTCATTTCCCAACTCTCGAGCTGCTGAGCAAGTCCGCGCTGCCGCTTGCACAAGAAGACACGAGAAAGGCCATGGCGGAGCAAACAAGCGAGGCGAGCGTCGTGCGTCCGCGCCTCGTCCACTTGGAGAGCGTATTGCAAGAGCTCGCGACGAGCGAGGAACACCAGAGACAGTGGAGCATCGAGCTCTCGCGCTTCAACACGCGGCAGCAAGGGCTCAGCGCGGAGCTGCAGCAAAGTATATATCCGAGTCTACGTACTGAAGCAACAGCGAGGTTCGAGAGTAACGCCCCCACGCTCTTGTTGTTGTCTCTGTTCTAGCCCAAGAAGCGCTGGCTGCTGCCCACGCGAGCAAGGCCGCGCTCTGTGAAGAGATCGGCGCGTTGCGACAGACAAAAGCAGACCAAGTGAAGCAGCTGGAACGGTTCAAGTCCGACCTGCAGTCTGCACGGGAGCTGAGAACAGTCATGACAAAGAAGATGGAGGACCTCGAGACGTCGACGTGGACAGTCAAGCAGCAGTACATTCGGTACATGATGCCGACCGTCGAGTTGACACACAATGGGATGCAACTCAAGCAGCTAGATTGACGTTTGCTGTTTCTTGTGAGCTGTAGATCGCTGGCGTCAAGGATCAAGACAAGTGCTCGGGTCCTGCAGCAGCTCGACGTGACGAGCGGGACGTCACTCAGCACTTTAGTTGCTGGAACGAGCACTGAAGAGGAGCAGGTGAAACCGACCAAGCGCAAACGTGCTGAGAAAGAGAGTGACGGACAGTTGAAGGTTGCGCACGGACAGGTATTCGCGTGGTCACTGCTTTGTATCGCGAGATAAACTCACACTCGTGTCAGCCAAAGCTCATAGGAAGTGTAACGACGCACGAGCTGTGCGTCAAGAGAGATGGCAAGATTTCTGAAGTACAGGGACCCGAGAGCACAATAATGGCAGCAAGTCACGAGGGTGAATTGGCTGAACGCCTTGATGCATCGCTGAAGAAGAGCTCCAGTTTGCTTGACTACGACAAGCAGTGTAAAACGAATGCCGAAAGCGAAACTACAGTCATGGAATTGCGTGCTCAAGTTACCGATCTCAAGTCGGAGTTGTCTGTACTAGATGGTACGTATTTCTGCGCGGTCGTTGGAGATACGAGCTAACTGACCATGTTTACGTGTCATTCAGGCAAGTACAATGCGCTCGTCCGTGAGCATGATGAGATTCTAGCCGAGAGGTCGACGACAGCTCAAGACATTAAGGCAAAGGAATCGAAAATCGAGGAGTTGACGCTCATGCTGGAAACGTCGAGGTCGAAGCCGCAGGGTCTTGCGAGTGACTCAATCTCTACGAGTGGCAAGTCCAAAGACCATGAAGCTGCAGGAGGGCAGTTGAAGATGCTAGAGGTACGACTTGGCACCGTGCTCTACATTGGACTGAAAGTGACGGAGTTTGTTTTGCAGGAGAGCTTGACGCAAATGAACGCGTACGCTGATCAGCTCGAGATGGTCATTGCTCAGTGTCCTTCGTGCACGATCAAGCTTCAAAACGAAAGTACGCAGGACTCAGTCGCCAATAGAGCCGAGTAGGAAACTAGACAGCAGAAAGGCAGCACACATTTCCTCCATAAGATATCGCTTCACAGCCCGCTGCAGTTAAACTATTGGAGCTTGACTGTGAGCCAGATTGTAAAACTTGGTGCCTTCTTCGTACAGATCCTCAAAGGTGCCAGTCTCAGCGGTGACGCCATCTTCTAGCAATATGATGCGGCTGGCATGTCTGATCGTGTTCAGCCGATGCGCAATGATCAACACAGCTCGGCCCACTGCCGCTGACTGAATTGAACGCCGGATCAGGTCCTCGCTGCGACCATCGAGAGAGCTCGTGGCTTCATCCAAAAGAAGGATGTTCGTCTTCTTGTAGAGCGCGCGAGCAATAGCAATACGCTGCTTTTGACCGCCCGATAGCTCAACACCCTTTTCACCCACAAACGTGTCGTACTTGTTTGGCAGTTCCATAATGAACTCGTGCGCGTGCGCTTCCGTAGCAGCTCTAATAAGCTGCTCCTTATCGTACACCTCGGCTCCGTACATGATGTTTTCAGCAACAGTAGACGCAAAAAGCGACGGTTCCTACAAAGCACAACAGCAGCGATTAGTCAGACCTAACCGAAGGGCCTTCATACCAAGATCTAACGTTACATCGTACCTGATTAACGACTCCAATCTGTTTACGTAGCCACGACGCCTTCAATGTCGCAATGTCCACGCCATCCAGCGTTACGGTGCCACTTGTGGGCTTGATAATCTTGGACATAAGTGACGCAATTGTGGTCTTACCAGCTCCGCTCTTGCCAACGATAGCGACTACCTCACCAGGGTTAATCCGCATGTTCAGTCGGTTCAGCACCAAGACATTCGGGCGCGACGGGTATGCGAAAGACACGTCATTGAAGCTAACACAGCCCTTGACATTTTCTAACGTCATGTCGCCATCTGTAGCAGGTGGAAGCGATAGCAAGTCAAAAAGCGACTCGGACGACATGCGGGTCTTCTTCATTTCGCTAAAGCACGAGGACAGACCGGAGAACCCAAGACCCATGAATCCACTATACAGAGCGAATGACGTAAGCGTTCCAATGGTGAGTTCCCCTGATCCCACAAGGGATCCGCCAAAGTACAGCACTGAGAACAACGAGCAGTTGACCGACAGCGAAAGACCACCCATGAATATACCACGAGCACGCTTCGCACTCTTTGCATTCGCCAAGATCCCGTGATTAATCTCGTCAAAGCGGGTCAGCTCATCCTGCTCTGCAGAGAACAGCTTGACCGTACGAATGTGATTCAATCGTTCCTCAACAACCCCTGTCATGTCCGCGACCGCATTCTGATGCTTCGTAGCCAATCGGCTCGATAATTTGCTAAAGAGCATGGCACTCGTGCCTACGAGCGGCAAAATCGTTAACGACACGAGCGTCAACTTGGGCGAGATTGTCAGCAGCATGCAGGATGCACCCAGGGCCGAGTTTAACGACCGGTATCCGTTGGACAGCACGTCAACAACAGCATTGGCCGTCTGTTGACAGTCACGACTAAGTCTCGTCACGAGTTCGCCCACCTTACGGTCATTATAAAAGCTCAGCTCCTGCAACAACAACGTCCTGTACAATCTCCTTCTCAACTTGGCAGCAATGCGTTCAGCGGCCATGCCGAGCGAGTACGTGCGCAAGAACGAACCCATGGACCCTGTCACAAACGTCGCAAGGACGACGACCACGAACCCTTTGCGGCTGAGCCCGCCTGGCACTGGTTTGCCCGATGCCACGTCAATAGCCTTCCCCATAATGCGCGGGAACACCAGATTCATAGCCGATGCAACGGTCATGCCCGAGACGCCCATAGCCAATAGCAATTTCTCCTCCTTTAATAGACTCGAGAACCAGCCAATGGTCGAGGCCGTTTGTTTCTTGCTCTCGAGCTGCTTCTGCTTGGATATGGACTCTCCAGACGTACCGTCATCAAGCGGTACAGGAGCTACAGCAGCACTGATACTACCGACTCCGCCACTGTCGTACGGCGCGCTCAGTTTCTCCAGCAAGAACGATCTCGCCACCATGAGGAGCTAGCTGCTCGTGCCAAACGTGACTTGTGAAATGAGTTTCTACGTGGTGCACACAAAAAACACGCAATCCTTACTACGGTCATACCGTGCTCATCGGTATCGTGTATCGTAGGTAGCGAACCATTGGCCATGCCGCGCCGCCTGCTCCAGGTCTCTCGGAATCTGAGCTGCTCGTCTTCTGGCTCTCGCTACGCGTCTGTTGCTGCTCCAAGCCACGCGCTTTCTGTGTGGTCTTCTGCGATCGTATCTCCTCCACATGACCAGTGCAAGTTTGGCCGTGCAGCGTCTACTTTGCGCAAACGAAACGCTGTTTCGACTCATGGACGACGTGGAGCCCCACAGACTCAAGTACTGGACGATCTAGGGACGTTGTTACAGGAAGCCAAGCACTATGGGAAGAAGTTCGAGCCCAGTACGGACTACGTGCGTCGTTTGGGGGCGTTGCTGCATGTGTGCAAGTCGAAAGAGCAGTATGCGGCCGCTCTCCCGCTTTGTACGATCGTCCAACGGTCTTCCTTAACTCACGGTAAAGTAGCAATGGAGTGTATCCGGATCTTCCAGAAAGCAGGACGGAATCAAGAAGCTGTGGCTCTAGCTGAGAAGCTAATGAAGCAGGACGTCTTTCTGCTGAATCATGCGCTTGCGAGTGCTATTCAGGCTTGTGCAGCTTTGAGAAGAGTGAAAACTGGCTACTGGCTGTTTAACACGGCAAAAGAGCGTGGTTCGATCCCAAATTTGGGTGTGTACTCGGCCTTGCTGACAGTTGCTGGCGTGGCAGGTGATACGAAACAAGTGCAGACGGTGCTGGACCAGATGAAAGAAGCTGGTGTTGAGATAAACAACATCACGTTTCACAACTTGATGAGTGCGTATACTCGCGGGGGATACACGAAGGAGACCCTGGCGCTTTTTGTGAAGATGCAGGAGGAAGGCATTGTTGCAGATGATCACACGTACGCAATCTTGATGGATGCGCATGTGGAGAGTGGCGATTTCGAGAGTGCCAAGGCAGTTATGGACGAATTGAAGCAAACGACGCTGCAACCGAAACTTGTGCACTACAACGTGTTGCTGAAAGGGTGTGGCAAAGTGAGCAACTTGACGTTTGCGTTCCAGCTGTACGAGGAGATGAAGGAACGTGCAATCCGACCGGATCTTGTGACATTTATTACTATGATGCATGCTGTGTATCACGGTGAGCTGGGCACGATTGACCAAAAGAAGGTCAAGATGGCTCTTGCCGGTTTGGGTCTAATGGGAGTTGCGTTCGTTCCGTTCATCAACTACGAAGAGTACATGCTGACCACGCTGTTCTGTGGCAGCCTCGTGGGCTCAATGGGTTTGGCTGCGTACATGAATCCGGATGGCGTTATCCGTGCACTGTACCCAAACACGGATGAAATTCGAAATGACACCGTCATTGAAGCTTTCTTTCGACGGCTACGCGAAGAGGACCATTGCGGTAGATCCATGTATTTGTGGCGCGAAATGTTGAAATTCAACGTCCCTGCAGATCGGCGCGTCTACGATGTACTCGTGCGTACATGTGTGCGCAAACGGTTCCCTGACTTGGCCTATGAGGCCCTTTTTGAAGAAAAATTGCCGCTTTTCGACAAGGAGGGTGTGTTTGTACTGTCGCTCTCCACGACATTGAATCTGTTGCACTCTCTTTTGTCTCAGAAGCGTACGAATATGGCCGACACTCTGTACGATGCTGCTCGAAGTCACAATGTCTTTGACAAGGTGTTCTCAGAGAAGGGCGACTCATACGTGTACGATATGCGCTCGTTTTTGAACGAGCAAGTACGTTGCTATACAATTATCAAGCTGATGGATGAGCTGCGGGCGAAAGTGGACTCATCCAATGGCGATTTCGTTGCCCCGAACGTTCGGGTCTTGGTTCAACACGGATACGAGTTACTTGATCGTCTTGATGCTGACAATGCGAGTCTCCGCACGCTGTTTTCGATGGATGATATGGCACGAATTGGCGCTTCTGCGGATGATACGACAACGGCACACTACTATTTCCGGCTAACTGTTTCCTCGGAGCGTTTGCAAACATACTTTAGAACTACGCCTGCAAATGCAGGCAAGGAGCGGCAGCTCTAGTGACCGAGGTTGCCTGGTGGAGCTCCTCTGCAGCTGCAGTGGTGCTTTGCAATATCTAGCAGCAGTAAGGAACTTGTCAAATGCGACGATTCAAAAGCAGGGCCAGGTTACAACATACAGGTCTTGCCTTGCGTTTGCGACAACAAGTGGCAAAAACGTCAAGTCCGACTTCTACACTGGCAGGTTGATGCACTTGGCAGAGTGACCACAGGTGCGCAATCGAAACGTATGGGATAGCAGAAGAGCTGTACCGGTTGTTAGCGAGTTTGGTGTGCTTCGCGGCAAAGTAGCTCTCCTGTCAGTTTGTAATGACAATTGCTTTGCCTGATGAAGTCACCATCGGACTCCCGTCACCTCAGGGGAACGCAAGTTAAGACTTTTCGAATCCACAACAAGTGCAGGTATAAGTCAGGAAAAGCTCTTGTTTCATCTCCAAGGCACACCTACGCAAGCATGCACACAATCGATAGTTGGTGAACTGGCACCAAGGTTGCTTAACACCAGGTACTTTAGTCAATAAACGCGCGCATCAATATGCACTCGCTTCGTTGCCGTCAATTTAATAGGCAGGCATTCCAGATCCCGCCACGCAAAACTTGTTGGAGATCGAGGCAGCAGTAGCTCCAACAAACCAAGGACCCCGTCCGATCGAGTATGTGATCAACCAAGTGTGCTCTGTCGCGAGCTTTTCCATGCAACAATTTTGTACTCGACGACTCGGTCTTTGCAGTCGATGAAACAGAACGTGACAGCAGACGTCAAAGTTGATCGGTATTTGCACTGTACAAGCAACCATTGTCAGGAAAGCCATTGCTGCTACTTTCACCATGCTCTCGCATTACAAGCATGCACGTCCATTTGTCCAAAAACTGGTCAACTTTTACAAGCGTTACCACGTACCAAATTGTAAAATGACAGCTCGGTCTCACCCTGAATCTTCACATCTGCTTGAGGCGAGCAAATGTCCGGCTATATAGTGAGCGTCGAGTTGCTGGCGTTGTCGAAGCGCAGGCTCAGCTGCTTCTTCTTGAGAAATTCAATGACGTTCAGCAACTGCGGATCGCGGGCATCATCCCTGCTTGTACGCTCGAGGTACCGAATGACATCGCGGAATGCCTTCAGCTGTTCCTTAGGAGTAATGGGTTGGACGCCCGAATGCTGATCTTCGTCGGCGGACATTTGGCCACCACCTATGCTTGGCTGATCCACAGGAGTGGCATCTGGCACAAAAAACTCCTCCTCGTTCTCCTGCGGATCTTCAATCATGTCTTCGTTCAAACGCTTGTGAATATCATTCTCCCAGCGCGAGTTCACCAGCACCTTCGTGTTTACGATACCGCTGAGCTGCAGGCAGTAAAGGAGCCCCCACAGTTCCTCTTCAACGTTCTTGTCATCCGCTCCACTCATGCTCGAGTCAAAAGTGAATGGTGCAGCAATACCCAGCGGCTTCCAAGCGTTCACAATTATCTCCTTTGAAGTCTGCTGCCACGCATCCACTATCCAGCTCATGGCCTGGATCTGTGTCACGTGGTAGACATTCGACAGACCGTCTTCCAGGTGGTCAATGGCTAGCGTAAGATGCTTGAGTCGGTACTTGCCCTTGAAAGCAGACAAAATGCCGCCGCGCATAGGTTGCACCTTCATACCCAAATGCGGTGCAAACATGACCACCCGCACGTTCGAAAGAGCAACACAACCTAGCACATGAGACGGAGCGTTGTCCATGAGCAGCACAACGTTGCGGTGGGCGCTAGCCATGCGTGCATTGAAGTCACGAAGCCACTGCTGAAAGATAAACACCGTCATGCGAGCCTTGCTGCTGCACACGTAGTGGTAGCCAAGCTGTGAGATCGAGGCCATTTTGATGTTCTTTGGCGGCACGACATTGCCAATAATGTACGGCTCCATAAAATCCGAAGCGTCCGCGTTTACCGCCAGCAGCACCGTCAGTCTTGCCTCATCCGCGAGCATCACTTGAGCTTCATCACCCTGCACGAGTTTATTCGGCGACGCACGAAAGAACAAGCCCGTCTCGTCCACAGTATAGACATCACCTGGAACATAGTCCCGCAGCATCTCCTGGATCTGCTCCATCGTCAAGTCCATCGACACGGGTGGCAGCATATAATTCGGGTCTACGGACAATCCATTGGGCAGCATGCCGCTGTTCGCGTCCAAGATGCCGCCATAAGCAGCACCGTCTTTGCTTGCTGTCAACAGCACATTTGTCGTCGAGGCCGGATGCATCTTGTCACTACTCTGGAGGTTCGGGCTCGTGCGTTTCATGAGTCCATGACGCGCTTTGAACGACGCGAGCCAGCCATTGGAAAAGCCCAACTTACCTTCCAAGCCCATTTGCTTCACGAGCTCCCGGCCCTTGGTCTTGATCATGTCCCCCGTAATGTTGCCCTTGTTCTGTCTCTCCATGACCCAATTGGCCAACACCTGGTCGAAATGGGCGTGTCGCGTGGGACGGATCGTCTTGCGCTGGGACCCCAGCACGCCCAGTACATTGTCCTTGAACATGTGCTCGTGCTTGAGAATGTTGCTCATCGTGGGCTGCGTGGGCGCCCGCTGGAGGTTGAACTCGAGCTTGGCCCAGCGACACAAGTCCTTTTGCGTGATCTTGGGCGTGTTCCGGTGTTTCTCACAGATCCGGCGCTTCTGCTCGACCGTCAAGTTGCCGTTTCCATCTGCTCGACGTCGGCGGGATTTGGTCGGCTGAGACGAGCCAAGCGGCGTGCCAGGAGTGGCTGATGTTGGCGTTGAAGTCGTAGCCACTGGAATGGCTACAGTTGCTGTGGCAGGAAAAGTGGCAGCAGTCGACGCGGGCACGCGCTGGGGGACCCCTGGAGAGGCCTCTGCGTCGGTCACGTAGTCACTGAGTGGCGCGAACTTGATCTCGGACTGCGGCAGGGCGAGCCCAGCCGCGAGCATGCTCCCTACGTCAGGCACATAAGTCGTATTAGGACTCGAAGGCATGACACGCGATAAGCTCGACTTGACTGATAAGTTCTTGGGGACCTTGTGTTTTGAGGGGGATGCGACGGCGGACACGGACGAGGGGCTGGACCAATCAGAGCGCAGAAGAGCGATTGAGGCAGTGGAGGTGAGATAGTGTGCACCACATTGGTCGTCGGTGGGGTCTTGACGCCGCAGGTGGTTTTATTCGTTTATGGGGCTCTGGGTATAAAGTAGGGGAGAGTATAAGGAATGACGAGACCAGGCCAGCGGCGCACCCCTCCCTGTTCGAAGCTGAACGTTAGATTGGGCACCGACGGATGCGACATGTTTTGGGTCATTCACTCCCACCCACTTGTGCAACATAGAACTTGACATGAGTCAATGTGTGCATACAAACACTCGAATCGTGCTGTTATCACTTCTATGCCGTCCGTCTCAGTATCTGATACATTAGATGACAGACAACCTTTGGATCCATTCAGCACGATAGATAGAAGCCGTGGAATGAAGAAAGATCGAGCTGGCTTAATAGAAAACGCTTGTCCTTTTACAGGATCGTATACACATGAGATATGGATGTGCTCATTGATACATTCATCTGGATAGCATTGCCACTCCATTGTGCACATTTACGCCCCGCCTAACGACGTGTAGTGCTTGGTTGAAATGAACTTGTACGTTACAAATGCTCCAAGCAAAGAGACCATCGCGCTGAGTACTAAGAGACGCGAGACGCCAAAGTGCGCCTCAATGATGCCAAACGAAGCGGCACCGACTGCAGCGCCCAGCTTCCCAGTAGCTGCAGCAATACCATTGAGCTCCACACGCACGTCTTGGGCGAAAAGCTCGGCTGGGAGGCAAAAGGTACAGACATTCGGCCCGAAGTTCGAGAAGAAGAATGTGAGCGCGTATAGTCCGAGCAAGAGTCCTCTGAAATGCAGCAGTTGCTCGTAGAAAAATCCGAGGACCAGGAACAGCAGACCCATGGCGACAAAGCCCATGATCTGAATCGTCCTGAAGCTCAATCTGCCGACGACGAAGACAGCAAGCACGTTACCGGGTAATGCAATAGCCGCTACAACCAACGAGCAAAGTGCCACATCGGCCAAGTGGTGTTTGTCCAAGCCGTAAGTGTCCTGCAAAATGATAGGCGTGAAAATGACGTTCCCGTAGAACGTGACGTCAAAGAGAAACCAGCTTGCACAAGCTCCGAATAGTTTGCGCTGGAGAGATGTGCTGGCTTTCACCATATCCCACAGCTTGGGTCTGCAGGCCTTCACCTCCACATCCGCTCTCTTACGCCCAATTGGCGGGGTCGTTGACGAAGGCAACGATGAATGCTCTTTCACTTGATATGCTCGTCGCAGTACGAACAATCCAGGAAACGCACCGACAAGCAACAAGACTCGCCATCTGACTGCTCGATGGGCGTTCACGGCCAGCATGATATAAGCCATCAGCGGTGCCAGTAGCTGTCCGATACCTTGAAAACTGAACACCGCTGCCACGATTTTGCTCTTGTTGAGCTCATCTTCATCATTTGTAGCTTCTACCGCCGAAGCTGCCGACAATGGATACACGCCTCCGACACCCACACCGAGAACAAATCGACTCGCAGCAAGTATCTGATAGACCGAGTTCGTGCCCCACGGCAACATCGCGCTTGCTGCGGCTCCCAAGATGGACAGCAACAGCGTGAAAATCATGCCCTTTCGACGTCCTATGATCGCCCCCACGTAGCCAAACGTGAGCTGCCCCACAATGGCACCTACCAATGAACAAGCGTCGACTGTAGACCGCAACTCCAGACTTGCATCCGGGTACGATCGCTGCAACATCATGAGCGCGTAATTGATCACCGCCAGATTGTACTGCACATCACCCACCACCACAAACACAAGCAGTAAAAACAGCATGATCCAGTACATCAGTCTACAACTACTTCGATAGCTCGCTGATAGGCTGCGCTTGGAAGATACACGGCACATACAGCAGTACTAAGGTTGGCGACAGCCGAGACCAAGATCTGGTCGCTGACCACCACCTTGTGGCCGTCTTTTGGTAGCCTCTCGGGTGTCGTACTTCCGTATGTTGGTCGTGCTGCTCGCTGGTCTTTTACAATGAGGGGCTCTGTGACTTGAGACGAGGTGTTGGTGACTTGGCTCGCTACAGGCTCGACTTGAGTGCGTCTAGTATCCAGCATCGCTTCCAACTTGCGGGATATCTTCGCTGTCGATTCGTGACTGTGGTCGCAAGTGACCGTTCGAGCTCTTATTGGCCGGTCACGCAGCTTCTCGAGCCTAGGCCGATCATTGCAAAGAATGATGACGTTGTGTCGCATTGACAGGATGTTGCTACTGCTGCTGCTGCAAATAAAGACGCGTCAAGATACAAGCTGACTTCCTGACGGATGGAGGGGACTGAACGATCACCCCGACTTACTTCAACTTGAAGTAACACGATTGTCCGGAACCTTGGTCAGGACAATCGGCTCGAACGTACAACTTGGATCCACACTGGTTCTATGATCACTGTAGCCTCGATGGTCGTGCTTACAAACGCGTTTCTTCCAGATGTCCATAAGTACTGGAGACAATCGACCTATCGAAATTGATGGACTTTGTCCAGCCCCGACGGCATTCGACACATAGGTGGCTAATGTCGGTAGTTAGAGGTAACGTGTTTGCTTGACGATGGTAACTGGATGAAGTTTTCTCGTGCACCGGTGATGAAAACTATCCGTGCCAAGTGAGGTGTCGGTATAAACAACAGACTTGATGGAAGCAAGGACTGAATTCGTAGCAACATCACGTGCTCCAGACACATTTTGTGTCATCAATTGTTTCGTACTACAATAACGATGATGTAACCAAGCCGTCAATGTACAAAGTCCAGCAAAGCTTTTAGTTCCCTTGAGTCGGTCCACGCCGTCGACATGACACCTACAGCGATGGTGGAAATACCGGTGTGTTCACTCCGACCGTCAGGTCGCATGACGAACTGAGGTCTCTTTTAGTCTGTATCGACCAGGCGTGAAGTGCTCAGCCTTTGACTAACTGGGATCGTATTTCTCACGCAACAGCATACTCAGCAAGCTAGTTGCAATCCCTGGTCGAGACCGCTTTTCATGCTGATGCAGGTGTGTGTAGGGCAGCTGTCTGCTCGCGCACTAAGGGAGCAGTATTCCTGAGACGGCTTGCAACTTGTGATGTAGTAGTCCGTTACAAGCTGCAAGAGAAGAAACGCACTGAGGATTGTCGAAACCCTTGAACGGGCAGAAACCCATGAATGGGCAGAGCAAGTGTGTTGTTCACGCGGCTACAGTATCTCCGCGTGGAAAAGAACACGGTGGTATGCGCAAAAGTGCTAGGTTGGACGCGGCACATCAGCCTGATAAGACATCCCTGTCACAGTAGTCGTTATCTGCAGAGGCATGTGTTGCTTGCTGTCTACGTCTCAATGCAACAACAAGTCTAAATGTGGACAATGTTGGCTTCACGAAGATTCTTTTGGCCGCTTGCGCTGTTGTAACGATAGCAGAAACGAGAGACAGAAGGAGGCAGTAAACAGCAGATTGCTTCCTCCATTTTCCCCGCTTGACACGCCGTTGGGACCTGTGTATTGGCGTTTGAATAACATTGTGGCTGTCTGTACGAGCACCACCAAGTTTGTGTCAGACGGCCCTATAATTGAGTGATCGTGAACGAAGCAGAAAAAGAACATGACCCTTTTTCTCCCATGCTTCCGACTTTAGCCATCGAAACGGGTTCGTCTGGACCGTACCCTAGGAAAATCCGCACCGTGCCCAAATGCCGTGCCCACTGTATTAGGGATTATATTGATTGTCAAACAGCAATGTTATTCGAAACATTCGCCAAGGGTAAAGTAATAGATCTTGTAGGTTTTAAGTGGATGGACACCCCGAGCGATAACATGTTTTCGTGTCTTCGCTCGCACAGCTCACTGTGAGAACCCCGGTAACAAAGGATGGCTCTTTTCCGATGTATAGCCACCATGGAGACAAGTCAGCAATCATGTGTATGGCTTTCTCGAGCGTATTCTTAGCGCCTCTTCGGCAAGAGAGAGATGAGCATCTTCATGATCGGTCTTGACACTGCCGGTTGTCCACGATATTGTACGAGCTCAAGCCGGGAAAAGTGGCCACGGCCATTTTAACTATTGGTGCGGGAAGAGATGTCTACAGCTGCATTACGTAAACGATAGAACTGCTCGCCCTGGTGCTTAGAACTCCGTTTTGTGCATCTGACAGCAGTCTAACTGAATTTGTGGCTCTCACTCGGTGATAGGATTTAGCGTCCTGACGGTGGAGTACAAAACCATTAGCTTTAAGGTGCAAGACGTCGGTGGACAAGACAAAAAGATCCGTCCGCTGTGGTGCCACTACTGTAAGAACACACAGAACCTCATCTTTGCGGTCGACATCAACGATGGCGATCGTTTGGATGCTGAACGAGGACGAGCTGCTCCGCGTGCTGAACAAGTAAGCTCTGCATCGCGTGCTGAACAAGAACGAGCTGTGGGACGCAGTGCTGCTGGTGTTTCAACCATGCAGGATCTATCGAACGCCACGAGCGCGGCTGTAATGACGGACAAGCTGGGTCTGCACGGTCTGTGCCAGCAGTGGTTGATCCTGGTGTATTGTGCCGCGAAGGGTGACCGGCTGTATGGAGGTCTGGATTGGCTCTTGCCTGGCTCCAGAAGATACAGTTGGCAATTACTCTGATTACTCTTTGGCGCTCTGAGGCGTTGCTGCCATGCCCTCTAGGAGTGAAGATGTGGGCATTGTGCCAATTTTAATGGAGAAGACGAGAGGCCTCAGCCGTGTACTCGTGCGTCCACCACTTTGAATGGATCATGACTTAGAGTGAGTGTACAAAGGCGAAATATAACGACGATGTAGTGGTACGGCGAAAGATTGGTCACTTTGCTGATCGACCGTCGTTTAGTTTTGGATCGTGTGGTGATGTGAAGATATTTGACTGAAAGGATGTTCAACGCGCTATCTGACGCTACAATGCCAAAAATCTATCAGGAATTTAGCCGGTAAACTATCTGATGTTGTGTCGTGTACGGGGTCGGATATTTAGAAATGAAACGTAAAACACGCTAATTACATTCATAACCACTTATATCAGTGGGCACGGAATTTGGGTGCGGTGCAGATTTTCCTTGGGTACAGTCCAGACGAACTCCATAGAAATGATGACTTCTTCAGGATGCACAATTCTTTCTATCACCGTATGGCGGTAATGGCAGGTGTCCGATGCCATCGGTCCAGTTGTAATCATCCGCCGTGCTATTTGCCTGCCGAGTGTCTTCATCGATAACGAGTCTCCAAGTATCGATCAAAAGACCGATCGGAACCGAAAGCTCGTGACATGCATCTCGATTGACGTTGACGTCGTATGAAGGTGGAACGCCGCACCGACTGGAAGTCTCCAAACGATCCGGCAGCAGTCTGCTGGATTTCGCACGTACTGATGATCATCTCGTTATCATGCAGATTATCGAGCACAGAACAGAAACGCGCTTCTACCGACGTCAGACAAGAAGCCCTACGAAATCCAGTCTCTCGGTTCGTCCGTACCTCGTCCGACCCCACTCATCCTTTCGGTGAATCAAGCACTTGCCAGCGCATAGTAGTTGTAGTCATTGAACCACACCGATCACCTGAGGAGTACAAGAGGCTTTGTCCAGTGCATTTATCCCCCCACAACACCAGTTCTGCTTCTGCTACCGGACAAAAGTAGACCGAACGTCGTTATGCATGATCACATGCAGTTCCCTGAACAACTAAGTGACCTCTCCACCGAATGCGTCCACATTTTTGCACCGACAACCTGCTAATAGCTGGTCAACCGATTAACAGCCGGTTCCCATCGATGCTGTCTCCTGCGATGCGGTATGACGTTTTCTGACTACCAGACCTGACAGGCGTTCATCCACTTGGATACCGATCTCAAGTATCAGTTGGACACGTAATCGCCCATCCTTATCCCTCGGACTGCTCGCACATAGTCGCGTCACATCGTCTCTTCTCTACCGTTTCAATGCGCCCGGCCCGGAAATCAATCACGCGCTGCATCGCGTGCCGTCCTTCAGACGTATCCGTGCGATGTCAACATGGTGCAACGCTATGCCTTTTCAGTCATCCTCACACCTCTTCATACTGGACAAGCAAGCACTTCGACTCGACCTTTCTTCCTGACATCACGTCAATCTGGACCATCCATGTTCAGCCAGGTGACCACCTCGTCGCAACGTTGCACATAGCCAGGTCCATGGCCAGAGTCGTGCGCGCAATCAAAACCAACGTTTGCGCGCACATGAAGCGCTTATCAACGTCCATAGCCGGGACAATCTGACGCCCTTGAATTTATTTTTCCGGTTGCCCCGTCTTCACCCTAGCCAAACCCGTCGGTGGGCGACGGATCTTGCTGCCCCCTACGTTCCCCATTGGGGGCGAATTAGCGCTCAACCTGAGCTGGTTCTTCGCCATCACCACCTTTCGACATGAATGGACCTGGGCCTCGGTCAACAAGGTCGAGTGGTCGGGAGGCGAGAGGGGTACTTGGAAGTCGTGACAGCTGTTGAACTGCAGCAGAGTGCGGATGGAATTCGCTGTTTCACACTCACCTACCAGAGTTATCTACTAATCGGACGAGGACAGATCGTTGGGCCTACGTTGCGTCGTCACGCTCGTGTTTTACTCCCATCCCGGCATCATGGCTTCTTGGTCGCGAGTCGGTCGCGAATAGATACAAAGCTATTTCACCTGGGTTCATTTCACAAAAGATTCTTGAGTCGATTGGACGTGGTGGGTCTGGAGGCGTCTGTGACTTCGATCAGTGGAGCGGTAAACCAAACCCGACAGTTTGGAAGATGACAATGGCTTTCCGACCATCAGGTCTGGACGTGTTACCGTATAGCACCAACAACTCAACTTGTACCATGGTCGGGGAAATATTGGGGTTATTGGGTGTCACGGTTGAAAAAACCGGTACATCTTTGGGATGCAAGGGGTGTGGGTCAACTCATTACCCATTGGACAGGTGAACGGGCTGGGAGGCCGTGGGAAGAGCGTTGGTTCGTCGGGAGTGTGAATCTCACGCGCGAGATACTCAAGAGGTCTTCGATTTACATATTCGGAGGATTAGAGGTGGTGTCGCGGTTTGGAAGGTCTCTGGTTTATATGGAGATTTGTCTGATCATATGGAATGAGGGAAGAGGGTTTTCGAGGAGTGATGATCTCAATTTTGGGTGAATTGAATCTTATAAAAAGAAATGTATTGGTATATATATGTATCGATCTTATTCTCGAATCGGGATAAGGATATTAGGTGAGAAATAATTTGGTATTTAGAATTAATAATATATTAAAGAGAAAAAAAACAACAATCTGAGCCGCCCACAACATCACAAAGTGCGTTGCAGTCCGTCCGTTTGTCCGTTTGTCCGTCCGTCACTCATTCATTTCCCAATTTGTGCTCTCAGCGTGACATCGACAACCCGAGGCGTCATGTCAACCACATGGGACCACAAGACACCGGGCCACGAGTCCGGCGCCGCGCTCTTGGCCCACGGCCCCGAAGTGCTCCACGACTACGTGGCCACGCGCTGTGAGGCCGCGCTCGGCCGCAGTCTCCCGCAGATGGAGGTGCGCGTCCACAATTTGTGCATCACAGCAGACGTGGTCGTCACTGATGCCGACGAGAGCAAGACGGAGCTCCCGACGATCTGGCACACGATCAAGAAGACGTTCGTCCGGCTCTCAGCCACCAAGCACGTACTCAAGAAGGAGATTGTCCAGAATGTCAGTGCTGTGTTCAAGCCCGGGACAATGACGCTCGTGCTGGGCCAGCCTGGCTCGGGCAAGTCGTCGCTCTTGAAGGTCCTAGGCGGCCGGTTCCCACGGGAGAAGCACGTGACAATCACGGGTGACGTGACGTACAATGGCGTTGCCCAGTCGGATCTTCTGGAGCGGCTGCCACAGTTTGTCGCGTACGTGACGCAGCGCGATCGGCACTTTCCAGCGCTCACTGTGAAAGAGACGCTCGAGTACGCCCATCGATTCTGTCGTGGCGAGTTGTCGACGCGCGTGGAGAAGAAGCTGACCAAAGGCACGGCTGTGGAGAACAAGGCAGCTTTGGACACGGTGCAGGCGCTGCTGGCGCATTACCCTGAAGTTGTGATCCAGCAACTGGGGCTAGAACCCTGTCAAGACACGATCGTGGGCAACGGCATGATGCGTGGAGTCTCGGGTGGCGAGCGCAAACGCGTGACGACTGGCGAGATGGAGTTTGGCATGAAGTACGTCTCGCTTATGGATGAGATCAGTACGGGACTTGACAGTGCCGCAACGTACGACATTGTCAAGACGAAGCACAGTGTTGCCCAAAAGCTGCAGAAGACGGTGGTGATTGCCCTGTTGCAGCCGGGACCCGAGGTGTTTGTGCTCTTTGACAACGTGATTCTCATGAATGAAGGCGAGATCATGTACAATGGTCCACGAGAGCAGATCGTCGACTACTTTGAAAGCTTGGGCTTCAAGTGTCCAGCGGAGCGCGACGTGGCTGACTACTTGTTGGATTTAGGGACGAACCAGCAGTGCAAGTACGAGTCGATGCTGCCGACGGGTATGACGCATTTCCCGCGACTGGCGAGCGAGTTTGCCGAGCTTTACCGTCAGTCGAGCATTTACTGCAACGTGCTCGCAGCACTGGAAGCCCCGCATGACCCGCAGTTGCTGGAGAATGTCAGCAACGACATTGATCCGATGCCTGAGTTTCACCAGTCATTCTGGGCCAACACGTGGACGCTCATGGAGCGCCAGAACAAGGTGACCGTGCGCAATACAGCGTTCCTCAAGGGTCGTGGCATCATGGTGGTTGTCATGGGTCTGGTAACCGCGTCGACGTTCTGGAACGTGGATCCGACGAATGTGCAGGTGCTACTGGGCGTGCTTTTCCAGGCCGTTCTGTTCCTGTCACTGGGGCAGGCCTCGCAGATCCCGACGTTCATGTCTGCGCGCGACATCTTTTACAAGCAGCGTGGTGCCAATTTCTACCGCTCGGCGTCGTACGTACTGTCGTGCTCGGTCGCTCAGGTCCCGCTGGCGTCCATGGAAGCTATCCTCTTTGGCTCGTTGCTGTACTGGATGTGCGGGCTCGTAGCCTCAACGAGCGCGTTCATCATCTACCTGATCGTGCTGTTCCTGACAAACTTGGCATTTGCGTCATGGTTCTTTTTCATCGCGTCAATCTCGCCGGACCTGCACGTGTCGAAACCGATCGCCATGATCACGATTTTGTTCTTCGTGCTGTTCGCGGGGTTCATCGTGGTCAAGAGCCAAATGCCCGACTGGTTGGTGTGGATCTACTGGGTCGACCCGTTTTCGTGGTGCTTGCGTGCTCTGGCCGTGAATCAGTACCGCTCGTCGGCGTTTGAAGTGTGTGTGTACGAAGGCGTAGATTACTGCTCGGAGTTTGGCATGTACATGGGTGAGTACTTCTTGTCGCTGTATGAAGTGCCATCCGAGAAGTCGTGGACTGTGTACGGCATCATCTTCATGATCGCAGCGTATGTGTTGTTCATGTTCCTGGGCTGCCTGGCGCTGGAGTACAAGCGGTACGAAAGTCCGGAGCACACACTCTTGGCAAAGAAGGCTGTGGACGATGCTGGCAGCTACGCGCTAGTGGAGACTCCAAAGAAGAGCACATCTCGTCATGTCGACGAGACTTGTTTCGTCGAGGTGAAGGAGCGTACGAAGAACTTCACGCCCGTGACAGTAGCGTTTCAGGACTTGTGGTACTCGGTGCCGAACATGAAGAGTCCGAAGGAGACGTTGAATCTGTTGAAGGGCGTGAGCGGATTTGCGATGCCTGGCTCAATGACGGCTTTGATGGGCTCATCTGGCGCTGGTAAGACGACGCTGATGGATGTGATTGCCGGTCGGAAGACGGGCGGTACGATCACGGGCAAGCTCCTGCTGAACGGCCACGAGGCGAACGATCTAGCGATCCGTCGTTGTACGGGCTACTGCGAGCAGATGGACGTGCACTCGGAGGCATCAACGTTCCGTGAGGCGTTTACGTTTAGCGCGTTCCTGCGCCAGGACAGCAGCGTGCCAGACAGTACGAAGCTCGACTCGGTTCACGAAGTGCTGGACTTGCTTGACATGCATGACATCGCGGACCATATCATCCGTGGCAGCTCGGTCGAGCAGATGAAGCGTTTGACAATAGGCGTGGAGCTGGCGGCGCAGCCTAGTGTGATTTTCTTGGACGAACCCACGAGCGGCTTGGATGCTCGGTCGGCAAAGTTGATCATGGACGGTGTCCGCAAAGTAGCGGATAGCGGCCGTACGATTGTGTGCACGATCCACCAACCATCGTCCGAGGTGTTCTACCTGTTCGACAACCTGCTGCTGCTGAAGCGAGGCGGTGAGACGGTCTTCTTTGGTGAGCTCGGCGAGAAGTGCTGTAAACTCGTAAGCTACTTTGAAGCCATTCCTGATGTCGCTCCACTTCCAAAGGGCTACAACCCGGCGACGTGGATGCTGGAGGTGATTGGCGCTGGCGTGAACCACGCTGCTGTATCGACGGACTTCGTGAGCCTGTTCAAGCAGAGCGAGGAGAAACACATTCTGGATACGAACTTGGCAAAGGAGGGCGTGACGATCCCATCACCGAACTACCCGGAGATGATGTTTACCGAGAAGCGCGCTGCCAGCTCGTGGACACAGGCTCGCTTCCTCGTGGGTCGTTTCATGAACATGTACTGGCGCACGCCGTCGTACAACCTCACCCGTTTCATCGTGACGTTCTTGCTGGCATTGGTCTTCGGACTGCTCTTCCTCGACGGTGATTACCAGACATATCAGGGTATCAACGGTGGGGCAGGCATGTTGTTCATGACGACAGTGTTCAACGGCATTGTGTCGTTCAACAGTGTCCTGCCCATCTCATGTGAAGAGCGCGAGTCGTTCTACCGCGAGCGGGCTGCCCAGACGTACAATGCGCTGTGGTACTTTGTGGGCTCGACTTTAGCCGAGATCCCGTACGTGTTTGCAAGTGGCTTCATCTTCACGTTCGTGTGGTTCTTCATGGTGGGCTTCACTGGTTTCGGCACCGCACTGCTGTACTGGATCAACGTGTCTCTACTGGTGTTGCTCCAGGCATACATGGGCCAGTTCCTCGCGTACGCAATGCCGAGTGTCGAGGTGGCTGCTATCATTGGCGTCTTGATGAACTCGATCTTCTTCCTGTTCATGGGCTTCAACCCTCCTGCGAATGCCATTCCGGGCGGCTACAAGTGGTTGTATGCCATCACACCGCAACGGTATCCGCTCGCCATTCTGGGTTCGCTCGTGTTTGGTCAATGTGACGTGGACCCTACCTGGAACGAGAGCAAGAAGGTGTACGAGAACGTCGGGTCTCAGCTGGGATGCCAACCCGTAACGGGGTTGCCAGTCTCGATTGACCACATCACAGTGAAGGAATACGTGGGATCTGTCTTCGACATGCACTACTCGGACATGTGGACGCACTTTGGATACGTGCTCATCTTCATCGCCGTGTTCCGTTTGCTCGCGCTGCTGTCGCTGCGGTTCCTCAACCACCAGAAGAGGTAGTTTCGCGCTTGGCAGAAGTCGTTCCCCACAATGGACGGCGAGGCGTGCTACCAAACTCAGCAGACTATAATTTACACTCACATCTTTTTTATCTCCTGGTCTGGTCTTGGTTTCGTTCATCGTCTGTGGGTTGAGTGAGGAGAAGAGAGTGAGTGCAATTGGGATGGTGACTGCGAGCAGGTTTGTAAGGGCAGGCTCAAGTTGAGTGTGTGAATGGAGTCCATTGGACCGATTTTCAAGGAAAGAGCCCAATCGACGAGAACGCGGTATGTGATTGTGTTTAGCACCCCTCAATGACCTCGCAAGTACGGCGCTTAACGCGTTGCCCATCAGCAAGCACCAGCACTGCAAAAGTGTGTCGGAGGGCCCGATGGTTTGTGCTAAAACATCTTCATCAGTTGTATCGCGCCGAGTTGAAAGCTGCAGCTCACGTACACACTCGGTCTTCGTCTTCTTAAGTTACTACAGCTCCGAGTAGTTGTGTGTAGAGTGGTAGTACGAGCCCGGGAAGCCTGTGTTCGCACCACGCATAGGCATCCTTGGGCCACCCGATCCGCCTAAGCCGTAGCTGCCACGTCCACCTCCAATACCTCCTGGTTGACTCGAGACTTGAACCAAGAACATGTGACCTGCCAGACATGCCACGCGCCTGGAAACAGAGCAAACACACAAGCGCATAACGTTAGCAAGCGGTCGTCAACGACTGTTTCAACGCACATGAGTGACTGACGTACATATTGTACATGTGGGGCAGCACACGCATCTGGATATGGCACTGCGGGCAACGCACAAGTGCGCCATGTGGACTGGCACGGTACGACACGGGCTGATTCAGCTCGGGTGGATTGGCAGCACTCGGCATGGGCAAACTCGGTCTGCCCATAGTTGCTGTGTCATCCACACGAGGTTTCGCGTCTCTCTCGGTCGCAGCCGCCCCACAATCGCGACAAAAACGATGGCCAAGTCGCACGCGTGGATGGTCGCACTGCTTTTTCACCTGCATCTCCGTCATGGTCGCCCGACACGATGGACACTTGTCATAGTTGCTCGAGTCCGAGTTCTGAATCTCTTTCAGACAGCTCCAGTGGAAACTGTGGCCACACGCGGTCGTGTAAATCGCATTCCCCACATCCATCGTCTCCAGGCAAATGGCGCACTCTTCCGCTTCCTGCACGACTGTGGTCGTTTCCAGCGTCTCACACCCTCTCTCCAGTAAGTTCTGCTTGTCTTCAACAAACCCGTCGCTGATCCCGCACGGCTTGGCAACGAGCGCCACGGCTCTCTTCTCGGCATCTTCCAGGAACGAGCTCAGCTCCTTCGAGTGCAGCGACTGCGGCCCATCATCTCGTGCCCAGTCGTCCCGACTTCTTGAGGACCTGGATCGCAACGTGCGTACATCTGGACGAGGACCCAGATGCTTCTCCTCCAAGGCACGCAGCCGCAGCTCGCGTCGCGCTTGTGCTAGCACTACTTCACGCTCCCGTTGACTGCGCTCGGCCTCCCGTTGACGTCCTGCTTCTTCCAGCGCCGCCACTTGACGGGCACGAGCTCTGTTTACGTCTTCCGCTCGTCGACGCTCGAGCATCATCCGGTTCTGGTCCCGAATGCAGCCGTCGCACACGCGAACGGGCTCGTTCGAGTAACGCGCACCGGCAGAGCTTGGCATGATCTTGTGGGTCCGGGAACAACTGCCACATACGGCATTACCACAGGACTACACGGGATAGAGACATTGTTAGAGAAATAGGTAGCGAAACAGTTAGAGAAGTTAGACAAAAGACCATAAAGAGTCAAAAGAGTTAGAGAAACAGTTAAGGAAGTTAGACAAAAGACCATAAAGAGTTATAGGAGTAAGTAAACAGTTAGAGAAGTTAGAGGAGGTTCGAGAAACACGACAATGAACGGTCGTGGAGGCCGCAAGGACGTACGCGGCAGCGGTGTTTGCGTCGGAAGGCGTAGAACTTCTTGTCACAGACGTAGCAGTCGATTGCGGACTCGAACGTCGCGTCCGAGACGGACGAGAAGCCGCCGCTGAGACCTGCCATGGTCATCGGGCGCGACTTCAAACGCAAACTCACTCACTCACAGACACAGACGGTGTCAAGAGGTTGTGCTGTCGTCAGTGTTGGCGTCGACTGTCACTATCGCGAGGGTCGTCCACATCAAATGAAAGAAGACCAAGAGCGTATAAAAAGGACAAGCCCCACCCACAGAAAAACCCAGCCCACATTTCTCCCCTTTTTACAAGGACCATCATCCACCGATTTCCACCCACCCAATAATGGCTACACACAAGCCCGATTCACCCACAGTCATGACCAAGTCCACCACCGCCACCCGCGTACGTCCACTCGGTCCCCTCTACTTCTCCACCTCTCTCTCTCTCTCTCTAACCGCACTGCTCTAGCACTAACACCCACACCTGTACCCACTTGCATCCACGTGCTAGGACATCTACTACCGCAAGGCCAAGGAGGTGGGCTTCCGTGCTCGCTCGGCGTTCAAGCTCCTGCAGCTCAACGAACAGTTTGAGTTCCTGCAGAACGTCCAGCGCGCCGTGGATCTGTGCGCCGCTCCTGGTAGCTGGAGTCAAGTGCTGAGTCGGACGCTCTATAATGGTCACTGCAACGTGCAGCAGAGTGCGGACAGACAGGACGTGGTCATTGTCGCGGTGGATCTCCAGGAGATGGCGCCAATTCCTGGCGTCCAGCTGCTGCAAGGCGATATCACGTCCAAGCACACGGCCGAGCAGATCATCAGCTGCTTCTGCGGGGCCAAAGCTCAAGTGGTGGTGAGTGACGGCGCGCCGGACGTCACGGGCGTTCATGATATTGACGAGTTCGTGCAGGCCGAGCTACTGGCTGCAGCGCTGAATATCACGACCCACGTACTTGAAGAAGGAGGTGCTTTTGTCGCCAAGATCTTTCGCTGCGAACAATTCGACTTGCTGGCGATGCAGCTTAGCGTGTTCTTCACCAGTGTGTCGTGCGCCAAGCCGATGAGCAGCCGGGCGCAGAGCAATGAGGCATTTGTCGTGTGTCAAGGGTTTCGATTGCCAGAGGACTACACGCCGGTGATGACGTCGTCGCTGTTGCCGCGGTATGGGCTTGCCGAGGATGAAGAGCATGACCCGGTGCTCGTGCCGTTTCTCGCAAGTGGAGATTTGTCGGGATACGACGCTATTCAGCAGTTTTGTTGACGTGGTGGGAGGAAGGAATGACAGATGAAAAAAAGATTGCGGGACGAGAATGTGGCGTCTGATCTTGCACTGTCACGGCACTCAACAGGCGTGCGATGGAATGCGGCAATAGAGGACGCGTCTCTATGGTGAGCGCTGGTAAACGTACGATACGTGTCTACAGCAGCAAGCAGAACGTGAAGTGGACGCCGTTTGCGATCGTGGATTTACCTCGGAGTATGGCCACGGAAGACTTGGGTCCACTGGAACCTTGGTGTCAGGTGTCGTATCTAGCGACTGCGTTTTATAGGCCAGACCGTATCTAAACATAGAGCAAGCAGTATGCTGAATGATTGACTGCAAACCATTTGTCGCACACATGGACGCTTGGAGGTTACAAGTGGAATGACTCATCAACTTGGTAGTTCTTCTATGCTGTATGAGGACACAAATGCACGACAACTCTACTGAAAGCGCAGTAACTTGAACTAACAGCACTTCCATCATCCGTCATGTGTACAGGCTACTCGGTATAGCTTTCGTCCACAGCTCCTTCAACCTCTTCTTCTATAGCACTACCATATCCTGTCTATTACAGTAGAACAGGCTGTCATCAACTGCAATATGCAACGCAAATTACACGTTGCCACTGCCGTTTCTGTCTACCATATCGCGCCGTTGTTGAAGTGGCTACTATTGATCACGTCACGTCATGTATTTCTCTTTTACACGCAGCTCATCTTTTCTATCCTGTTTTTCCAAACCTGTCTCCTTTTTCAACCAATCAAAAAAGCACGTGGAAAGCATCGTCACAGAATTCAGCACCGACTCGACACAACCGACTCGTCATCTTCTGCACGAGGAGCTCCTGTCGGCGTACTGACGTTCCTTCCAGTGCAATAATACCCACCTGCCACCTCAAATACATCTCCATCGTCTCTATTCTATCCCCTCCATGTTCGTATCGCATGGCGTCTTGATCGCAGTGATTAATTCGGTTGTCAACGCTTTCTGCGACCCCCTGCGCAAGTATTTAGCCAAATTCATGGACCCATTTATGGTCGTAGCAATGCGCGGACTGATCCAGGCGCCACTGTTCGTTCTATGGGCTCTCATTGAATCTGGAGGTCGAGTCCCGCATCTCAACCACCTCTTCTGGACGTCCGTTGGTATCAGTGGCGGCATCAACCTGATCACGAGCTACTTGTACATCCGAGCGATCCAGATCTCGACCCTCTCGGCGACCGTCCCCTTTCTGTCCTTCACGCCCGCGTTTCTAGTGATCGTTGCTTGCTTCGTGCTTGGAGAAGTTCCTACTCTATTCGGTGTGCTGGGCATTGGGGTTGCCACATTGGGAGGCCTCTGGCTGCAAAGCACCAAGGACGAACATCCGAGCAAGGACTTGCTACTGAATTCGTCGAGCAAAGGGTCCATGTACATGATGATTGTGGCTTTTTTGTGGAGTATCTCAAACGCGTTCGACAAGATTGGCGTACAGAACGCGACACCACTAGTGTACGGCGCCGCTATTCAGGTGATAGTGGCTGGAGGCAGCTGTATCTTGCAGAAAATAGGCGTCGGAGAACGAGATGTTCTTCCGATTGGGCAAGAACGGAAGATCCCGTGGAAAGTGGTTGTTCTCACAGGCATCATGAGCGTTGTCGCGTACTACATCAACTTGGTGGCGGCGCAGCTCCTTGAAGTTTCGTACGTGATTGCAATCAAGCGATCCGGCTGCATCTGGAGCGTCTTAATGGGACGAGTTGTGTTCCGTGAGCGGAACCTGAGGAAGAAATTTCCCAGCATCCTGCTCATGGTTCTTGGTGTCGTTTGTATCGTCGTGGGTAAAAGCTAAAGCGTACTGCGTAAATGAGATAGTAGAAGAGCATGTGCAGGAATGGAAATGTCGCTGCTCGTGTGGACATCTGCTTTGATCACTCTAGTCCTGCAGTCAACTCTAAGCTCACATCGCTATCGATGACCATGTCTCGCACGTAAAAAGCCAGCTCATCATGCACCGGCCATCTAGCCACCCACCCACTCTTCAAGTATCTTCCTACTGAAACAACGCGTCCTGCGACCAGGACTTGTCCTCCTGGCTATCCAGCCACTCTTCCGACTGTGCGATATCATCCTGGATAGCCTTGATCAGCAACTCGAGCGACGAGTAATTCATCTCCGGGCGGATGTAGCCGACAATGAGGAACTTGAGTTGTGCACCATAGAAATCTTGCTCAAACTTATGCAACAAATGGGGCTCCACCGTCTTCTCCTAAAGAGCACCAGCAGCAGCAACAAGCACATAAACAACAACAAACCACCAAAAAGTCACCACAATAGTCAGCACATTTATATTCGTTACCAATTACTCGATTTTGCATTTGATAAGCACTCAAATGACTGAACGTACTTTATTTTTAAAATAGGGGTTCCAGCCAATACTAGCGACAGCCTTATACGGGCCTTTATCGTCCACCGTGGCCCAGCCACAATAGATACCCGTCGGCAATTGATCCAAGAGGTCGCCCAAGTCCTCGCGCGAGAGATTAGCAGTAGGACATCCGAGCTGTTTGCCACCGCGGCCAAAGCCTTCCACGACTCTCGCCTGCAGTCGCAACACCGTCTCTAGGGGCTCAATGGGCATGACAAAAGGTGGCGATAGGGTGGGCAGTCGTGATGCGAAAACTTCTATTGGACTCAGAACTGATTCGTGCGTAATCAAGCTATGAGACAAATGGACCTATCTTTACACTTCCCCCTCCCCTCGCCCTTTTTCTTCGCCTGATTCTGATGCTCAGAGCAGTCGTTTCGGTACTGAGTCTCTGATTCGCGACAGTAGGCGGCTCAAGACTTTGGCTACATTTTTGTAGGACGACTATTACTTCGAAGTATCTGATATGGCAGAGGCCTCGATTCGTTGTGTCGACCTCGTTTAGTGGTCTTTGACTAGCTGGACTTTTTGGGATCATCCATCAGCATAAGAACATCATATCGATTTCGTAGTGTCGTGTTGACAGTGACCATATTGTTGTGACGCAACCCAACCCCAACTGTCTAAAGTTGCTGCCGTAAGCTGCAACCACCGTCCCAGACGAACCCATACCCGCGTCCGACCGTTGCTCCAGACAATATCGTTTCTATATACCGGTATATCGCGAAGCTCTTCCGCACGCACCCACTGCTCCAAAACCGCACTTAACACCCGTCCACCTTCAGACACTAGCAATGACGACCACGACCACAAGCAGCGCCACGCGCTCCGCGTCCTCGGCACGTCCGCCTTCTATCCCCATGATTCCTAGCTCTATCCGTCGACGTGCTACTGCTCCATCCACTGACTCGAGAGATCACGAAAGCGCTGGCCAAGGCGGCGCTAGTGACCCCCGCAACCGACGACCGCGTCCTCGTCCACACAAACCGAAGCATCCGACCCCTCGTGGATCCATAGAAACGACAATAGAAACGCCGCGTCCACCATTAGAAACGCCGCGTCCACCTCCATCCGCTGCTGTGTCAGCTGCTGCTGCTAGCGAGCCAAACGACGAGAATGGGAGCGCAGGGAAGCGCAAGCACCGGAGGAAAACGACCCGGAAGAAGCGCGCTGTTGCTACTGCAGCAAAGGCCGCTGGAGGGACTGGGACCCGTAGAGACGAGGCAGCAGGAGACGAGACGGAGGAGGAGGTTGTGTGTGTTTTGTGTGCAGACGTGATCGAGTTCCACGCCGTGGGCGCGTGCAACCACCACGGGATCTGCAGCAAATGTGCCATGCGGATGCGGCTCCTTCTGGACGACCGCCGTTGCCCCATGTGCAAACAGCCGCTGGCTCGTGTCATTGTCAGTCGCGAGATGCGGCCGTTCGAGAGCTTTGGGCTCTGGGGGGACGCTGCCGGTCCCGACTCGGTGCTGGACGAGAAGTCGGAGATCATTTTCGTGGCCTGTCGAGCACATTACAAGGACCTCTGTCGCTTCCGGGAGTTCCAGTGCAGGATCAAACGCTGTCGAGACGTGAAGCACTCGCTCGGGCAGCTCAAGGAACATTTGCGTCGTGACCACGGCGTCGAGTTCTGCGAGCTGTGCTTGACGCATCAGTCGTTTTTTATCCAAGAGCAGCAAGTGTTCACGAAAGGTGCACTCAAAGGACACAATATCGGACGTAGTCAAGCGGGACTGGCGGGACAGAAACATGCAAACACCGGCAAGGACTTTCACCCCATGTGTCAGTTTTGTCGAAAGCGGTTCTACGGAGACAAGGAGCTGTTTGAGCACCTCGAGCGCGACCATTTCAAGTGCCATATCTGCAAAGTGGAGAACGAATACTTTCGCAATTAGTACGTAAAGATGAGCTGGGTGCTGCCAATGTAGGTTGTTGTTCATGGCTAATGCTTGACGACGTGCTGTAGCGCGAGTTTGGAAACACACTTTCGACGGGAACATCATCTTTGTGAAGATCCAAGATGGTGCGTGCATTGCACACGAGTCTGCTCGTTGTTTCGTTTGCTGCTAACCCTCTACGTTGTCACAGTCTCGAGATGCGCTTTGTAGTGTTTCCGAATAATGTAGAGTACCATGCGCATATGGGTTCCATCCACGGTGTGCACAATCGCCTGCAATGCAACTTCCAAGTGGCGCGTGGCGACAAAACCCCAGTGAGCGCATCAGTCAGCTCAGACCATGCTGCTGATCGATGGCCGGATCATTGGAGCTACGGTGCGAGTGATCAGCCGCCTTCACCAGCTGTGCGACTCGAAGAGGCATTTCCAGCACTACCGACGCCCGCTGGACCTGTTGCTCGTCCCGTGTGGAGGCCAGCAGAAGTCCGTCCATTAAGTGCTCGCACTCTGGGGCCGCCTATAGCAGTGAGACGTGCACCTGCACCGCCACGAGGCCAAATTTTCCGCAATCAGCGACTAGCGCAAGCACTCGGAGTAACAAGACCAGGACTTGCGAGTGGAGATGCTGCCGCGTTTGAAGAAGAGATGAAGTCGCCTAGTTATCCAGAAGAACTGGTCGCGTGGGGAAAGGCGAACACGAGCTATTTGACCGTGGTCGAGCGTCGTCTGAAGCGGATTGTCCAGGAGCAATCATGCCATAGTGTCAGTCTGCGAGTGATGTCGAGCGAAGAGGTTAGTACCTTGATCACCTGTTGTTCTGCACGCTGGTTCTAATCTACTTGTGCTGTTATTCGCAGAGAGCGTTGATGCATCAATTGGCCACGTTCTACGGGGTCGAGTCGGAATCCTTTGGCGAAGATCCTCGTCGTCGCGTGTCATTTTTCAAGCGCGAGCATGCGCAGGTGCCAAGCGTGACGCTGTCGGCGTGTATCAGTAACCTGGGCAAGCAAGCTGCGGCAGCCCGAGCGTCGAGTCGGTTGAGATACCTTCCACTTGGAGGCAGTGCGTCTCAAGCACGAGCACCTGTGCCGGCTAGACGCCCAGTTACTGTTGATCGCGGCTGGGAACGTATCGAACCTCGCTGCTCTCCGGTCATCCTGGATGCATGGAGCGATGATGAAGATAGTGGAACAGACGAAGAGGGCAGCGCAGATAGCTCTGGTTCACAGGATCAAAATGAAGGGTTCGAGAGCAAACCATTGGATGAACGAGACGCTGTCGACGTGTAGTTGAAGGTGGCAATAAGCATGAGAGCGTGCTGGGTTCGCCGCGACATTGCTGTGATGAAGATCAAGACGAAGAAGAGAAGCAGAAGCAGTGGGGTCAATTTGGATGAACGAGCAGAAGGGACTTAACGTCTCCTTGCGTGTCGAGTTTGCTTACCCTGAAGAGGTCCTAAACTTGAGCATTGCGCTTCAGGTCTGCCCGACTCGGTAGACGATGTACCCGGTGAGACCCGCGATCATCCCCACGGCCACGAACATTTTCATCAGACCGATCGATACATTGATTGAAGCATGTCGCTTTTTCTTCATGAACTTGTTGACCTTTTCCATAGCATCCCTCACTCCAGGCCCGAGTTTCTGCAGATAGGGCGTCGTTTTCAGGAGCTCCTCCAATTTGGTGCTGCCCGCTCTCTCTTCCACCGGATTGGTCCCTCCTTTGAGGTCGTCGCGATTCCCATCTCGGTCGAATTCGAGTTTGCGATTACCCGTTGCCAGAAATTTGACGACAGCAGTGTCGTCGGAATTGCCAGGTTGATGGCAATCAAGTAATACCGTGAACAGGAAGAAGTAGGTAATTTTTCGCATGAGGTTTGGCACGTGGTCTCAAAACTGAGTGGCTCATCGACTCTGTCGAAAACGACTCGTCCGACGGCGCCTGAGGATCAGAGCGGCAAGGCACGGGCCAATCATCCTGCAAGGGCATGTCGTCGGTTATCACTAACAAGAATAACAAGACCAGCAGGTTCTGTCTAAATTGATAGCCTGGGACGAGACGGAATGTTCCGTTAAATTAGTGTATCCGTTAAGACGGTGTCGCGATACTGGGCATCAGCCGTTTGGAGTCGTGCACAAATGTTCGTTGAGGCAGTCGTAACATGTTAGGCATCCTATGCTTGTATGGGTAAATACGATAGGGAGCAAGCTCTGGAGCCCGCTCTTTGATGTAAGTACAGTCTTCCCTCCAATAACCCCCCCCCTGATAAGCTTAACATGTAGTAGGTTATCGATTTTTGCGTCCACGGATACGTTTAAGGTATGATCGAATAGGGCAATATAACTCTAAAAATGAGCACTTGTTTTCGTATTTTAGAAGAGAAAAACCACTTGAACCACATGTCGAGGGTGGTTTGGGTGGTGGGAGTGTTGAGAAGATCAAGCTGGAGGTTACGAAGGACTTTATAAGCAGCTTGGTGACGTTCCTGGGATACGTCGAGCAGGGGGCAGGCCTCACGAAGGAGGTTGATTTCTCGGTTCTAGTAACATTTTCTGCTACAGGTGCCGCATCTTCACTGTTTTCCTTCTCCTCATCTGCCTCCAAAATCTCTTAGAACCTTGTTTTCAATTAGCTTAGACTGAGCAGTCTCGTCCTCTTCGATGGGATCGAGAAGCTCCAAAATATTCACGGGATCTCGGACACGCAGCTTCTTGAGCTGTGCTATCAGCTCTTGCTTCAGCTCACTTTCTTCCTTCTCGACCTCCGTTGCGCCTATTGGCGAAAATGCAAGATAAGGACAGTGTGACGAAGGTCAGCCGACCACTCTCGGCAGGTAGATGCAGCCACAATCGGTTTATAAAATGGTTGGATAGTTGAGAGCGTAATAAACATTGTTTGTAGGACGTTAAGAGAAATATCACTTCTACTTTCACAGCACCCTCAATACCTATAAAGTCTAACAGGTTATGAGCCCAAATGGCGAAGAAGTTGCTGCGGCTTTAGGTCGCCAGCAGCGCAGGGCAGATGCCGGTCGCGAAAGGGCCGACGCCCTGGAGGAGAAAGAAGAGATCAAGGAAGGACCAAGGGACACGCAGAGCAAGCTGCTCGGCCTTCTCACGGGCCTCACGGAGCGCATGGAGGCGTCGCAAGGGCGACTGGAGGAGAAGGAGCGTTTGAAGGGCCATGAGGCTAGCGTTTTTGGTCCGGTGTTGGGGCAAGGCAAAGCCATGACAAGAGAGGCGTCGGATGTGTCGCCACCGAGGCGTGTGTCACCCGGCGTATCGCCATCAACGTACTTTGGCGCAAGACAGCCTGGATATGCTGGTGCAGCGGCCAATGTTGAGATGGCGCAGGCGCCGCAACCAGTACTGCCTCAGCATTACGTGCCACCACCCATGTACCAGCCGGCGCCCCCACCACACATGGCACCAGAATTACAATACGACCGTGTGCCAGATACGCGACAGAGGAAGCTGGGCATCCGACCTTTTGATGGCAAGGAATTGTATCAAGGTCTCGGAAGTGGGTTTTTATCGTGGTGTAAGAGATTTGTAAGGCAGATCATGTTCGCGGAGCGAGCAAGTGGTTTCCAGTGGAGTGAAGACGTCAAAGTAGACGTGCTAGGGCACCACTTGACCGGTATGGCCGAGCGATATTACAACCGACAGGTCGAGGGGTGGTTTGAAGAACAGCCGACGCTAGAGCATGCGATGCAGCGTCTACTCCATACGTTTGCGACCAAGATAACTCCCCAACAAAGTATGAAGATCTTTACAGCTCCCAAGAGCTCCAAGCGAAGCTGGCGGAGCATTGCCTGTATTTGGTGGCGGTGAGTGAAGCGTGTGGAGGTGCCGACAACCTAGTTCAAGACAACATTGAGCATTACGCCGACCCCAGTATGAGGGTGTCGATGTTAGCGAGGCTAAACCTCACGCGCATTGACTATTGGCGGCAGGCGGAAGAGCTTGCGCACTTCGCGCAGTCGACCGAGATAGAACTGCGCGGGAAGAATATCGGAAAGGACGTGGTTAATGCCGTTGAAAATGGACGCCGAGCCTATCCCAAGACCCGAACACACAATCGCAAGGACCGTCGAGATATGCGCACATGCTACAAATGTGGAAAGCCAGGACATTTAAAGATAGCGTGCCCCGAGGGCAGTGCTGAGACAAGAGCGACGGATGAAGTTGACTTCGTTTTGACCATAGGCGGATCAAGTGTCAAAGAAGATTAAAATGGATCCTCGATAGCGGATCGAGTAGACACCTAGTTAATGACGCTTCATTACTGAAAGACCCCGAGAAACACATCAGCGAGTGCGTAGCTGTGGATAGTGGACACCTGCGCATGACGATGCGTGGAAATGTGATTATTGCGACGACAATACTGGGTAAAAGAACCAAGGTGCGCTTGACGGATGTGTACTTCGCAGAAAACCTCGAGAGAAACATAATTTCGTATGGACTATTGGAGAGTAAAGGTTGTGGAATATCGTACCGAGGCGAGTACCGTGTGTTAACCGCATTGGACGAAGGGCCAGCTATTTTTGACGTGGGAATTCACAATAACGTGTTGGTCGTGCGTGCGCAAAAATGTGAACTAGATACGACGGGACGTGACGTGCTGATGTCAGCACTTGCACAACACGAGGAGGACGTCGGACAAGATGTGCAGAAAGGATCGCTAAGGCACTTTCATAAACGGCTTGCGCATCTTAATTACGACACCATAATTAGGATGGCCAAGGATCCCGCATCAGGAATACAGCTAACGGATGAGCTGCGGGCAAACTGCTTGGCTTGCGCCCAAGGGAAACGGACCAAGAACCCGCATTCTCGCAAGGACACTGGAAGAAACGCACCGATCGACGTGATTGGAGGAGTTATATGCTCCGACTTGAAGGGACCGATGACTCCACGGGACAGGTTGGGCAACCGCTACATGGTGAATTTTATCGATCATCGGACTAACTACTGTCGCGTTTTCTTGGCAAAGTCCAAGGATGTCGCAGCTCAGAAGTTTAATCACTTCATGGCTTTTTTTGAGCGACAAATCAGTTGTCGCATTCACGTTTTATCGACGGAAGGTGGAGGAGAATTCAAGACTTTGGAGCTATTCTGCAAGGACACTGGCATTGCGCGCCAGGTGAGCGAGCCACGTAATCAAGCAAGCAACGGAAAAGCGGAACGAATGCACCGCACCATTATGAACATGGTGCGGAGCATGCTATTTGCTTGTGGATTACCGTTAAGCTTCTGGGGAGACGCCGCGGAATATGCAGTGTATATTCTTAACCGGAGCCCGAGCAAAGCGAATATGGGAAGACAGTCACCATTGCAGATGCTTACGAAGAGCATCCCAGACTTGAGCGACATAGTGGCTTTTTGCTCGCCATGCACGGTCTACAGAGATGCGAGTAACAAGTCGCTGGGAGAGCGTGGAAAACAAGGCATCATCATCGGCAAGAGCGATGAAATGAAGGGCTACAGGGTTTATTTGCCAAGGGAGAAGACCGTCATCGTCACACAGCACGTTCGAAACGTGGAGACACTGACCAAGGAGTAGAATGCGCAGTTACGTCGTGTACATCCAACGGTGGAAGATGGAGAAAATGGCAAGCGTGTCGGTTATGCGTCGATGAATAACCCAGTACCGGTTTCAAGAGAAAAAAGCAAGGGACGAGGACAAAGAAAACCCTGGACGCGCGATGCGCACATGACCAGGACGGCGGCGCAAAAGGCACGCAGAAACGATGAAGAAAGTATCCGGCCTGGGGAAGAGATCAATAGCGTGCGGGAGGAGGACCCGAAGAATTATAGGCAAGCCATGAAGAGTGGGCAGATGGAGAAGTGGCTTACTGCCATGTCGGAAGAGCTGCAAGCGCTTGAAGACAACGGAGTTTGGTTGGTCGTAGTGCCACCAAATAATAGTCACGTGCTGCACACAAAATGGGTATATAAGACCAAAACGGATGCTGATGGAGCCATTGAGCGATTCAAGGCGAGATTGGTTGCCTGCGGAAATGAGCAGGTGTATGGCGTTGACTATGGTCTTACGTTTGCTGCTGTTGTGGAGTTGAGCACGGTGAAGGTGATTCTTGTGCTTGCGTTGCGGTGGGGAGTACCGGCGAGACACGGGGAAATTCCCAACGCGTACGTGAAGGATGATAAAGAAGAGCACTTGGATATCTACTTGGCGATTCCACAGAAGATGAAGATTCAGGATGGCACTCTACGACAATTTGGCGTACAAGACAAATCGCACTTAGCGCTAAAACTGAAGAAGTCTCTCTATGGGCTCAAGCAGGCAGGCCGTCTGTGGAGCTAATTGCTACACACCAGACTGGAGGAGGCTGGATTCACGCAGTGTGAAACCGATCCGTGCTTGTATTGTAAGCTCCAGGGAGACGATGTGACGATTGTCGGCGTTTACGTGGACGATTTACTAGTCACAGCGTCCAGTCCGAGGATGGTCGAGCTGTTTTTTGAGGCGATGGCATGTTTATCGATCAAAGATTTGGGCGAGGTTCGCAAGCTTCTCGGCATGCGAGTTAGTTTGGAGGACGAAAAGACGTGCACAGTGGATCAACAAGCGACTATTGAAGAAATGCTTGAGAGTCATGGTTTGAAGGAGGCGAATGGTGTTCGTGCGCCTATCAGTGAAGAAGCTAATGAAGTTGAAAAAGACCCTGTGTTACTGACAACGGTACCGAGACAAAGAGGTGAACGAACGATTCGCAATTTTCAGTCGCTTGTGGGGAGCTTACTTTGGATTGCAAGATGTTCACGTCCGGATATCAGCTTTGCAGTTCACAAGGCCACGCGGCGCACTCACCAACCTACTATAAGTGACTGGAAGCTGACAAAGAGAGTCGTAAGATACTTAAAAGAGACCAAGAACCTCAAGCTCAAGATGATTGTTTCCAGAAATGAAGGAAACAAGATCAATTTGGCGAGTTGGAGCGACTCGGACTATGCGGCTGATAAGGTGGACCGTAAGTCTGTCACAGGCGGAGTTTTAACTATGGACGGTGCTATTGTGCAGTAGGTGTGCAAAAAGCAGACCGGGGTGTCGCTATCGACAATGGAGGCGGAGTTTGCGTCGGCCTCGCACGTTGGGCGAGAATTGCTAGGACTGAGGGAGTTAATGCGTGAGATTGGATTTCAAGTGGAGGCCCCAATTTCAATGCTCATGGACAACCAGGCTGCTATCAGACAGCTGGAGACTGAAGGAAGTATGTCGAGTGTCAAGCACGTTGATGTGCGCATGAAGTTTATATGCGATTATTCGAGGAAGGACATCGTGAAACCAATGTTTGTGGAATCGAGCATCATGAAGGCGGACTTGCTGACACGAAAGTATTGCCGGCGCCAAGGATTGCAGAACTACGAAAGCTGTTCAATTTGATGTAGACATCGAGTGTGGGCGAGTGTGCGACGAGCGAGGAGGAGTATTGGCGAACATGCAAGATGGTGACAGTGTGACGAAGGTCGGCCGACCACTCTTGGCAGGTAGATGCAGCCACAATCGGTTTAAAAAATGGTTGGATAGTATAGAGCGTAAGAAACATTGTTTGTAGGACGTTAAGACAAATATCACTTCTACTTTCACAGCACCCTCAATACCTATAAAGTTTAACAGCGCCACCTTATTCCTTTTCCCCTCTACTGCACTTGAAATGACCGATTCAGTTGAATAAAAGCCCCGTGTGGCTGAAGCAGTTGGCAATGGTAGTGCTTAAAATCTCGTACCAGGCAGCCACCTATCAGCGCATGTGTAATGGGGCAACCCATTATATTAAGTAGTCATAGTTTTATTACATAATTACATACATTAAGTGTAGGCAGTATCCGGATAGCGGATACTGCGCGTCTATTTATTATTGGTTTATTATTGGGGTGCCAGACCCAATAATTAGCCAATAATAATTAGTTCTGTATTTGAGTGGTTCCCATGAGCTAGGGAACATATTCGCACTTACTGCGAATTATAAAAACACAAAAATACAAACAGAGTTAAATTTACCTTATAAATCACAGCGCTTCCTCAGCTTAATTATTAGTGTAAGACGGTAACGGGCTCTCACCCCGCTACACCTGGTAGCACTTTGTAGTCCTTCCCATGACCAAGTTCGAGATGGATATGAGTGAATCTTCGATGGCTCCAGCAGTTTCGCTGGAGCATGCAGATTTTCCCCATCTCACTACGGTAGAATGGCAGGCATTACACCGCCTCGCGGCGATGTCTGGTGAAATCTTCGTGACGTCGCTGCTGAGCACAGCGACGCCCGAACAACACCGTGCCGCCATTCAAGACTACATGGTGCGCGATCTCGCCGAAGCGAACCGGCGAGTACATACTCCCTCGCGCCCCTCCCATTACGATGCAATTAAAATGGAGACGTCGACATACTCTGGTGATGGTCCAGATCGTCTCCCCCTTAATCGCTGGTTTAGGGAGATTGATATCGCCATAGCGTCAAGGTTGATTGACGCTCCGACGGCCAAGGTTAATTTCCTACTGTCTCGGCTTGTTGGTAAAGCCAAAGAATGGGCTCTTGGGAAGCTCGTTGTAAACGAGTTGGCATTCCCCACGCTGGACGATATCCAGCGCGACTTACGACTGGCGTTCGAGCCCCCTCAAGATGAGTCACGCTTGCGCGCAGATTTCTTTTCACTTCGACAGGGCAAGCTGTCGATGCGTGATTACGTACAGAAGACGCGACATCTTGCTTCGTGTATCATCACGCAGCCGATCGACATGGCTTCGCAAGTTCATGTCTTTGTCTTTGGTATGCAAGAGGGCATGACCCGCTATTGCCTCACACGTGCTGAACCTAAGACTCTTGAGGAGGCATTTGCCCTCGCGCTTCGTGAAGATTACACGGTCGCATCGTCATATTTGCAGGCAGCGTCGCAACGCCCGCGTACGTCTGGCCCAGAGCCTATGGAAATTGACGTTATCAATGCATCTCGTGGTCGCGGCAAGCAATTTGGCCGCGACATTCGAAGTCAAAACACGATGAAGTGTTATCGGTGCGGCAAGACTGGCCATCGTGCGGCCGTCTGCCGAGCACCAGCGCCGGTGTCCATGAACACAGCTGTCTCACGTGGAGATACTGTGTCGTCAGTGGTCCCGCCAAAAAACGAGCGGTTCCAGTAGGTGCGGGGCGCCCTACTGGCAGTAATGGAGCCCCGAGTACTCAGGTGGCAGCTCGGGCTCCTAGCCCTAAAGTGATACATACCCACTTCAATGCCACCACTATGCGCGACGATTCGAGACTGATAATTATCAGTCTCATCGTTGCTGGAGTTAAACGACCACTTCGAGCGTTGTTAGATTCGGGTGCATCCAACAACTTCTTTCGAGCATCATGTTTGTCCCTTCTCCCGTCGACAGTTACGGTTCGAGAAGGTCCAGGTGACATCGTTGTCAAACTTGCTGATGGACAACCACAGCGTGTCCCGCGTAAAACAGTGGTTTTGCCGTACACGTTCGACGGCTTCCAAAGTAATGACGAATTTTTGGTGTACGAGATGAATTATGCATTCGATTGCATCTTGGGGATACCGTGGCTGTCACAATATCAGCCGACGATAGACTGGCTATCTCGGTCCGTCAAACGACGAAGCGGTTACGACGTAAGTGAAGTTTTCACTCATCTGTTGGTAGCGCCATCCGATTGGCCTCACGTCAGGGTCGTGAACGAACTCGCCACGACTAGAAGTCAGCACAGAGAGAGCGATGGACCTCTGTGTCCGGTATGTTCAGTCACACTGATAGAACCACAACACGAGGCGGTCGAACAGAGGTTCCCGCAAACCCAGACATCGGTCGAGCAGGGGCTCCCGATTCACAACGATACGGTCGAACAGAGGTTCCCGCAAACACAGACATCGGTCGAGCAGGGGCTCCTGATTCACAACGAGGCGGTCGAACAGGGGTTCCCGCACACACGGACATCGGTCGAGCAGGTGCTCCCGATTCACAACGAGGCGGTCGAACAGGGGTTCCCGCACACACGGACATCGGTCGAGCAGGGGCTCCCGATTCACAACGAGGCGGTCGAGCAGGGGCTCCCGCATACACACACAACGGCCGAGCAGAGGCTCCCGATTGTAACCGAGGTGGTCGAGCAGAGGCTCCCACATACATCTGAGGCGGTCGACGACGAGCTCCCGCCTCTTATCGACGAGAATGAACGGGCTGTGGACTTAAATGTGAACGACGTGGTGGAGACAGAGCTCCCACGTCTAGCGGGGGGTACTTCATCCTCCAGCGACAGCGACGTTCCAGCCTCGAGCAGTGGCTCAAGACGCAAGAGAAAGCATAAACGCAAGAAAGGTGCACGCCGATCACCAAGACGACGAAATTCTCGCTCAAGCGCCGTTGACGATGATACTGTATTGACGGAATCCGTTTGTGCGCTTGAATATGTGGAAGGGTCTTCACATCGTGGCCGCTACGTTGAGGTAGCGAGCCCTCCGTGCACTGTTGCAGAGATCACATCTCTATTAACCCTACCATGGAAAGATTTTCTTCACGACTTCAAGGCCGGCGACATCGAGCAAGTGTGCATCATATCAGCCGCCGAAGCAGCTAGTGGAGAAGTTCTGGAGGCTCGCCCAAAGAGCGCTGAGCCCAAATCAGTGCGCGAAGAACGTTTCGTGGCACAGTCTTGGGAAGCCCTTAGTGCTTCGGGCAACCCTGTCTATGATATCGCGCGTGAGTATGCCGACATCTTTCCGGAGAATATCCCCGCTGAGCTTCCAGCGGATCGTGGTGTGCGACACGAGATCGATCTCGTGCCAGGATCGAAGTATTGCGTGACGCGGCAGTGGCCGCTACCGCGTGACCAAGTCATCGCAATTGATGAATTTTTTGAGGGCCGCCGTAAGGCAGGACACGTCCGCGAAAGCATATCGCCACATTCGAGTCCGACTTTCTGTGTGAAGAAAGCCACCGGCGGTTGGCGCATCGTGCATGCTTTTAACAAGTTGAATGACGCCACGATCCCGGCTCAAACACCAATTCCTCGGAAAGACATGGTACTGGATACCATGTCCGGCAGCGAGATTTTTAGCGCCATAGACCTGACAGACGGGTTTTACCAGATTTTAATGAGGGACAGTGATATCCCGTTCACCGCTGTCAGCACACCGAGTGGGATGCTTTGGGAGTGGCTAGTTATGCCACAAGGCCTTAAGAACGCTCCAGCAACGTTCAACCGGATGGTGACACAAGTGCTTCGGCCACTACGTGATTTCGCTCCAAGTTATTTCGACGACATTTTTGTTCACAGCCGCGCTGAGCAACAACTCAGCGCTACGGAGGTCCACCTTCGGCATTTGAAACAGGTGTTCCAAGTGATGCGCGAGAACAAACTGTACGCAAATTTGAAGAAGTGTGTCTTCTGTGCTCCCGAGATTCCAGTTCTTGGATGCTATGTTAGCAAGGAGGGTGTCCGTGCTGATCCCGAGAAAGTGTCATCGATGTGTTCCTGGCCTACGCCCAGGAACCAAACGGAACTACGCCAATGGCTTGGCTTGGCCAATTACTTGCATAAGTATACGAAGAACTATGCAGAACTAATCCAGCCACTATCGACTCTACTGAAGAAAGACGCAGTTTGGTCATGGAAAGCTGAACATCACTCTGCCTTCAACTCTGTGAAAAAGAGCTTGTCTGAAGCACCAGTGCTGATGTTGCCTGATGATTCCAAGCCATTTCACGTCGTCTGTGATGCGAGTAATTTCGCTATTGGATGTGCCCTCATGCAGTTTGACGATGAGGGCCGAGAGCGCGTCGTGAGCTTTCAGTCACGACAGATGAAACCCGCAGAGCGGAACTATCCGGTACATGACAAGGAACTTTTGGCTATGCGTTACGCGCTGATCAAGTTCAGAGTATATTTGCTCGGCGAGAAGATGTTTTCGGTCTATACAGATCACGCATCATTGCGTACCGCCGTCAAGACTCCCCCACTTGTCCCAGCGTATGGCACGTTGGTTGTCATACTTCTCAGAGTATAATTTCGTGGTCTTTTACAAACCCGGCAAGAACAACATTCTTGCTGACGCGCTTTCTCGACGTCCCGATTATGATCCTCGACGTGACATGGGTCATCAGCCAGGCATTGCTGTAGACGAGGACGACGACATTTGTTTATGCTGTGCTGAGCAGGGGCTCAATGCAATGATTTCGACACCTGAGCTGTCAATCCGGACTCAAATCGCTGAGTCATATGCGAACGATTCATTCTACACGGGAATCATCAATTATCTTCGACACCCTAGTGAGGGTTCACTCGCGAAGTTGACGAAACCAACGCGTGACAACATCAAGCGGTACGCGCTTGATGGTCCGCTGCTGACTTATACAATGGACGTTTTCGACCCACCGCGCGTCGTCATCCCTGCTGATGACGACCTCCGCGCACGATTGGTGCATGAATTTCATGACACTCCAACTGGTAATCATTTGGGTCGCGAGAAGACGTTCGCGGCCATCTCTCGTGTGTTTTTCTGGCCGCGTATGTACAAATACATCCAGAAATGGGTACGCTCTTGTGAAATATGCCAGCGTGTGAAGCCTGCGCCGTCTTCACAAGCTTCATTGCGTCCGCTTCCGATTGCCACGGAAGCCTGGCGTTCGGTCAGCATGGATTTTATCTTTGGTCTCCCTCCGGACGAACAGAAACGCACGGGCGTATTGGTTTTTGTGGATCGATTTAGCAAAATGGTGCATTTTGCTCCAGTCTCCGCGCACGTTACGGTGGAGACGACCGCGCAGATCTTCATCGATCTCATATTTCGACATCACGGCTTGCCTGAATCAATTGTTTCGGACCGCGACCCGCGCTTTACATCAGCTTTTTGGGCAACGTTGTTTCAACTATTGGGCACGCGACTGCTTATGTCTACGGCAGCCCATCCAGAGACGGATGGGCAAACGGAGCGCGTGAACAGAGTGCTTGAAGATGTACTACGCAGTTATGCGACATCGTTCCAGTCGTGGAGTTCGTTTCTCCCTCTCGCTGAATTTGCAATCAACAACGCAATTCATGCGTCGACTGGGTTAACGCCATTTTTCGTGAATAACGCGAGGCACCCTCGCGTTCCAGCGCTTCTTGCTCTTTCAGCTTCAGCACACCCAGTTTCTCAGCTTGGTGGGGGAGTATCTCCCGATGACACTACGCGAAAAATTTTGATGATTGGTAATGTTGAAGACAAGGTTGCTGCCGATGCAACTCATACTGTTAATTTCGTGGCCAATAGCATATCGAGTCCCGACGCGATGCATCCCATCGCGTCTCCCATCGCTAATTTTGCTCCTAAAGAGTCCACTTCTCCTGTAAGTTCGGCTGCTGTGACCGAATTTCTATTACTACGGCAAAGTATCACGCGTTTTGTACGCGATGCACTCCAAGAAGCAGTGGATAAACAAAAGGAGAACGCGGACAAGCGAGGTCGAAAGAACTTGCTGACGTTCAAAGAAGGTGACAGAGTCTTACTATCGACAAGCGGATTACCAGACACGTCAGTAACGAATTTGGGCGCTAATAAATTAGCGCCAAGATATATTGGGCCCTTTCGGATTGTTGAAGTCCATGGAGATGCTTACACGCTAGACATACCTACCACTATGCGTTTGCACCCGACATTCTATGTCGGGCGCCTTAAGGCTTACCTGCCGGCGGATCTCCCTTTGGTCCTTCCTCACTCGTCTGTATCGGCTCAAAGTCCGACACCCCCTGCCGACGACGCTGACGACGACTGGGACCAAGTCCTAGACGAGCGCGAGCAGACTCGTTCTGCTGGGGTCGACCGAACGCAGCAGTCTCGAGCTGTCGCAGACGCTCCACTAAGCCCTGCTGCTCCCGTCGGGTTCTCTCGGCAGCCTCTGTCGCAGCTGCTGCACGATCTCGAGTCCTCTCGGCCATCTCACGGGCATCCAGAAGGCCGTTCATCGCCTCTTCAGTGTCAGCACGAAGGAAACGAAGCTCGTCACTCGACGGCACAGGCGCCCGATTATGAGAATCGGCGCCCAACCCAAGAAGCCTTCCGTCGTGATGCTCCTCCTCCCTTGGTAGATGCATCGGGTGAGCGACGCTGGATTGTGGACCGTATCGTCGGTCATGAAGACCCCACGCCTCTTGCGCCGAGTAGTGGCTCGGCGCCATCGAAGAGTCGTTCAGAAACGCATTACAAGGTCCGATGGTTGGGTTATTCACCAACGGAAGACACGTGGGAGCCTCGAAGTATGCTGGCTCACGATGTTCCTGACGTCGATGAGGAGTACGAGACCAGTAAGAGGTCGGCGAACGCGACCGACGCTGCTGACTCCTTCCACGATCCCGCGAACCGTAACGTGCGTGAATTGGCGATCGACGACGATCTCCCGAGCGACTCCGACGTCTTCTACGAGGCTCGGGAGCATTTGGATAACTTGACGGTCGAGAGCGACTACGAGAACGACCTCGGTGGTCGTAAGACAAACGATCTTGACTACGTGAACGCCTCCATTGATCGACAGGGCGTTCCCTCATGTGACGCAACGCAGATACTTGGAGCTCTGAGAAGCTCCTCTCATAGCGTCCGATCCATGGTCGGATGTGCTGGGGCATTCCCCGTGCACACACCATGTCGTCCCATTCCTGCCGCATTGGTCGCGGTCTCTCCATGTGACACCGTGGACACCCTTCACGGACATGAACGTAACACATGTGGAACCCATCACGAGTCAAATGACATACGCGTCGTCGTAAGTCGCCAATAGCGTGGTCGCCATGAGTACTTTCGCGTCCCTCGATCCAGGACGTGAAGGATGCCCCTTCACGTCGACTCGCGTTCCAACGTCTGATGAAGGCACACCAAGATCGTTGCAGTGCGTCTTCAGTGTATGTGTGATTCGTTCCCTTGCCTCGAACGCTACGGTATCGTGTGAAGAGATTCTTCATGGTCTCAAGTGATTCAGGTTGGTACGCGCCTTCAAGGCTGTACAAGCCCCACGGCTTCAAGTCGTCATCCATGGTCTGCGGTGCACGCTCTCTTCGAAGTGTCTGATGACCCCAACTGTCGTTTGGGGTCGAGTCGCGTGGGTGTTCAGGATTCATGCTGATCAGTTGTTTGTGGCTGAGCAGATTCGAAGACCAAGATGACGTGTCGTTGGAGTTCTCGTTGGGCTTTTCGTTGGACTATTCGTTAACGAGAAACTTTCTGTGTATGGCGCTTACGTCACGGTAAGCGCAACTTAAAGAGGGGGGTGATGTAATGGGGCAACCCATTATATTAAGTAGTCATAGTTTTATTACATAATTACATACATTAAGTGTAGGCAGTATCCGGATAGCGGATACTGCGCGTCTATTTATTATTGGTTTATTATTGGGGTGCCAGACCCAATAATTCGCCAATAATAATTAGTTCTGTATTTGAGTGGTTCCCATGAGCTAGGGAACATATTCGCACTTACTGCGAATTATAAAAACACAAAAATACAAACAGAGTTAAATTTACCTTATAAATCACAGCGCTTCCTCAGCTTAATTATTAGTGTAAGACGGTAACGGGCTCTCACCCGTTACAGCATGGCCGTAATTTAGTCGGTTTTGTAGATGTTAAAACCACCCTACGCTCGTCACAGTCGATCGCATTATGCAGATGATAACGGCGATCCCGCCTCTTGGATGCTGCAATGACACCAGCATCCATCGGCTGAATCATAGAGGTCGTACGAGGTGGAAGCAGCTGGACCTTGACGCTAGTTAACGTAATGTCATTTGTCATACGCGACAGAGTATTTTCAATCAATAGAAGAATATTTCTACTTTTGATTAAAGCAATGCAATAGTAGAATAATAAGTTTTCTAATTTCAGATGGCTACGCACTTTCATTGTTTTGCCTAGATTTGCAAGCCATTCCTGAAGAAGACGTCCGTAATCCAAGTCGTTGTGTTGTTGTGATAGATAAGTCCATGGGCTTGACCTGATTTCTTGACAAATCAGCGAAGCTTCTTGGCTTTCCCAATAAAGAACGGTTGCAGATTGTCAGGGCCATCAGCATTTGCAGTGAGCGCAATTGCAATCCGCGACTGCATGGTATGTCAGTGCATACCCCTATGCTAGTATATGGCGACAATATACTCACCTTGTCTTTTTTGAGTCCTTCAATCTCTTGCTGTGCAATAGTCCTGTCAGGTATCATGCTGTAGTGTAGTCCTGCAGTTGATTTTGTCAGACTTAGTTTCAATTAGAAATATAGCAAATCAAATTTACCAACTTCGTCCATGTAAACATCACACAGCGCGTACTCTGCGATGATCTTCTTTACACCAGCCAGAACTTTATTCATAGCCTTCACGTCCGCCTAGTCGCTTCTACCGTAGATGTTGATGGCGTGGAGCATGTAACGCTGCTGGAATTTATGAAGCCATCCGTGCGAGAAGTGATGGCGTCGTCAGAGTGTAATCAATTAAGCAAGCAGATGAGCTTTCGCACAGATGATGTACCCAGTGATAATCACTCCGTGGCGTTGACATCGCAGGATTGACACAGTTTCTTCCAGCTAGGTACGCTGAACCAGTCGCTGTCGCTTTGCATTCAGGCTTCCTGGATCCATATTCTCCAGATCATATTGCTTTCGAGAGATCTTGCTGATTGATGCCTGAGACAGTGTTTTTACTAGGCCAAACTCAACCGTAACCTATTTCGCCAGTGCCGTTTGAGATAAATCTGGAACCTTATACTTGTGTTTGCATATTTGCAGACGTTGTCCATTGATAAGACGGATCTGAAACATTTCATACTGCTCAAATATAGGATCAACAGGCAAGACACGGTTAAAAATGTGTACACGTGGCTTTCCCTATGTAATAATTGTTAGCTCAGATGAAAGAAGCTATGGGTGGGTCACATACCGTTGGGAAGGTAGTAAACTATCCAGGAGACTGAGACTTTTGTTCTATTCCAGCGGTGAAAGCCTTAGATATGAATTTTGGCTTGTACTTAAGGGAAGTAGGGAGGTTAATTTGCGTGTCCAGTCCGCTTTTTTTGTCAATCAATTGATTTGATTCCTATTTGCACGATACACAGAAATCAATAAGTTACAACATCTGCGAAGTTTTTGTAACGAGGTGAACCGTTACATAACAATTTATAAGAAATTGTTAATAGAATATAACTATAAGAGTTATATTCTCAGAATATTGTCATAAGGACAAATATTCTGTAGCACTTACGAGTAGTTCCTAATTGGTTGATATAGGCCATTATATCAACCAACGAAGACGCGCCACGACAGACGCACGCAATGAGTGGTGAGCAGATAACTGATTTACACATTTGTATTTAGACATAGTTAGATGAGGATAAATAGTGGTTTATTAACAGACATTAACTGTACTAAATACAGTTCTACTTTTTACTTAAACTAAGTACTCGCTTCTTCTTACCGTCTTCCTCTGCACGTACCAGTGTACGTGAAGTTACGCGGCACCGCCTTATTCTGTCATCGGAATAAGTAGCTTGTACTGTCATCATTACAAGCTTCAGGGTGCCCCGTTACAGTTATGTTAAAAGTTGTCAACCATACCCATAACTTATTAAGGGAAGACTGTAATCCAGTTCGGAGAACTAAAACAAGATGCAAAACACCATACAACGACAGACACTGAAGAATGAGTTTGATGCTGTCAATGTATGTACTAACGCGGTACAGTATTTTTGGGCAACGCGATCGGCCTTTGCTTGTGAGCGTTCAGCATTTGCGTATGTGATCATTCTCATCTTTGATTCATTTTAAGTCAATCAGGTGGATGCAAAACAAATTGACCTAGCCATAGAGTGACGCCTTTCATGCTAATCGATCTATGAGGGAGACAGGCTAGATCGTATTTAGTACGAGTAAGGTACACCTAACCGCGTCGTCTACACACACAGACACACAAACCGACAGACACACAGACATATACAAAGACACGTACGATTTTGATGTTTGGCATTCAACCTTGCGCACACTCACTAGTAGGTACCCTTCGGGCTCACAGTAATCAAATCTCCGAATACACTTGAATTACGTGTTGACTGTATTGACCAATAGGGTGGGCATAGTAATTTAAAACCCTTTATAAGCGAATCGAAGTGGTCAAATTAAATAATTATAGCTAATCAGAGAGTAGCATAGACAAGTAAAGCTCTCGCAGCTATCGCTCCGACGTATCAGGTCGGAGCGATCAGTGCTGTGATGGATGTCACTATACAAACACCAAGTAACTTGCACATTTTCCAATTAACATCAAAGCTCCGACACCTCCGACGTCTGACCAATACAAACCTGTAACGGGGTAGCTCGTTACATGAAATTGACACGTTACATGAAATTGACACCAAACGGTGTCAATAGGAAAATTGTCAAGCATGACAATATTCTACCGGTTTTATCCGGGATGGATAATATTGAAGGAATATTATCCCCTTTTGGATAATATTCATGCGCTGCTCCAAGATTGGTTGATATGAGACATACTAACCATAGATTACCACCAATCGCTGCTAGACGCGCGCAATGAGTGGTGAGCAGGTTGTCGTCACACGACGGCGTAGTTTAATATAGTTAGATAAAGATTAAAGCTATATTGATAGCTTAACTATAGGAAATAAAGTACTCTTTTTACCTTTACTTGATTGAGTCATTCAAGTAGTTTAGCTTCCTCTGCACGTACTAGTGTACGTGAAGTTTCGCGGTACCCCCAAACGAGGAGTGCCCCGTTACACCTGGTAGCACTTCGTAGTCCGTCCAACAACTTCTTACTTTCCGTGTAACATGAACATGTTGGACGTAGAAGACGACAGCTTTCACGTCACACGTGAAGGCTACTCCCATCTGATTGACTCAGAATGGGAGGTAGTAGGCCGCATGAGTGTGCTCATGGGCGACCCCGCCATCAGTGGTATGTTAGAGTCTTTAATCAGAGACCAGTAACATACTGCCATCAACAAGTTCCTACAAGGGGAACTTGCCATCGAACGACAGAAGATAGCCTTGCTACAGCAACAAGGCTCTCATCAGTCGATGGGCGGGCCGACGCACATGCGTCGAACCGAGACCTTGAAGATTGACACATCAAGGTACAAGGGAACCGATGAAGATTCCGTTTTGGATGTTCGTCGAGTCATACGACGCTATCGAGCTCGTCACATCGAGGGTGACGAGATGCAAGTCATCTTCGTCCTGTCAAATTTGACAGGACGAGCAAAGACGTGGGCCTTAGGGCTCAAGCTTCACGACTCAAACGTGTTTAAGTCGTCAAAGATCTTGAAGTCTCGGCTCAAAGAAACAGGTGAGCCACCGAAAGCCGAGTTCAGAGCACGCTCTGCACTCTTGAGGCTCAAGCAAGGTAAGCGTGACGTGCACGATTATGCACACCATCTACGCTACCTTGCGATCAGCGTCACGAAAAACCCTGTTGATGAGCACACGCTCATCAACGTGTTCACCTACGGCCTTGTGGATGGGCCGGTGAAGACCTACATGTATCGATAGGATTTCCATACGTTGGAAAGGGCGATAGCGTATGCGGAACAAGAAGACTTCAGCCTGAGACAGTCTCAGGCTAACTCGTCAAACTATCGTCCGACAAGGCGACAGGAAACAGGAGGTCCCAAACCAATGGACCTCTGTTACATCGAGAGCGAGAATTCTCGCTCTCTAAGTCACAAGCAAACGGCAAGATGCCACCGCTGTCAGAACATTGGACACTAAGCTCATGAGTGTAGTGTCCCGAGCACTGCGACACGTCCGAAAACAGTACGTGATGACCGCCGTTGGCCAAGGAAGGGTCCAAGGCGTGGGTCCGACCATGTCGCCAAGCCGCGACAGAAAGTCGGACCGTCAAAAAATGGTCAGGGTCAGTAGGGGCGGAGCACCCTGCTGATTAGCAGCGTCAAGAGAATTTGCAGGACTCTTGACGAAGATTGCTCCCAACACGCAGTCTCTGTGTGTTACTGCCCTTAGTGATGAGGAGTCTCTCATCACTTTGAAGATCGAAGTGACAAGTGGAATGTCATTTCGCGCCCTAGTTGACTGTGGTGCGTCGAACAGTTTCGTCCGACGCCAGTCACTAAGGGATAGTAGTCTCAACTATGTTGATCGAGAGTTTCTTCCAACGAGGGTGACGGTGTGCCTTGCTACGGGCGCATCCGTAACCGTGAACAAACGTGTAGTGGGAATTCACTACACACTAGAAGGAAAACCATACGATGACGACTTTGTCGTATTAGATTTGGATGAAAATTTGATGTCACCCTTGGTATGCCATGGCTTAGAAAGTACCGGACATGGATCAGCTGGCAGAATCGATCCGTGAAGATGCCTGCCGTTTGTTCATCGGATGGCCATCTGATGAACGTCTTGGAGCGTCTACAAGTGTGTGGATGTACTACGAGTGAGTTCGATGGCCTCACTTGTGGTACGGTCGTTAGCACGATTGCACAAGATCACAGTGTAGAAGGCCACTACAGTGTGAAACTAGCTTCCGGCACCTGTGTAGAGACACAGGCTGCTCCGGAGGTTCACCACTCGAAGAGATCGAGTGGACTGGAACACGGATGCACATCAAGAAGTTTACATCCAAGAAGAGAGACTAGTGCTGTTCAGGATGGACAACACGTTGAAGCAAGATCGACTATCAGAGAGTCGATAGTAGAGCAAGTCCGCTCGACTGAAAGAGAGTCGATCGAAGAGGACGTGACTGTGATAGTACCCGTAACGGAAGAAAAATCTAGCGCTCCTGAGAGTGATAACTCCCGAGAGAGTTATGTTGAGGGTGTGGATCCCCAACCACCTGCGGATGTGTTTATCCAGGAAGTCACCGAGTCATTTAATGTCTTGGTGAATGACGGATCAAGTGTAGGCGCTTATACACTTGATCTGGTTACACCTCCAAAGTCAGCTTCGGAGTAATCAAGTTACCAACGCTAGAATCTAAAAGATTCTTGCGAGATCTGCGTAGTGACAAGATCAAGCAGATCTGCGTACTCGTCACAGAGGACGAGTATGTCGCCGATATTCGGTCGGCACAAGTGTTTGCTGAGAACGGACGTGTTCTCAGTTGTTCATCGATGGACGAAAGTGTACTCGATGAGAAGACCCGGATTGAGCGATACACGTCTAAATCTTGGGAGTCTCTAACGCCAAATCCTTTTTATAAAGATTTGGTTGGATTCAGGGATGTTTTCCCGGAATTCGTGCCATGCGAGCTGCCCAAAGATAAAGGCACTCGGTATGAGATCAAGCTGAAACCTGGTTTGAAATACTGTGTCATGAAGCAGTGGCCACTGCCTCGTGAACAGGTAACAGCGACCGACAAATTATTTGCCGATCGATTAGCTGCTGGTCATGTGAGGGAATCAACATCCCCACATAGCTCCCCGACCTTCTTTGTGCGAAAGGCCACAGGAGGGTGACGGATAGTGCACGCGTTCAACAAATTGAACGCTGCAACGGTACCGGCTCAGACGCCGAGTCCCAAGGAAGGATGTCATCATAGATGGTATGTCAAAGAGTACCATCTTTTCATCCATGGATTTGATGGATGGCTTCTATCAGATCCTTATGCGTGAACGGGACATGCCGTGCACAGCAGTGAACACCCCCAGTGGTATGCTCTGGGAGTGGCTAGTAATGCCACAGGGGCTAAGTAACGCTCCTGAAACTTTTAACAGATGTGTTACGAATCTGTTGCGATCGGGGCGCGACTTCGCACCGAGTTACTTCGACGATGTCTTCGTCCATAGCCGGGCTATGGATGGAAAGACGGACGTTGAGGTTCGTAGAATCCACGTCCGTAAGGTTCTTACTCTAATGCGAGAGCATAAGTTGTTTGCGAATCTCAAGAAGTGTATATTTGCAGCAAGCGAAATACCACTTCTCGGGTGCATCGTTGGTAAGAACGGTGTACGCCCTGATCCGAAAAAGATCATGGTGATTAGCTACTGGCCGATGCCAGTCGACGTCAAGGGACTTCGAAAGTTCCTTGGCTTGGCGGCGTACTTGCACAACTACGCCGAGATGACCGTACAACTCTCTCGTCTGCTAAAGAAAAGCGAGATGTGGTCATGGAGTGCTGAGTGTCAGCACTCCTTCGAAGGTATCAAGAAATGCTTGATACAATTGCCTGTGTTGGCGATTGCAGACCAAGACATACCATTTCATGTGGTCTGTGACGCCAGCGATTTTGCAATCAGCTGCGCGTTAATGCAGTACGACTCAGACGGCGTTGAGCGCGTCGTCGGTTATCAATCGCGTCAGCTGCAAGCAGCTGAGCATAACAACACAGTGCATGACAAGGAATTACTTGCCATAAAATATGCACTGGATAAGCTTCGGGTATATTTTTTAGGAGATAGGCCCTTCATCGCTTATACCGACCACGCGTCGTTACGCACGGCCGTAAACAGTCCGCACCTCTCGCAACGAATGGCGAGGTGCCTGTCTTTCTTCGCGGAATGCAACATCTCCGTCGAGTATATACCAGGACCACTTAATGTCGTCTCTGATGCTCTTTCGCGTCGGCCCGATTTTGAGCCGACTGCTCAACCCAACAGTAAGGGTGATCCCACTGTAACGACACTTACAGTGAGTGTTCCGTCGTCGAATCTTTCGATGGCGTGCGAAAAGCAAACGCAGAAGATGAGTCTCTTCTGCGGTTGATGGATTACGTATCCAATCCATGCAGTCAAGCTTTGAAAAGCTTGTCGTCTCAATAAAGCTCTTCAACCGAACGGTATTATGTTCGTGACGTACTGCTGTACTATACAGCAGTCTATGGGGACACACCTCGTGTCGTCGTTCCGGCTCATAATGATTTGCGACTGCGCATCATGTGTGAGTGTCACGATGCCCCCAACAAGTGGACATCGCGGTAGAGAAAAGACTTACCTCATGGTGAGTCGTGACTTCTACTGGCCCCGCCAGTATGAGTTTTGCGGAAATACATTCGCGCTTGCGAGGTTTGTCAACGGGTGAAGCCTAGTCCTTCATCCCGCGCACCCTTACAGCCTCTTCCGATTCTGGCAGAGTGTTGGCAGTCCGTATCGATGGGCTTCGTCTTCGGGTTTCCCAAATACGTTCACAAAAATACTGGTATTCTTGTGTTTATTGATCGGTTCAGCAAGATGGTACATCTTGTTGCTGTACCGGATTCTATCACAGCCCAGGGCTGTGCGCGTGTCTTCGCCGATACTATCTTCCGACTTCACGGGTTACCCCGTGAACTCGTGTCTGATAGGGACCCCCGCTTCACAGCGGAGTTCTGGTAATCCGTGTTCCGTTCACTTGGAACACGTTTGACGATGTCAACTTCTGACCATCCCGAAACAGGTGGTCAAACGGAACGCGTCAACCGCGTTCTCGAAGAGATACTTCAAGGGTATGTCCACTCGTTTACGAGCTGGTGTGAGTTTTTGCCGATGGCGGAATTCGCCATCAACAACTCGGTGCACGCGTCGACAACGTAGACACCGTTCTTCGTGAATGACCATCCACGTTTACCAGCCTTCTTAGAGTGTGACTCTAGTTTAAGAGGGGGGGGGGTGGACTCGCTCGAACAAAAAACTATCTGGTTCTTGCTGATCACCCGTCGACAATGGTGTCGACGTGATGGATGCCGATGTCGATGCGATCGACATTGATGACGTTGATGACGACGATGCTTGTATATTCAGCACCGCCAATGACTACCACAGTTATGACGATGACTCCCTCACTGATGAAGATAACGTTCTTTCAGCAATGCACACGTAGCGTATTACTGTTAAAAGATATGAAGTAGCAGAGGAATTTCTGATGACTCGCGATGCGGTTGTACGCTTCGTTCAAGACTCTATTGCAGATGCAAAAGACAAGCAGAAAGGAAACGCAGACAAACACGGAAGAGCAAATGCTCTTTCGTTTGATGAAGGAGATTTAGTTTTCTGTCTACGGTAAATCTACCGAAACACGCAGTGACAAACGTGGGCAGCAGTAAACTACTGCCCAAGTATATCGTTCCATAACGTGTGTTGCGCCGAATGGGCAACACAAACACGTTTGAACTGCCCCGTAAGATGCGTACGCATCCTACGTTCTACGTTGTTCGTCTCCGCCCGTACTATCAGTACGAGCCCGTTTCGAGATGTGAAGAACACGCCCACGGTCGAGAGCCGAGACCACCCTCGAGTGGTCCGTTTCAACGAGCCAGTCTGGTCGACTAGCGAAGCGACCTGTTCACGCAGCTTCGCGATGTCTCGACAAGCAGCAGCCACCTCATTACGAAGAGAACGAGTCGAACGTTCGTTCTCAAGCTGCACGAACGCAAAAGTGGCACGATCGTCCGAATGATCGTGTGTTAGGAAATTTTAGTTATTCCTCACAAGATCTTCAAGCCTATAACGCCGAGATCGTTCATGAGGCCAGGTCATCCTGCAACTGTTCCGTTAATTTCAGCTCTTGAACATCAATTTGATCCGACCCTGCAGCCGGATCAGGTGTTCCCACCACCACCACATCCTTTGGTGGACTCAAGAGGTGGTCAACTCTTTCTAGTGGAGCTTATTCTGAACCACCGCGATGTGAATGGCGTCCGGACGAATTACCTCGTCCGCTGGAGTGGCTATTCACTGGCGTGGGACCGCTGGGAGTCTCGTGCCCAGCTGATTGTTGATGTCCTGGGTCTCATCGAGCAGTACGAAGAGACCCACCCGCCTCGTTCGAAGAAGGGCCATCAGAAAACGACCTCCCCGAACGCGAGTACAGGGATTGCAAAGTGTCAATCCCTTCGGCCATCTCAAAAGAGATGCGCGCCCTCCAGTAGGGATCATTAGGGAGGTAGGCCTCCCTAGGGGCACGGTTCGAATTGTCCAGGCAACCTGGACACAAATCACCCCACGAGAGACAGGGTAATCCTGCCTCTCTTGAAAGCCGGTGCAACTTGTATCGCGCCTCGACGGGGTTGCATTTCTCAAACCTGATGCGAGCTGCATCAAGTTTACCGATCCAGGCCTCACGACCGATGTACTCGATGTTATGGATGAGGGCAATCCATCGCTGCACCAAGGCTTTGCCGTCTCGAACACGGCTACCATTGTACCACCGATGTTTGAAGAACGCATCGGTGAAGAACACTTCCTCAGCACGGATAGTTTCTGTGCTGGAATCAGGTGAACAAATCTTCCTGCAATCGAACAACGGAATTCGATCCCGTTCGGTAGTCGTGCCGGCCAACCGGTCCAACTCTCTGGATGGCGGCGTCCACGGAGACTCCACTTGAGGAGCGTGGCGCAGGACACTTCGGTCCCTGGCCTCTTGAGTGGTGTCAGCATGAGCACTGGCACCAGTGACACCTCGATCTTTCCAGTTTCTTCGTTCGTGGTGATGTATAGGTGCATCACCACCACCCCCACGCGTCCTATCGTTGGACGGACTTGCGTGAGGCGGAGGTTCGTCGGAATAAACACTCGATCCGAAGATTTCGGTCATGATACTGCCGCGCTGACCAGAGCCAGTCAGCCTGGCTTTTGCAGCGTCCGCCCCGGGTGATCCCGAGGTGTGAGGAGTCGCCATCGAGTCGGATGCATCATCCGACTCGCCGGAATAGATGAGCTCTATCTCAGACTCGTCTTGATCACGATTCGAGGTACCCGCTGCAGACGCAACGGATGTACCTGTCGCACGTTGTGACTCACCACGTGGAGGGTTCACGACAACAGGCGAAGAATCGCCTGCTGCCGAGGCGTGAGATGCACTTTCCGCGGCCGCACGCATGTGTATAGCCGCTCTTCTTGATGCTGCAGTAGCAGCTCGCGTGGTTTTTGAAACCAAGCGTTGGAATGGCATATGAATGAAATCTGATCAACAAGTGCTCCCTTTCCCAGTGTGATCTAATGATCAACCTGTACCAATCAATTCTATACAATCAACGGGTGATTGATTGTTAAGGAGGGGGTGATGTAACGGGGTAGCTCGTTACATGAAATTGACACGTTACATGAAATTGACACCAAACGGTGTCAATAGGAAAATTGTCAAGCATGACAATATTCTACCGGTTTTATCCGGGATGGATAATATTGAAGGAATATTATCCCCTTTTGGATAATATTCATGCGCTGCTCCAAGATTGGTTGATATGAGACATACTAACCATAGATTACCACCAATCGCTGCTAGACGCGCGCAATGAGTGGTGAGCAGGTTGTCGTCACACGACGGCGTAGTTTAATATAGTTAGATAAAGATTAAAGCTATATTGATAGCTTAACTATAGGAAATAAAGTACTCTTTTTACCTTTACTTGATTGAGTCATTCAAGTAGTTTAGCTTCCTCTGCACGTACTAGTGTACGTGAAGTTTCGCGGCACCCCAAACAAAGGATGCCCCGTTACAAAACCCTTTTACTGGCAAATCAAATTGGTCAGATGCAATACATCGGTTGCAATCACATTATTAATCAGAGAGTGGACGGACAAGCAAAGCTCACACAGCTACCTCTCTGACGTATCAGATCGAACGAGCAGTGATGTGTGACGGAGCGGGGCATGGCGTGGAGAGGGCGGAGAAGGGGGCGGTAAGGGGCAGTAGGGGTGTAGCGGAGCTACTTAGCGCTCCGTAAAAGAGGAAGTCTTGGACTCAAAGAGTCTCTTAGTTATAACAAACTAACAGCGACGTACGGTCGTTCAAGCTTACAAGCTTAACATTCCCTTTTCCGAAGGGATTACGATTCACAGAATCACACACTTACTAGTCACTACTCGTTAAACAAGAGTAAACGCCTTGACAAGGCTACTGCTCTAAACGACACACTACACCTTGACTAGGCACTTGTGTCCAACGATTCGAAAGGTAAACAAGCTTTATTTATTCTTCAACTACGATAATAAAACTAATGAACCTTGTCTGACTTCTACATTGCGATCCTATAACAGAAGTTTTATCCCTTATCCCTACTCGGGAGCCGCGCAAGCGGCCGATGGGAGCCACCGCCGCAGATGGATGAGCTCCTCGGGGAGATATTACGACGGGTTGACGTTCCCCACGCCTCGTGGTTACTTCGGTGGCTACACTTTACGTCGATGGGCCGCGCAAGCGGCACACGGGGGCCCACCATCGCGGATGGACCGGCTTCTAAGGGATTCAAGGCCAGGTGGTTGGCCTCCGGATCCTCCAGCGCTAATATCTTGTCGAAGGCTGTACCAGAGATCATGCACACAGCTAAATCCTGGCGCAGGACGTTTTAGACATCTTGCTCATGTTAACATGTGAATAGACGATCGTGAAACTCCTCCTCCCTTATTCCTACCCGATAAAGTGCGGTATTACCGAAAGTACGTGGTACCAATACTGTACCACTCAGATCCACCGATCTTTACTTGGTTTGGACACACAACATAACCGGTTCACTAACCGCCGTGTAACTCTGTTACAAGGGGTCGTATCGAGTACAATCGAATTCGCGTTGATTAATTACATTTTAGCTCCCCAAGACACTTCAAATAATCAGCACTCACAAACTGTGCAATTGTAAAATTGTGTGTTCACTATGACACTATCTCGTACTGTCTTTATCCCGACCGGAGCTTGTTCGAGGTCAGAGATTTCATGGCATGGAATTTGTCCACAACTGTACATGTCATTTTCACTTGTCCTGTAAATGACTCACATCTTCTCATTGAGGCTAGACTGTGCGATATTCGTCCGGTAAAGACAAGCCGCTGTTTCATTGTTCGTGGAAGCCAGCTCATATCGATATCTTTGCCATTTCTTCGTAATTGGCTCGCTACAAAAATCAGGAAAATACAAGCTAATCGCTCTACTATCTTCTTCTCCAATACATGATCAAGACCATAACGTTCTTCTTAATGTTGCTCCGCATGAGCACCGTCGTGCCTGAATACCCTACAAGCTATGTCGATCACCGAACTAGTGTATTCAAATGTACGAAGAACCTCGCGGTCGACAAATTTGACACAGGAAGACCCCGTGATGACGGCGAACTCGGCCTGGTTTGCTCACAATCATGTGGTACTGTCTCATCATGGAGCTGGTCGATGACGCAATCGATCTGCCAAGTTCTTCCTGCACCCATGCTAAACCAGAGACATTCGGTCCAGCATAGAGCGGGTGACCACTCGATGAAGAAACTGCTTCCACTCGCTCACTGCCAACGACTACGATGTGCTAAAGATGTCTGAAAACTTCTAAGCCAGGACAATAGCTCCGGAACTGGTAGCTTGTCGTGGCTGTCACCTAAAGGTATCGGCCCATCCCGAGGTTCGAGAATAAAGAGGTCGATACAGGTATGCATGATAGCCCCGGCGACAGCTGTGGCGGGACCGCGATGTTCGCGTTTCGCTAATGCGGTAAGATGTCGAATTCCCAGCGCCCAAAAACGCGCGGTGCTGTGGAGAGGCGTCGACTGCACTCCTCGAAAAACCGCGTCGTTCCGCTCATTCCATAAGTGGGTCAGACAAATGCTGCTCATAATAAACCAGAGACGCTTCCAAACCGCGACACCAGCCTCTAAGTCCTCCGGGAGCATATGGTAAATCCGAAGACGCTGCTTGGACGGTATCTCCGGCGCGTGACGATTCACACTCCCGACGAACCTACGCTCTCCCCACGGCCTCCCAGCCCGTTCACCTGTCCAATGGGTAATGAGTTGACCCCAGCACGCGCGCGCCTTGGGGCAGTCCCAAAAGATGTGAGCCGGCGTTTCTTTGCAACCGTGACACGCCGATAACGCCCGGCAACTATTGTCCGCCGGACGGCCGGCATGGTACAAGTTGAGTTGCTTGGTGGCTATACGGTAACACGTCCAGGCCAACGACTACGATGTACTTACGAGTGGCCGATTAACTCTCCCTCGATCGACACTTTTGCGCAATGATGTGTCCATGCAGGCGAGTGGTTGTACCTGTGTCTGGAGAGAGTTGCTAGAAAGGAACCATTGCACTTGGCCATCAATCGGGACAAACGAGCCTTTGCGGTTGGGACAGTATCGCGAGATACAGTGTTACAAAAGAGCTAGGATCAGTGAGCTGAGCCGGCCTCTGCATCAGTTTCTCAGAAGCTGCGAGTGTAAAGGCTTCGTCAGGATTCTAGATATTTACTACTCAGAGATGGACAATACAAATGGTCGTCGTCGCTGCTGATGGCTCCTCGGGTGGCTAAAAAGGGGACAGATGTACCCATCAACTTGGCCCACTCTGTGGCGACGCGCAGTCTGCTTATGACAGGGGACCGGACTCGACTAAAGTCTGCTCCAGATTGGATGATAGCGGTTGAAGCCGCGTAGGTCCAGCACTGGATCGACCTCACTTCCAGCACTAGATTGACCTCACTTTGCAATTTCTCTCACAGACCGCAGAATCCATCACCATGTTCCTCCGCCAAAGCTTGCTGTTCACCGCCACCCTCCTCTGGAACCAAACCGAATCGGCTCTCGACAACCGTAACAAGACGCTTGCTGTTGGTCTCCACCACAGCAGCCTCCCACGCCCGAACGAGAACCCGCTCGATGTCCAAACACTATCGGAGCTCCAGGAATCAGCTACTGTGAACGTGACCAACCGTGTAGACCAGGAAGATGAAGCGAGGTTCGTTAGCTCTGCTCTTGTAGGGAACCTACGGAACCATGCGGCGATATTCGCAGTAAATATGGCCGTGGCGAGAAAGCTCCCTCCTGCCTTGGCTTTCAGCGCTCTACGCGTCGGGAAGGGTCAAGACAATTCCGATGAGGTGTTGTGTACCTTGATCAAGTATGCCTCGGAGTACGAAGCACCAAAAGGTCAGGAACGCTGGTACACCCCTGAAAAAGTGTTTTCCTTGCTGGTGAAAACCCGTTCGGTGGACAAGGTGCTGGGCTTGTTCAAGGCAGCCAAACTGCAAACAGACGTGGAAAAGCTATTTGGTCTTCTGTACCAAGAAGGTTTCTCAACACTGCGCGAGTCGATGAATCAGGAGTGGCTGGCTTCAAAAACTAAGCCTGACGTGGTTTTTCGTCTTCTGGGCCTTACTAAGGGCCTTCTCGAAAAGCAGTCCCTGAACGTCTACCACTGGGTTCTGTACTGCCAAAAGTTCAGGCAAGAGTACGATGGCAAAGCTTCAGCTGTTGAGAATATAGCGAAACCTTTGCTGGAAGCAGGAACTGTCCCCCGTCTCTTGTTGTTCAGAGAGGACTTCGTGCGCGCCAACAGAGTGCATAAGGACCTGATGAAACTCGTCGACATGATACAGGATGCACTGTACGAGGGACTGATCGAAACGAAGAAGATATCGCCGGTCTTGGCCTATCGCCATCTGCAGTGGTACAAAATACAGAATGCGTCGCAACTACCGAAATCGTCAAGTGCTTTGGAAGACTTCACGTCGGCATATGAAAGCCACATGGCGTCTTTAAAGAAGAAATAGAACGAGTCTTCTTGCGAAGGAGTTCAAAAGGGATTTTTAATTTTTTGAAAGCGATTAGTCCCCCTGAAGAAGGGTAGCAAGAAACTAGATACTTTGCAATCCCACATTTAAAACTTCTATAGCTTTTTGTTTGATTGTGTTCATTAGCTGCCGAAAGACTGCTTTATATACATTCGCCATGACAAACGTTAGCCGGGGAGAGTTGAGCTGGTATGAGTCGTCGGTCACGTTGTCGACGCCTACACTCCTCGTTTGCCAGGTGGTTACGGTCAGCGATAAACATACGCTTGTGTATCGCAACCTTGTTGCAGCATAAATATCGCCCTAACAACGCCACCACGCGGTCTCACATCGACCAAAGGTCAGTTTGTCTTGGTGTGTGCCAGATGAGGCGGCCAGCATTAAGCAGTCATCCAACTTCGACCTACCGTTCTACTTTAGGAGGGTACATGTACTTGTGAGTGCACGACTAACTAACAGAACTCACACCTACAGCCTCCCAAAACGCTGATTGCTGACAGACCACTTCGTCTGATTGAGCCCAGCCTCAGTCAGTATGCAAGTTTATTTAGGTTACCACAGACACCTTAGTGTCGAGTCAGCTTGCTAGAGTAATTGACATCTACAGTAACTGTTACGCGGTGGTTTCATCACAGATTCGCCTAATAAACTCATGAAGAACGAAGGTGATTGAAAACGTCTTGGATGCGGTCTCGTGAAAGCATTTGCGTGAACTTTGTCAACGGTATGACGCAATTGGAGTTGATCTGCAACACGTGCGTAAGATCGAGTCTGTTTTTTGTGTCGGCTGAATGAAGCTGTGCCTGTGACAGCGGTTGAGGCAAATGACTGCCTATGGCAGTATGTATCAATTGCTTTTTGCAAAAAGTACGTTCGTTCTGCTCTGCCATAAGTACGCTAAATGAATCTTCTGAGTGAACTAAAACGCGCTTTATGCAAGATACAGAATGTGCCTTTTAACGACATTGTCGGCTGGCGCTGATGTTGTGCCTCGCATCACGAGTGTGTCTCCGCCGGGTACAATTATTGGCTCGCAAAGTCGCATTGTGATCTCCACGTCCCCATGCTGTGGACATGTCGGCATGTCAGCGCTAGAATTGACCCCAAGTTTATGTTAAACATCTAAATGCTGGACGACAAAGCCCAACTAGAACCGAGGAGATCGGATGTCAACAACGACTTGGTCCACGCACTAAACGGAGGGTTGAACGCGAAACACTACTTGCTTCAAGCGGGTTCGCAATGAACACTAGACTGCGCTGCTGCTCGTTACGTTTCCAGTATTCTAGATAAGAATTCGTGTTATCTCAAAAGCTTGTTACTGATATGTACATCAAGGATAAGATAGTGAATCGAGTTCTGGATGTGCACGAACAACTCCAGATGGTTGGCAGCTACGGAATGGGTTGTGCGTGGCAATGACGAATTGGAAATGCTGATAAATTTTTGTTTGCTTGAGCTACTCGTTGATGTTGTTGATGCTGTAGATGCTGTTAAAGTTTTAAAGATAATCATAACATGAGAAAAGGGAAACGGAGGATGATCCTGCTTATTTATGCCGTCAACCGCAAAGTGCCGTCAGCGATACATAACTGATTGATGAAAACGAGAGATTGTATTGATAGTAGCAATAGTTGCAAAGTCAGGTTGAACCTAGTGCTTCAGGTTTACCTGGTCGTGGCAAAACTGTGGCATCTATTACCACGGACACGTCATTGAGCATGCCAAAAGAAATAGCCTTTCCGCAATTCATCGCGACGCATTCTTCACGTTTTTGTTTTACACGTCCCTTTTCAGACTTTATCGTCAATGACATCGAGTGAAGATTCCTCAACTCTCGCAGCCTGTCTTTGGACACGGTCACACTCGAATGCGTCGCATCTTCCAACTTGGGACATCGGATTCCTTTTGCTAAGATTATTCCTTTGAATAATGCTCACAATGTGTGAGGGCTACCGACTTCCTGTTCGACTACTTCGCTATCTTCGTTCACTATTGCCGACAGCCCATGCCGTGGACATGCTTGCTTATACGGACGAGAGTGTTTGTAGCACGAAACTCCATAGCCTTTCGCGATCCAAATCATTGAGCATTTCCTCTATCGAGGATCAGCAGCACTTCGGTAACAACGAGACGCTTGTGGACGATGATGTGCGTATCCAAGACCCTATGATTGACCACTGATGCGTCTTGCACAGTACCATCTTCGTCGATAATGCACTATTTCTATCTGAAGCTGGTAGCCGAGCTCTTACCAGTGCAACAGCTTCTTTTGGACACTTTGTATCCTTTATTAATCGTCATCACAGCAAGAGCAAAACTCCTCCATGAAGAGCTCGGTGGGGCGACAATATCGTTCCGGTTCGATGTTTCATGTCTTTTAGCGATGAGCCAAGTTATTTGGGAGTTTACTACCGTGTCAAGCACCGTACAGACTGGTAGTGTTTGTTAAGGATATATCGCCTTTGTCATCAGTCTGAAGTTGCTAGAACAGGTGCATTGTTTTAAGATAGGTGTAATTGGCAGCCAGAGCTTGCTGCTGTGTGGAACTCTAGATGACAACAACATGACTAAATTCATGGGCATCAACGGTATTGCAGCTGTCTGTTCACAATTGTAGCATTTTGGGTGTATTAAGGAGCGATTACGACCAGCAGTAAGTACAATATGCTTTACTGTTTGTCGATATTCCTGACCTTAACAACTTCCGTTGACAAGCGTGGGCACACCATACGAGCAAGTGAGCTCGATATTCAGTCACGATTGATTGTGGCTATCACCTAGCTGTCACCCCCCCCCCCCCCGTGAACCCGTTTGGCTTCAGCTAGTATGGCTACTGAGCATTACATGTTAAAATGCTGCTACCTCTTTCGAACTGTGAAGCTGCAGTGGTGACGGATCCAGACACTTCAGTCGTGCCTGACGAGTGTATCTCGAATCGACAGCTTTTCAAATGAAAACAGAGCGACTGACACTAGCGTAGTGTAGCTACGGCTACAAGACTGCACCTGCTCTTACGAGCAGCACTTTAGAGCTGAAAGCTCGTGGATATTGAGCGAAAATCATAGGCAATTGGATCATTTACGTCAGTCGAATTATACGCGCTCGGCTTGCAAAATCATGTCGATACCGGTACTAGAGAGGGCTCCACGCATCATGTTTGACAGGAACCTCGATTCTCCACCTCGAAACAGTCACTCGTCCTCAGCGGTTCAACTAGAAGTGTATCATCAGCTCTTACGTCTTCATGTCTGTTTCAAGTAGTTCTCGTCAGCACCCAGCAGTAACGAAGAAACCGTTAGTATCAGTGTTCGACTGGGACGACACCCTCTGTCCAACAACATGGCTACATTCGCGTGAATTGTTGGTCGCCCACGGTCTCATTAACGGTGCTTCGTCCATGGACATTGAGACTTTCGAGCAAAAGCCAGCGCCGTCTCCATTGACAAAATTGGATCGGTACCGATTGGAACAACTTGAGCACCACATCCTTGAGCTTTTGCAAGTCGCAGCTCAATTCGGTCCCGTCTTCATTGTCACAGCAGCTTCCTTGGCTTGGGTGGTCAGTGCTGAGCACTTTTTGCCTCAAGTGCGTCACTTTTTACTGGATAATCAATGGCAGTGTGATGATAGTGGACTCGTTGAACGGGTACAAGTGGTATCGGCGAGGGATTGGTACCACCATCACGTCTGTGCTGGATGTAGCCAATTGGAGTGGAAATGCGCGACATTTGAGGCATTATGTAGCCATCTGAAAGTGCAGGAAGTCTATGGGAGGTTGAACACGCGGACGGATTTAGTATCAATTGGTGATGCAAGGTTTGAACAGGAAGCGTGTGTCCGGATGGAGGAACATGCGGGCGAGTTAATACGGAGCAAGACAATGAAGTTTGTCGAGCGACCGACGTTGGAGGAATTGGTGGAGCAAGTGCGAATGACGTGTTCCGTTTACGATCGGATGTGTTGGCATGACAATAGTTTGCACCTTTGTGTGGCACGCAAACAAGCACAGGGCGTGAGTAGATTTCACCAGAGGTTTGGAAGTGGAGTGGAGGGTAGTGAAGCTGCACTCGAGACGTTGCAGCTTTTGGAGATCGACAAAAAAACAGCGCTGGAAGGACAGACTACCACGGGATGTAATACGAGACTGCAACAACTGCCACTTGCAGCAAATGCGTCAACACACGATGTCCGTCCGGTAGTTGAAGCGGCGAGAGGGAACCAGAACAATGCATCGCAACAAGCAGCAGTACCAGTTAGGAGCTGGTGAAGCAATGACATCAGCTGAACAGGTTGCAAAGAAAAAAAAAACCCGGATTATGCATTTCTGCGCTTAGCGCGGCCTCACTCAGTCTGTCGAACCGTTTCCGCACACAATCCCGTCGCTGTTGTCCAGATGGTCCTGGTACTTTGTTAGGAAAGTCAGCATTGCGCCGTTGGACCAGCCAAAACCAAACTGCGGAGTGTACTCGCCGCCATCACCGACTCCACCAAGTTGTTGAGCATCGTACTTTTCAAACATCAGACCGGTGTTCTGCCATGCCACGAAACTAGCCATCACCCAAGTCTTCACGAGATGCTTCGCCAGCACCTGCGCTCGTGCAGTGCCTGCCACTAACAGACCCTCAATGATGATATCTTGCAACGGTGGCCAAGCATTAGGCGCGTCCCATTGCTCGCCCGAGGTGAAAGTCGTCGTTTGGACGCCACACACCTGCAGCAGTCCGGACGTCTCCAAAGACGCCACGATCTTATCCAGTCGAGATGAATCGGAGGCATCAAAGGCTCCTCCCCACAACGGTGAATAGTCGGACGCGGATACCACCTTAGAATGCTCGCGAGAATCCAGCAAATAGTCCTTCCAGCATCCATCTGGCTCACTCCATAGCACAGCGTCCATTGCCCTCACCCGATCGTTCGCTGCTTCAGTGAATCGGGCTGAACGGACAGAGTCTCCCAGTATCTCGTGGAACATCGCGAGATTGAGCTCTACTCGATGCATGATCGAATTCAGATCCACCGGAATCACGCGGGAGGTGCGAACTGTCTTGAGCGTAGAATAGTCACCAAACCAGCGACTCGTAAAGTCCCAACCGCTTTCTGCTGCAGCAATGATTTCGTTGTAGACAGAAGCCCTGTCAACAGTTTTCGGATGCTCCGTGACAGCAGCAGACACTGTGCTAACGTCCTCACGGTACGATTCCGGTCGCGGCACACCAGCAGACGCGTCGTAGCGGTTAAGCACGAACGTCTTGTTTGCCGTCGATCCAGTAATCTCGATCTCGACAGCATGGCCGTGATCACCTTGACGCATCCAGAATTCGTACTCACGCTCAAGCAAAGGCAATGCAGCACGCAAATAATGAAGATCCCACACGCTGGCGTCTTCATCGGAAGCATTGTTACCGTCCAGCTTTGCAACAAGTCTCACCATGTCCGAAAGCATAGGTGGCTGCGAACGTGTAAGATAGTAGATGCGTCCCCCGTTGGGAACAAAGCCAAACTCGGCGACGTATTCCAGCAAATGGTTCACGACTCCACGAGCTGTTTGATGCAGCCCGCTGATCAACAGTCCCTGGACAATCCAGTAAGTATCCCAGTAGTAGCTCTCCCGGAAGCGACCACCAGGCACCACCAGCACATTCTCTCCATTAAACTGCCGTGCAAAAGCATCCACCGACTCGTCCGAAGCCGGAGCAATTGGAAGTGCGTAGAGAAATGAGCTCTTGGGCTTTTGAGCTGCCGAGACAGACACTGGGACGCGAGCGAGCACCGTCCAGAGCTTGTGAAGCTCCATGGCCCAATCCCGGAGACTCTCATTTCGAATCTGCTCGATCCCCAGCGGCATCTCTCCATCTTGATAATCTGGAGGAACGATCGGCACGAGCTCTGCTCCAGGCGGGTCAAAGTGCTGGTCCACAAACCCCGCGAGGCTCGTTTTCCACGCTTTGCCTTCCAACTGGTTGTCCCCGAAACTGGCTTTAAGGTCCTGGAATTTCGTCAGCACTTCGTCCACCGACGACGTGTTTTTAATGGGCATGTCCACAAACGTCTTGCTGTCGAAAAAGAGCTCCTGTGTCTGCACTTCATGGAGCAAGTCCCCGCGACAGTAAATGCGCTCGAGCTGTTGGATCTCCTCCTTCCGGGACTTGTCCACGAACCGACTGTAGGTCCCGACGGACATGAGCTTGGACGTTGCCGGATCGGGGCTTGGACGCATGTACCGTCGACCGAGAGCTAGGCCAGTGGCAATGGACCAGACCATGACGACGTGGAAGAGCGGAGAACGTTGGCAGATCATTGGCGTCTCGACGACCGACAATTGGACGATCCCGGATATTCGTTATTGGATGGCCTGAAACAGCAGCTGGGATGACATTCGGACGAGAGGGGACACGAAAGCGCGAGGTTGGAGCGTTGGCCATACTTTGTTCGAGTCAGGACGAGCCCTTGATCTGCTGGCGGTTACAAATCAGGTGACACTGATTCAACCAGCACTGAACATGTGTGACGTGCTCCACGTGGCGGATGAGAGAAGCGACTTTTCGGAAAATCGAAAGATGCAGTCCGGAGGTACTCGATCAGTACCAGAGGTGGAGGCGGGATGGTACTGAACAATAGTAGTAACTTATGGACTGAATAATAGTAGTAACTTACAGTGCTATTTTTCTTCGACTGAATACTAGGGACTACGTTCATGAGTCGTATAGTCGTTGCACGGTCTTTTTGTCACATTGCCGAGTTATCGCGGCCGTCCAGCTGCTTGAGATAAGTGAGGGCGTGTGTGTTCGATTCTGGGACGGATGGCAAAGACCCACAAGCGGTGGTTATCTGGGTCTTAATGTCAAACGATTTGTCACGAGTGGTCAGTTTTCTCGTAAGCGAACGTGTCGGTTTGCATGTTCTAGGGGAATCTCGATGGAGACAGTGTCTCCGTAGTACGTCGTATGCGAATGTTTGAATCGACGGCCACGATCTTCTTTGCGTAGATAGTTGTTCACGATGTAAAACAATTCCGGCAGGTGGAGACGACTGTATTACTGAGTCTCACTTATGCTCGTCTACATTTGCGTAGCCCTGCGATCCCCTACACGAGGGAAGCACTAGTCGGCCTGAGATTTATGCTGCGCAGCCTTTGAGAACACCCAGAAGCGAACTGCAACTGCCGCGGCTCTGAACTCATCACGGATCTAACCCCCTCGTTACGTTGCAGTGCTGCGCTCAATAAGTTAGGGTTACAGTGGACGTAGATTGCAATAACCCTGCGGAGATTCAAGCGTTTTGGATTAGGGAAAACGTTATTTAGCCACCACCCTTTCGCTGATCAGCCACCACCCACCAACAATTAATATGATGTTCTATTCTTTCCGGCATTTACTGCATTTAATTGGTCACGCAAATATACAACGTCCCAGAAGCCATTGGACAGATTTTCCGCAATACATTGACTTGGGTGTAAAAAAACTAGACGCACGTGTTGCATTTAATCTTAACTTGATGGCGGCACTGCAAACATTTACTTCCATTGTTCATTCTGTGGCTAAGAGGCGAGCAAGAAGGGTATGGTCAGTCCTTATAGACAACGAAAAAGCGGGATGCTCTCGCTTTTCATTCCGCGTAGGCACATCTATCCTATACAAATGGGCCGAACGTATTGATGTACGGGCCGCTATCTACGAAGAAAGACAGGCGGATTTACGGGCGAGCAAGGGCATAGTGTGGGATACGCTCAGTTATGTCATGATCTCGGCATCATAAATTGAACAATTTAAATGGTAATGTCAGCAACTTTCGCCAAACTTATGATTTGTGATTGGCGCAACACGAGATTGGAGATGCCATAACCCACCTGGCCCTGAGCAAGCAACCTGATGCGGCTGACAGAAGCACGTTGGCGGTGCTCTTTTCGTATCGCTAGGGGGTTTAACTAGAAGCAGGGTAAAAATATGACCATTTCATGGCGACACAATTTCACGGCACCATCTTTATAATTGCCTTACTCTAATGCGTATGGCAACAACGACAAAAATCATGTTGTAGTACATGGATTTCAACTGCAGCATTTGCCTTCTTCAAAGACTTTTACGCAATTTAAGCGGTGGCTCAAGACTTCCCTATTTGTAGTTAGCGATGAATAAACATACCTGAAATCAAATTTTGGTGACAGCACAAAAAATTAAACGTAGGAGTGATAAAAACACAGGTCTGTGTATAGAATGCTCAGTCTTATTCTTATCCTATAATATGTTACGTTTTCGAGATGAACATACACAGTTGCGAGCCCAGAGGCTGAAGCAGAAGTGACTGTGCGCGAGCTGAATGTCGAGCTATTCAAATCGTGCTTTTCTGTCTGTGTGTGTATGTGTGTCTGTTAATAACGCGGGTAGGTGTACCTTATAACATAATAAGTACGATCTAGCCTATCCCCCTCATATCAGAACTTATGATTTGTGATTGGCGCAACACGAGATTGAAGATGCCATAACCCACCTGGCCCTGAGCAAGCAACCTGATGCGGCTGACAGAAGCACGTTGGCGGTGCTCTTTTCGTATCGCTAGGGGGTTTAACTAGAAGCAGGGTAAAAATATGACCATTTCATGGCGACACAATTTCACGGCACCATCTTTATAATTGCCTTACTCTAATGCGTATGGCAACAACGACAAAAATCATGTTGTAGTACATGGATTTCAACTGCAGCATTTGCCTTCTTCAAAGACTTTTACGCAATTTAAGCGGTGGCTCAAGACTTCCCTATTTGTAGTTAGCGATGAATAAACATACCTAGAACTAAATTTTGGTGACAGCACAAAAAATTAAACGTAGGAGTGATAAAAACACAGGTGTGTGTATTGAATGCTCAGTCTTATTCTTATCCTATAATATGTTACGTTTTCGAGATGAACATACACAGTTGCGAGCCCAGAGGCTGAAGCAGAAGTGACTGTGCGCGAGCTGAATGTCGAGCTATTCAAATCGTGCTTTTCCGTCTGTGTGTGTATGTGTGTCTGTTAATAACGCGGGTAGGTGTACCTTATAACATAATAAGTACGATCTAGCCTATCCCCCTCATATCAGAAAAGTCACTATTTGGCTAGGTCACTATAGTGACCTAGTTGCGTGATTGGCTTGAAATCGAACAAAGGTGAATGTGATCATGTCAGCAAATGCTGAACGCTCATACAAAAAGGCTGATCACGCTGCTTGAGTATTCTTTATCGAATGAGTACAGAAAACAAAAGCATCATAACCTTTCTTCAGTGACTGCTGATGTGGTGGAGTGGGTCCTCAAATTGTGTGTTGAGCCCCCAAAACATTTACTGCGCCGGACTGCCTACTTACGGGGGGGGGTACCCGATTCCGGGCATGGACCTTGAATCATCGTGTGTACCTGTCTGCTGAGGATTGCACTCTTTTGTAGACTTGGGTGGAGATAAAGATGTCACGGTCTTAATAGAGGTAGATCTGTACCTCAAGTGGGTGTACTTCACTAGGTGGGCCGGTAGGTGGTGTAACGGGGCACCCTGAAGCTTGTACTGGTGACAGTACAAGCTACTTATTCTGATGACAGAATAAGGCGGTGCCTCGGAACTTCACGTACACTCGTACGTGCAGAGGAAGACGGTAAGAAGAAGCGAGTACTTGGTTAGAGTAAAAAGCAGAACTGTATTTATCATAGTTAATGTCTGCAATAAATCATTATTTATCTTCATCTAACTATGTCTAAATACAAATGTGTAAATCAATTATCTGCTCACCACTCATTGCGTGCGTCTGTCGTGGCGCGTCTTCGTTGGTTGATATAATGGCCTATATCAACCAATTAGGAACTACTCATAAGTGCTACAGAATATTTGTCCTTATGACAATATTCTGAGAATACAACTCTTATCGTTAAATTCTATTAGCAATTTCTTTTAAAATGTTGTGTAACGATTCACCCCATTACATCACCCCCCCCTTAACCATCAGTCACTTTAGTGAATGATTGACTAAATGGATACTCGTCCCAAATCATTTGGGACAGGTTTGTACTTGTTGGTCCGAGTCCACTTTCCAACATCTCATCGCATGGTTAGCAAGCCCATGCGATGCGCGAGCAAGGCCGCCGAGAGCGCGTCCGCACGTCTCTGTGCGGACGCCGAAGCAGAAACCACAGCAACTGATGTCTCATCGGTTGCTGAAGCGACTCAGCCTGTGTCACTTGGTGATGCAGGCGCTGGTCATGAAGACACTCATGTCTTCACAGAGTAAGAGCTCGGTGTCTCGTACTCTCCTGATACGGATGACGGATCCGTATCGACGGCGATTGAATCCAAGCCGCCTGCCAAGCGTGGCATGGATGATGCTTTGCGTCGCAGCATCTTTGGTTCATCTGATTCATCAGATGAACCATCGCCGAAGCGAAGGCGCTCGAGGTCGCGAGACTCGGGCGCTATTAGTGGTGTCGGTTCTCCTATGGACACCACTTCACAGCGAGGTGCCAGTACTTCTGTCGGCACGTCGCAGGAAGAGCGGGACCGCAATGTGTTGCGTCTCGCTCCTGAGAAGAAGGCATGGATGCCTCCCAAATCTGTCATGGATCACTTGTCGGCGACGACGAGTGATCGTTATCGAACACGATTGTTCGATTCGTCAAGGATCCATCACCTTGAACCCAGCGCGAAAAACTATCGCGCTGAACACGAATTCTTCATCGATGCTTTCTTCAGACATCGATGGTACAGTGGGAATCACAAACGTGATGGTCTCTCACTGCTTCAAGCGTGGAACGCTTGCATCCATAACCTTGAGGATGTAGGTCGTGACGCTTGGAACGACAAACTTATCAAAGCTCGTGATAAGTTTGAAAAGCGAACCCCGACAGGTGCACGCTACAAGCTGCATCGTCTGTCAAGGGAGAAAGGATTACCCTGCCTCTCTTGGGGAGAATCGTGCCCGTGTTGTGCGAACAACTCTGCACGAGCACCTAAGGAGGCTTACCTCCCTAATAGCCCGTGGTGGCGCGTATGCATCTCTACTGAGATGTACGAAGGAATTGACAACCTGAAATCCCTTTACGACCGTGCCGGGAAGACTTTCTCCGGCGGTCCTTCTGCGGCACAGGATGTGCCGCGTCGTACTGCTCAACCAGACCCAGTACGTCAACCATCAGTTGGGAGCGGGGCTCCCAAGTATCCCAGGACGGGGGATAGCCGCGCCACCGGACGAGATAACTCGTCCAACGTCCATTCACATCGCGGTGGTTCAACAGCTGCTCAACCAGATAGCGCTGGCCACCGCGAGATTCCTCTAATGGAGGTGGAGGAGGAGGAAAGACGCTCTCCACACGATCATGGGGATCCGTGTGTTCTCAAGATCTTCTTTGATCGCGTAACTCAAGGGTTACGCGGCGATCTCGAGCATGAGAGGGACAGTCGTCTCCAACTGGCAGACACTGTCTCGAAGCATCGAGCTGAGTTTGCCTTTGCTCAGCTTGAGAACGAGAGAGCTATGACGTCTCTGCGTGACGAGCTAAGGGTAGCTCGTGGGATTGTTGATCGGTCTCGGGCTGAGATAACTGCTCTTCAGACCCTTGTCGATGCCCACCATCGGGAGCACAAGGCTCTCTGC